AAGTTAAATTATGTCCATGAAAAACATTTTTAAACAACGTTTTTCGTTTTCGTTCGGTTATATTTTTAACAAATATAAAAAATGCTTTATACCAAAATGAAATACCTTACTTTTTGTGTAGATTATAGGAATAAAAAAAAATAATGTGTATAAAATACTTTCTTTACTTAAATAAAACGGATTTACACATTAAAACTCTGCCTCAAGTCTTAATACATAAAGGTTTCGTGCTGTTGTAATTCCCAGTATAACGTTTGGAACAATAAGTCTGAGCGCGGTTGGTCGAAGAACAGTGACAGAAAGTAGCTGCTATTTGTAACTGTTACTGTGGTGTCACAGGAACAGTCAGTCACCGTTCCAGAGAAGTAGCAGTTTTTCCCATCACTATATAAACTAGAACTCCATATTTTGAACCATTTTGAAATGGTGAACCCGTAAACTCGAAAACTATTTTTTGGGAAATACTTATCTCATCTAACGTATAGCTTTTGAGCTACTAACTCCCTTATTCGATAAGCCAGACTTCTGAAATATGGCATTCTTACTAATTTGAACCTCATGAACACGAATTTGGCTCCAGAATTGACCTACGGAGTCTTCCGAATTTTTGTATTTTTTTGAAATTATGCTTTCTGTGTAAAAATGACATCCGCGGTTGTATTTGTTTCTCAAATCTGAACCGCTAAGTTAGTCGCCCTAAGAATCAACATGTTCCGACGAGAATATTCCAAAGAATCGGCCAGTATAAACTAGAACTCCATATTTTGAACCATTTTGAAATAGTGAACCCGTAAACTCGAAAACTATTTTTTGGGAAATATCTCACCTAACGTATAGCTTTTGAGCGACTAACTTCCTTATTCGACTAGCCAGACTTCTGAAATTTGGCATTTTTACTAATTTGAACCTCATGAACACGAATTTGGCTCCAGAATTGACCTACGGAGTCTTCCAAATTTTTGTAATTTTTTTGAAATTATGCTCTCTGTGTAAAAATGACATCCTCGGTTGTATTCGTTTCTTAAATCTGAACCGCCAAGTTAGTCGCCCTAAGAATCAACATGTTCCGACGAGAAAACTCCAAAGAATCGGCCGGTATAAACTAGAACTCCATATTTTGAACCATTTTGAAATGGTGAACCCGTAAACTCGAAAACTATTTTTTGGGAAATATCTCATCTTACGTATAGCTTTTGAGCTACTAACTCCCTTATTCGATAAGCTAGACTTCTGAAATATGGCATTCTTACTAATTTGAACCTCATGAACACGAATTTGGCTCCAGAATTGACCTACGGAGTCTTCCGAATTTTTGTATTTTTTTGAAATTATGCTTTCTGTGTAAAAATGACATCCGCGGTTGTATTTGTTTCTCAAATCTGAACCGCTAAGTTAGTCGCCCTAAGAATCAACATGTTCCGACGAGAAAATTCCAAAGAATCGGCCAGTATAAACTAGAACTCCATATTTTGAACCATTTTGAAATGGTGAACCCGTAAACTCGAAAACTATTTTTTGGGAAATATCTCACCTAACGTATAGCTTTTGAGCGACTAACTTCCTTATTCGACTAGCCAGACTTCTGAAATTTGGCATTTTTACTAATTTGAACCTCATGAACACGAATTTGGCTCCAGAATTGACCTACGGAGTCTTCCAAATTTTTGTAATTTTTTTGAAATTATGCTCTCTGTGTAAAAATGACATCCTCGGTTGTATTCGTTTCTTAAATCTGAACCGCTAAGTTAGTCGCCCTAAGAATCAACATGTTCCGACGAGAAAACTCCAAAGAATCGGCCGGTATAAACTAGAACTCCATATTTTCAACCATTTTGAAATGGTGAACCCGTAAACTCGAAAACCATTTTTTGGGAAATATCTCACCTAACGTATAGCTTTTGAGCTACTAACTTCCTTATTCGCCTAGCCAGACTTCTGAAATTTGGCATTCTTAGTAATTTGAACCTCATTAACACGAATTTGGCTCCAGAATTGACCTACGGAGTCTTCCGAATTTTTGTATTTTTTTGAAATTATGCTTTCTGTGTAAAAATGACATCCGCGGTTGTATTTGTTTCTCAAATCTGAATCGCTAAGTTAATGGGTTTGAAAATCAACTGTTTCCGACGAGAAATTCCGAAGAATCGACCTGTATAAACCAAAAGTCAGTATCTTGAACCATTTTGGAATGATGGGCTCGTAAACTCGAAAAATATTTTTTGGAAAAACATTTAGCTTTTGAGGTCCTAACTTCCTTATTCGTTTACCTAGACTTCTGAAATTTGCTATTTTTACTAATTTCAACCCCCTAAACACGTATCCGATTTTAGAAACCGCTTCAGTCTTTCGAATTTTTGTATTTTTTTTTTTATTTTGCTCTTTATACAAAATGACATCGTCTGTTTTATTGGTCTTGTCAAACCCTAACGGGTGCGGTATTCGATCTAGAGATCAACTTATTCCTTCCAGAAAATTCCAAAGAATCGAATGATATAACGCGCAAGTCGGATACTTGAACCCTTTTGAAATGATGAGCCCCTAAGCTCGAAAAATATTTTTTTATTAAATAATATAATAATAATAATAACCTTAGATCTTAATTTCCTTATACGTTTACACAAACTTTTGAAATTTGTTGTTTATACTAATTTCAACCACCTGAACACGAAAATGATTTCAGAAACGATCTACAGAGTGTTCCGAATTTTTGTGATTTTTTTTAACTTTGCTTTCCATACAAAAACGACATCGATTTATTAATCCATCAAACCAGAACCGCTAAGTTATCTGGCCTAAAAATCACCCTGTTCCGACTAGAAAACTCCAAGGAATCGAATGGTATAAATCGGAAGTCGGATACTTGAACCGTTTTAAATTGATTAGCCCTTAAACTCGAAAAATATTTTTTTAGGAAACATCTCACTTGACAGTTGACTTGAGGTCCTAATTTTCTTATACGTCTAGCAGAGCTTCTGAAATTTGCTATTTTTACTAATTTCGACCTCCTGAACACGAAAATGATTTTAGAAACGACCTACAAAATGTACCGAATTTTTGTGATTTTTTTTAAGTCTGCTTTGCATACAAAAAAGACATCGTTCGATTTATTGGTCCATCAAACCCGAACCGCTAAGTTATCTCGCCTAAAAATCAACCTGGGCCGACTAGAAAACTCCAAGGAATTGAATGGTATAAATCGGAAGTCGAATACTTGAACCGTTTTAAATTGATTAGCCCTTAAACTCGAAAAATATTTTTTTAGGAAACATCTCAATTGACTGTTGACTTGAGGTCCTAATTTTCTTATACTACGTCTAGCAGAGCTTCTGAAATTTGCTATTTTTACTAATTTCGACCTCCTGAACACGAAAATGATTTTAGAAACGACCTACAAAATGTACCGAATTTTTGTGATTTTTTTAAAGTCTGCTTTCCATACAAAAAAGACATCGTTCGATTTATTGGTCCATCAAACCCGAACCGCTAAGTTATCTCGCCTAAAAATCAACTTGTTCCGACTAGAAAACTCCAAGGAATTGAATGGTATAAATCGGAAGTCGGATACTTGAACCGTTTTAAATTGATTAGCCCTTAAACTCGAAAAATATTTTTTTGGGAAACATCTCACTTGACAGTTGACTTGAGGTCCTAATTTCCTTATACGTCTACATAAGCTTCTGAAATTTGATTTTTTTACTAATTTCGACCTCCTGAATACGAAAATGATTTTAGAAACGACCTACAGAGCCCGTCGAATTTTTGTGATTTTTTTAACTCTGCTCTCCATACAAAAAAGACATCGTTCGATTTATTAGTCCATCAAACCCAAAGGGCTAAGCTATCTGGCCTAGAAATCATTCTGTTCCGACTAGAAAACTCCGAAGAATAGAATGATATCAAGCGTAAGTCGGATACTTGAACCGTTTTAAATTGATTAGCCCTTAAACTCGAAAAATATTTTTTGGAAAAACATTGAACGATGTAGTCCGGAAAATTCAGTCGTTTTGAAATGGTGAGCCGGTAACTCGAAAAATATTTTTTGTGGAATGTCTCACGTAATATATAGCTTTTGAGGTCCTAGCTTTCTTGTTTGATTCGTAAACTTCTGAAATTTGTTGTTCTTGCCGAATTCGATTTCAGAACTGACTTCCAAATGTTGCGTTTTTGAATTCATGTCGAAAAAAGACCTCTTGCCTGTCTCAAGATCAAGCTAGAACAACTTCAAGACCATTGAAGCCAAAAAACTGTTTTATTTAATTACAGAAAAAAAGTCGAGAAAAAAATCTGCTGCTTTCGGAACAGAAAAAGAATGAAGCGGACCGTGGCGAAACGTCCGCAAACCGAATCTCTGTTCAAGTATAACAAATATAACAAACATAACTTTCTTTTGAGCGAAGAAAATAAAAGTTCGAAAATAAATCGCTGCATGGATTGTGGTGGCATGTATGTAGTATGTAATATTCATTGCGTCTACACCCGCAGCAACTTTGTTGATTGAGCGAGGTGTATGTGGTGGGAGCAGCTAATAAATCTTGCATTCAGAAAACACACGTTCGAATTTATTTCCGCAAATAAAAACAAACTCGGGTGTTTGAAATTGCAACAAATGCCCTGTAGAGCGAAATTTATCGGCATAAATCCGGCGCAAGAACAACTAAATCAATTCTGTGTACTTTTGTTTTATAGTTTAATAAACCGGGTGTTAATATTCACGTCGTTAATTCTCAAACAACGGTACTCGTATACAAAGGGAGTTTATCAAGTCGGATTTTACGCCGCTGCTTATCAGTGGATAATGCACATGCAGTGTATGACAGAAGTGCGTATTTCTTCGAGGGGTTACATGCGAGCGAAACGTTTGCCGTTGTTTATTCTGTTTATAAGGGAGTTGGGAGGCTCAGCGCGAACACTGTGAAATATTGAAAGCAATTTCAATGGTTATTGTCTTATAAGCACCCACATATCTTTTTTTATGAATTCTAGAATTTATGTTTTTTCAGGTAATCCCTCACCGCAGTTCAGGTGGCTGAAGGACGGGGTGCCAATAACTGAATTCTCAACAGATGCTTATTACAAAATCTTCTCCGCTAGTCAGAAGGATGAAGGCAGCTATAGATGTACAGCTTCGAACAAAATCGGCTCAATACTCAGTGAAGAAATCAAGATTCTCGTAGCGTGTAAGTACATTTAGGGTTTAATTGACGAAAATAGAGAAGTGCGAAGTTTGCCTAATTGCTCGATTAAGTACTTTTTGTTTGAGATTGTGACGGTGTCGGCGAATGAATAAATTAACGATTATTGAATCTATTTCTATTGTAAAAACGAAACGACTTGGAAACCGGATTTCACAGGAAACGCAAAAAATGTGTGTAGGAATAATTGAACATTTCTTCAAACCTGTTGGATTTTTCAGGAATACGTCGATTCTTGCATGTTTTAAACGACAATTACGGAAAGATCAAGGGAAATATTTTTGTTGCGACAGTAGTTAATGTATAAGTAATTTCGTTTTTTACCACAGACGTTCAAATTATTTCTTTTTTTTTTTGTTCGCAATTATAATGAAAAGATATTTTACTTACAACATTTCCAGGATAAACGTGAAAACGAAAACTTAAAAAAGTTAGTTATATTTTTACAGTAGCTTTCATGATAAGTAGATAAGTATAATTGAAATATTTACATTTTTCAAAAGTTTATTAAGTAAATAGAAATTTTTATATATTATAATTTTTAGCACGATACTGAATTTACCTTACCTATAAAGCCCACATAATGAAGACACACATTTGACAAAAATTCGAAGAATCCAATTTAACAAAAAAGGGTCGTCTAAGTAAATCGAAAAACACCAGTTTTAAATAATCTCAAGACAAGCCAAGACAATCTTGAAACTAGCTGAGACTCTGAAAAAATCCAACCTAAGATAATACCTCAAGACAATTCAAGATAGTCAAGTCAAGACGACCTTAAGACAAGCTAAGACACAATAAAGAACGCCAAGATAAGACAAATGCTAAAATAAAGTAATGTAAACAAACATCGATGTCGTAACTTCGAAATTATTATGAAGTTAAGAATTTTCACATTTTTCTTCCTAAAATCAATGTGCACAAAAATGTCCGCGACAGACATTCAATAAACACCCCAAGAAACGAATTTAACAAAAACGGTCGCCCACTGAATCGATTTTTTGTGATACAACTAAAAAAAAACTACACATTTTGGTTGATTATAAAGTTGCATCTTCAACCATATGTGGTAATTCCAGAAGAGGATACAAAATTTAGTATGAGATGTACTTAAGTCAAAGACAAGCCAAGATAACCTCAAGATTATCTCAAGATTTAATATGAAACAATTTCAATTCAAGAGAGTTTCAAGATAATCCAAGACAAATCAAGATAACCTCAAGACAAACCAAGAAGATCTTAAGACTAGCTAAAACTCTGAAAAAAACGCTAACACAAACCCAACGCAACAGAAATTCTAATACCAGTAAAACTAAATCGAAGACAACCTTAAGAGTTCCAAGCTAAAACCAAGATAACACCTCAAGACAACTTAAGATAGTCCAGCTAAGATAAACTCAAGATTATCCAAAATAAGTCAAGATAAATAACTAAGATAAACTCAAGGCAAACCAAGACTACTTTAAGACAAACTAAGACACCATAAAGAACCCCAAGACAAGACAAATGTTAAGATAAAGTGAAGTGAAAAAACATCGATGTCGCAACTTTGAAATTATTATGCATTTAAGAATTTTCAAATTTTTCTTCCTAAAATCAATAAAAAAACGTAATTTTTCGTATATTTTTGTATTTAAAACGGTTCTCAAATGTACAGGATGTCCACATATTACGACTGACATTCAATATAAACCACAAGAATCGAATTTAACAAAAACGGTCGCCTACTGAATCGATTTTTTGTGATACAATTAAAAAAAAAAATTACACATTTTGGTTGATTATAAAGTTGCATCTTCAACCATGTGTGGTAATTCTAGAAGAGGATACAAAATTTAGTATGAGATGTACTTAAGTCAAAGACAAGCCAAGATAACCTCAAGATTATCACAAGACTTAGTATGACGCAATATCAATTCAAGACAATTTCAAGATAATCCAAGACAAACCAAGATAACCTCAAGATAAACCAAGACGATCTTAAGACTAGCTAAAACTCGGAAAAAACGCTAACACAAACCCAACGCAAGAGAAATTCTAATACCGGTAAAACTAAATCGAAGACAACCCCAAGAGTTCCAAGCTAAAACCAAGATAACACCTCAAGACAACTTAAGATAGTCCAGCTAAGATAAACTCAAGATTATCCAAAATAAGTCAAGATAAATAACTAAGATAAACTCAAGGCAAACCAAGACTACTTTAAGACAAACCAAGACACCATAAAGAACCCCAAGACAAGACAAATGTTAAGATAAAGTGAAGTGAAAAAACATCGATGTCGCAACTTTGAAATTATGATGCATTTAAGAATTTTCAAATTTTTCTTCCTAAAATCAATAAAAAAACGTAATTTTTCGTATATTTTTATATTTAACACGATTCTCAAATGTACAGGATGTCCACATATTTCGACTGACATTCAATAAAAACCACAAGAATCGAATTTAACAAAAACGGTCGCCTACTGAATCGATTTTTTGTGATACAATTAAAAAAAAAAATTACACATTTTGGTTGATTATAAAGCTGCATCTTCAACCATATGTGGTAATTCTAGAAGAGGATACAAAATTTAGTATGAGATGTACTTAAGTCAAAGACAAGCCAAGATAACCTCAAGATTATCACAAGACTTAGTATGACGCAATATCAATTCAAGACAATTTCAAGATAATCCAAGACAAACCAAGATAACCTCAAGATAAACCAAGACGATCTTAAGACTAGCTAAAACTCGGAAAAAACGCTAGCACAAACCCAACGCAAGATAAATTCTAATACCAGTAAAACTAAATCGAAGACAACCTCAAGAGTTCCAAGCCAAAACCAAGATAACACCTCAAAGGCAACTCAAGATAGTCAAGCTAAGATAAACTCAAGATTACCCAAAACAAGTCAAGATAATTTAAGATAACGCAAGACAACCTTAAGAAAAACTAAGACCCGGTAACATAAGACAGTTTAAGATAATCCAGCTAAAATAATCCCAAGATTAGCCAGGAGAAGCAAGATAACGTCGTCAATATCCAAGATAAGTTAAGATTACCTCAAGAGAAGCCAAGCTGAAAAAAATCTTTGGTGTTTTTGGAACTTCTTTGAAATTTTCAGCAAGATACGAAAGTGTATTTCCTTAATTACGATATGAAACCACAAAATAATTTCTATCGCGTTTTTCATTATTTTTTTGTTCAATTTGTTACAGATTTACTAGTTTAAACCAGTAGAAAGCAGGTTGCGTATTCCAACCAAACAATGGTACTTGTTATGTAAAAAACCATTGAGATATTCAGCTTTGTAACATAAATTTCAAACATTGCGCAGCTGTGCTTAGAGATTTTAAATTACAGATACACGCTTTAATCCATTAGCTTTAAAACCCAAATTTGTCTATAATGGTTTTATTTTATTTCATATTTCCTTTATTGTTATTCCTCAAATAGACGTAGTAGTGACCTGAAATAATTCTTTTCAGCCAAGTCTAAGTTTTCGTTTAATTTTTATAACGAACAGAAATAATCAAACAAGAGTTATTACACTCGGCAGGAAAATTCCAACCACGTTCAGTGTTGTTTTTTTTAAATTCAACTCATATTACATAGTTCGCACTGGTGTACTTCCACAATGGGTTAGATTCAAAACAAACCCAAATAAAACCCCGAACTAGACTATAACTGCACAGAAAGAGCAGTAATTTTATAAAATTCGTGTAAAAACACTGACAGCTAGCTTCACCGGAGAGTTTTTTTAATCCACTAGCTTCAAACTCGAAATTTAGTTCGGATTCTTTTCATTTTATTTAATTTTTTTCCCGAAATTATGATTCTGCAGTGAAGCGTGCCGTACGAGTTTACGCTCGAATTAAAACGCTACCCATTTAATAAAATCCAGTTTGGAAATCTCCAATCTGAAACGCCAAAATTCGCATCTTGATGCCATCTCTTAAAGGGAATTAAACGGAATTAAAACGAACAAAACACCGCCGAATTTCCAAACTCGGACAAAACTTCGCAAAATCAATTACGATTCATACATTTACAAAATGAGAATCGATTCACCTGAAAAACGACCGACGTACGTTGAATTAGATGATTGAATTAGATTGGATGCCGGTAGAATGCAAGTTAGATCGTTAAATTTAAATGATTGCGTCGTGGAACGGACTTGGTAGTATATAGTGAGGCTGCTAGCTCAGTTTGACCTCGTTTGACCTTATATTTCTCTTCAGATATGAATGTTTTCGAAGATCAGACTGAAAAAACCGTGTCCGTCGACGAAGGGCAAGCTGCAATTTTAGATCTTCCCGAAATTGAATCGAAACCGCCGCCCGAGGTCTCGTGGCACACCAACGACGGCCAGCTCCCCTACGCTCAAAAATACGCCAAATCCAAATCCAACCAACTCATCATCCTCTCTACAGACCAATCAGACCAAAAAGCGTACCGGGCACGTGCAATAAATACGCAAGAGGGCAAGGAAGAGAACAGCGCCTTCATAAGACTGACCGTGGAGGAATCCAAAGACCACAAGGAGATCCAACCGCAGATAATCGTACCGCCTGAGGACGTTAAAATCGTCAAGGGTACTTCCCAGGCCACGCTCGATTGCATAGCGAACGCCAGACCGTTACACGAACTAGAAACCCTTTGGTACAAAGACGACATCCTGATCGAAAATGGCGGAATGTATTCGTTGAACGACATCTGGAACAGGAGTCTGACGCTGATTTCGGTGAATACGACCCACAGCGGGAAGTACGAGTGTCGGGTACGACTTAGATCGGACAGGTTGGACACGGTGGCGGCGGAGGCTCAAGTCATCGTTTTGGAGAAGCCGAGGTTTGTGAGCGCGACTCGGGCGGAGACGCTGGGGGAGTACGGGATGCCGATTAGTTTGCCGTGCGATGTGGTGGGGATACCAAAACCGAACGTCACGTGGTACAAGAACAGCCAAGCGGTTAACCTAACCGATCGAAGGTAAGACTTTATTAAATAAAAGTGAGGTTATAACGTTCCCGAAAAAAACGATCAGAGGTTTTTTATCGTTCTTTGTAATTTTATGTCGTAAAAGTACGTGGATCACCGTAATTAATGGTAAAAAGGTGTACTTAAGATATGCGCTCGGTACAGTTCATAAAGAGCGATAAGAGTGTAATTAAGGCACTTTTAGTGTTGATAATTTCGTGCACTCGACGTTGTGTCGACGATTGTTTAACGTTTTTAGCGGATTATAAACGGTGCAGGTGAAACCAGTTCTGTGTTTAGCATTTTGTTTTTTACTAAGGGGGCGTTAGACGAAAACGATTCAAATTTCCTTGATATTCAGCCACTTGTAGCACTTAAACCGATTGCTAAAATAACTGGTTTTTATAGACCACGAAATATTGAATAAATTCGGTAGAAATTCTGTATTGTAATTCGACAAAGTGCCCGAACAGGTCAATTTAAGTAGTTTTTCGCGAAAATAATCTAGTCACTTTGATAGAAGGGATAACGAGGGGGTAATGCACCACATTTTTATTTTGCATCGAATTCGTCCCTATGTGCTCTGAAATAAGGATCAAAATCGCTTAAACTTAGTGCTAGTAATATTGAAGTTGTCGCTTTTCGGTATTCTCTAATAATAATTTGTAAACTACCTGACAGACTTTTTTAAGTGAGTAGATCATTCACTATCAAAACTATTAAAAAATTATGAAAAAAAATAATCGAAGCTTAGCTTTTATCTTGGATATTTTTAATTGTTGCTCGAAATATTGAGTCAAAATATGTAAAAGTGAAAGCATCTGCATAACTGTTACATTATTAAAGACAAGAATATTAGAGTGAAAATACTACGAGAAGATCATGATTCCAAAAAATATATTTTCGAAATACTGTTTTATTGGTGTGTTCTTCTCAAAGAATTTTCACTCTAGAGATAGATTAGCTGAAGAGTGTTTTGGAAAACTGTTCTAAAATATAAACAAAAATACGTTGCTATATTTAGATTTATGAAACTCATATTTTTTTGTCAGTTGTATAAAATTTCAAATTCTTTAAGTGAAGTTTAAAACTGAACAAAGATGTACTTTTGACGTTTATCCGATTACTTTCGAAAATTCTGGATAAATGGAATTTTCGGAGACATGAAGCTGAAGACAATTTCTGCACAAATTAAAACAAAAATAATTTTTGAAGGTGCTAAGAGAAAATAAAAAATTTCATAAGTATTTAAAAAAAATAGAGCTTTGTAAAAGTTTCCTAAAAAAATCTACGATGTAGAGCTGGACTCGCCGATTCCAAAAATATAGAATATTTATAGTTTCAGGTCAAGATTTCCGAAATATTCGGAGTCAAAATCTAATTTTTAAAATATCCTAAAAATTGATATTTTATTTTGGCGATTCTGGAAAAATTATTTGAAATGTAATAATTGAAGATAACTTATGGCGAAATCAACAAAAAAATCTCTTAGGTAATTTTCGAAAATGCTCGGAAAAAGTCAACAATTCCATAAAGGGGACTGAAAGAAATTGAATTTTCGAAGGAATGCAGCCGAAAATAGGACGAAAACGCTTTCTACAAGTCTAAATCAAGAAAAATCTCCTTGGATAATTTTCGAAATTGGTGGGAAAAAAGTTAAAAATTTCATGACGGTATTGAAAATTTGAATTTTTGACAAAGTCGCTTGAAAAGTCACAAACATTTTTAGGTATTTATGGTCCCAGGCCAAGAGTTCCGAAATATTCCATTTTAAAACCATTTTTTTAAAATATCCCAAAAAAGACTATATTTCATTTTAGCGATTCTGAAAAAAAGGTCGAAGAAATAAAACCGAAGATAATTTAAGTCGAAATCAAGAAACAAATCTGTTTCAGCAATTTTCGAAAATGCTTGAAAGGGATTGAAAAAAATAGCTTTTGGAGAAGTAGCCTGAAATTCCAAAATAATTCCAACTCATGGATTTTTAATTTTTCGTTTTTTCAATTTTAGATTTTACAGTTTATCTGTGTTTCAATTTTTCGATTTACAAATTTTCCATTTTTTATTTTTTTTTGTTTCTTCAATTTTACGGTATATAACTCGTCGAGGTCTCTTTTTTAAATCTTTCAGTTTTTGGTTTTCCAACTTTTGGATGTTTCAATTTTTTGTGTGCAATTTTAAATTTGTAATTTTTTGTGTTTTCTTTAGTGTTTCAATTTTTCGGTTTTTCAATGTTCTCATTTTATATATTTTTTCTTCAATGTGAAATTTTTGGTTTTTTGGATTTTTCAATTTTTTGGTTTTCAAGTCTTCGATTTTTAATTTTTCGTTTTTTGATTAAATTTGTCAATTTTTTAATTTTACGAATTTAGGGTTTTTTCATTTTTCAATCACTGGATTTTAATACTTTTTCATTTATTCGATTTTTCAAATTTTGGTGTATCTAAATTTTCGTTTTTCGGATTTCTCAATTTCTCGATTAATCAATTTTTTAATTTTTTGACTTTCCGATTTTTCGATTTTTCGGTTTTCGACTTTTAGATTTTTAATTGTTCGTTTTTTGCTTAAATTTTTCAATACGTAATTAGAGTTTTACCATTTTTCAATTACTGGATTTACTTTTTCAATTTCTTGATCTTCCATGATTACAGTTCTTCGACTGCTTGACGTTTTTATAATTTTTCAATTTTTGGCGTTTGTAAATGTTCGTTTTTCCGATTTGTTAATTTCTCTATTAATCTTTGTTTTAATTTTTCGATTTCTCAAATTTTCGATGTTTCAGTTTTGGAGCTTTTCAATTTTTGTAATTTTTCAATATTTTGATTTTAACAGTTTTTCGATTTTTAAAATTTTTATATTTTCGATTTTTCAATTTCTCAATTTGACAATTTCTCAATTCCTGTTTTTCAAATTTTCAATTTTTTGATTTCTCGATTGTTCGGATTTTTGAGATTTTTTGGTTTTTCAATTTTTGGATTTTTAAAATTTTTATTTTTTCGATTTTCCAATTTTTTTATTTTTCGATTGTTTGGATTTTTGGGATTTTTTGGTTTTTCAATTTTTGGAATTTTATAAGTTTGATTTTTCGATTTTTCGTTTTTTCAATTTTAGATCTTACAGTTTCTCGTTTTTTCAATATTTCGTTTCTTCGATTTGTTAATTTCTAGTTTTCATTTTAAATATGTAATAACAATTACAGTTTTTAAATTTTTTCACTCTTTCATTTATTCGATTTTTCAAATTTTGGTGTATATAAATTTTCGTTTTTCGGATTTCTCAATTTCTCGATTAATCAATTTTTTAATTTTTTGACTTTCCGATTTTTCGATTTTTCAATTCTTCGATTTCTGTATTGTTCGAATTTTTGACTTCTGCTTTTAGATTTTTTGGTTTTTCAATTTTTGGAATTTTATAATTTTGATTTTTCGATTTTTCGTTTTTTCAATTTTAGATCTGACAATTTCTCGTTTTTTCAATATTTCGTTTCTTGGATTTTTGGTTTCCAATTTTTCTGGTTTTCATTTTAAATAAATGTAATAACAATTACAAATTGGTCACTTTTTCAGTTTTACGTATTTAGAGTTTTTCCATTTTTCAATTTCTGAATTTTAATACTTTTTCATTTATTCGATTTTTCAATTTTTAATTTTTGAATTTGTCGATACTTAATTTAATCAATTTTCAGTGTTACAGTTTTTCGAGTTTTCAATTTTTCAATTTTTGGTGTATCTAAATTTTCGACTTTCCGATTTTTCGATTTCTCAATTCTTCGATTTCACAATTTTTCGCTTTCTCAATTGTTCGGTTTCTCAATCTTTCGATTTCTCAATTTTTTTATTTCTGAAATTTCCGACTCCTCAAATTTTCGATGTTTCAGTCTTGGGACTTTTCAACTTTTAGATTTTTCAATAGTTTGATTTTTCAGTTTTTCGATTTTTTTAATTCCCGATTTTTCAATTTTTCAGTTTTTTTTTTGTTTCAAAAAAAGCTGTTTCAGCAATTTTCGAAAATGCTCGGAAAATCAAAAATTTTATAAAGGGGATTGAAAAGATATAACTTTTGGAAAACTTGAATGAAAATCCAAAAAAATATAAAATGTAGAATTCGACGTACTGATTCCTAAAAATAGCGAATTAATGGTCGCGGGCCAAGATTTCGGAACTATTCGGTTTCAAAATTCAAAAAATTTCCAAAAATCACCATATTTCATTTCGGCGATTCTGGAAAATTGCTCCGAATTTTCAAAGGAATGATGCCGAAAATACAACGAAAATGCCTTCTGCAATCAAGAAACCTCCTTGGAAAATTTTCAAGATTGCTGGGAAAAAAATTAAAAATTTCATAACGGTATTGAAAATTTGAATTTTTGAGAAAGGCGCTTAAAAAGTCACAAAAAATTTTAGAACCTGCTGATTCCAAAAATGTAGAGTATTTATGGTCCCAGGCCAAGATTTCCAAAATATTCGGTTTCAAAATCAAATTTTCAAAATATCCCAAAAATGACTATATACTTATTTTATTTTGGCGATTCTGGAAAATAAGTTTGGAACATAATTATCGAAGAAATGAAGCCGAAGATAACTCGAAATCAAGAAAAAGATCTGTTTCAGCAATTATCGAAAATGCTCGGAAAATCAATAATTTTACAAAGGGGATTCAAAAACGTTAGCTTTTCGAAAAGTTGGCTGAAAGTCGAAAATAATTCTAGCAAGTAGATTTCGACGGCTGATTCCAAAAATATGGCGAACTAATTCGCGGGCCAAGTTTTCGGAACTATTCGGTTTCAAAATCTGATTTTTTAAATTTTCCAAAAATTACCATATTTCATTTCGGCAATTATGGAAAAATGCTTCGAATTTTTAAAGAAATGAAGCCGAAAATAGGACGAAAACACCTCCTATAAGTCTAAATCAAGAAAAAAACTCCTTGGATAATTTTCGAAATTGCTGTGAAAAAAGTCAAAAATTCCATAACGGTATTGAAAATTTGAGTTTTTGGCAAAGTCGCTTAAAAAGTCACAAAACAATTCTGATGCGAAAAATATAGAATACAGGCAAAGATTTCCGACGAATTCAGTTTTAAAATCAGATTTTTAAAATATCCTAAAAATGGCAATGTTTAATTTTGCCGATTTTGGGAGAAAGATTGGAACATAATAATCCAAGGAATCTAGCCGAAGATAACTTAAATCGAAATCAAGAAAAAAAATCTGTTTAAGCAATTTTCGAAAATTCACGGAAACTCAAAAATTTTATAAAGTGGATTGAAAAAAAAAAATAGCTTTTGGAAAAGTAGCCCGAAAATCCAACAAAATTCTAGCATGTCGATCTCGACGTACTGATTCCAAAAACATAGCACAGGCAAAGATTTCCAAAGAATTCGGTTTTAAAATATCCTGAAAATGGCTATATTTCATTTTGGCGATTCTGGGAGAAAGATTGGAACGTAATAATCGAAGAAATCTAGCCGAAGATAACTTAAGTCGAAATCAAGAAAAAAAATTTGTTTAAGCAATTTTCGAAAATTCTTGGAAAATCAAAAATTTTATGAAGTGGATTAAAAAAAAAATAGCTTTTGGAAAAGTTGCCCGACAATCCAAAAAAATTCTAGCATGTCGATCTCTACGTACTGATTCCAAAAATATAGCGAATTAACGGTGACGGGCCAAGATTTCGGAACTATTAGGTTTCAAAATCTAATTTTTTAAATTTTCCAAAAATGACCATATTTCATTTCGGCGATTCTGGAAAAATGCTTCGAATTTTCGAAGGAATGAAGCCGAAAATAGGACGAAAACACTTTCTACAAGTGTAAATTAACAAAAAACTCCTTGGATAATTTTCAAAATTGCTGTGAAAAAAGTCAAAATTTCCATAACGGTATTGAAAATTTGAGTTTTTGACAAAGTCGCTTAAAAAGTCACAAAAAAATTCTGATTCCAAAATTATAGAGTACAGGCAAAGATTTCCAAAGAATTCGGTTTTAAAATATCCTAAACATGACTATATTTCATTTTGGCGATTCTGGGAGAAAGATTGGAATGTAATAATTGAAGAAATCTAGCCGCAGATAACTTGAGTCGAAATCAAGAAAAAAAATCTGTTTAAGCAATTTTCGAAAATTCTCGGAAAATCAAAAATTTTATAAAGTGGATTGAAAAAAAAATAGCTTTTGGAAAAATAGCCCGAAAATCCAAAAAAATTCTAGCATGTCGATCTCGACGTACTGATTCCAAAAACATAGCGAATTAATGGTGACGGGCCTAGATTTCGGAACTATTCGGTTTCAAAATCTAATTTTTAAAATTTTCCAAAAATGACCATATTTCATTTCGGGGATTCTGGAAAAATGCTTCGAATTTTCGAAGGAATGAAGCCGAAAATAGGACGAAAATACTTTCTACAAGTCTAAATCAAGAAAAAACTCCTTGGATAATTTTCGAAATTGCTGTGAAAAAAGTCAGAATTTCCATAACGGTATTGAAAATTTGAGTTTTTGACAAAGTCGCTTAAAAAGTCACAAAAAAATTCTGATTCGAAAAATATAGAGGACAGGCAATGATTTCCAAAAAATTCGGTTTTAAAATATCCTAAAAATGTCTACATTTCATTTTGGCGATTCTGGCAGAAAGATTGGAACGTAATAATTGAAGAAATCTAGCCGAACATAACTGAAGTCGAAATCAAGAAAAAAAATCTGTTTAAACAATTTTCGAAAATTCTCGGAAAATCAAAAATTTTATAAAGTATAAAAAAAAAATATAAAAAAATTCTAGCATGTCGATCTCGACGTACTGATTCCAAAAACATAGCGAATTAATGATGACGGGCCAAGATTTCGGAACTATTCGGTTTCAAAATCTAATTTTAAAAATTTTCAAAAATGACCATATTTCATTTCGGTGATTCTGATACTAAAAAATGTAGCTTTTGACAAAGTTGTTTAAAAAGTCACAAAAAATTCTGATCCCAAAAGAATATTTATGGTTCCGGGCAAAGATTTCCGGAATATTCGGTTTTAAAATAAATTTTTTAAAATATCCTAAAAATGACTATATGTATTTCATTTTGGCGATTCTAAAAAAAAGTTGTAATATAATAATCGAAAAAATGAAGCCGAAGATAACTTAAGTCGAAATCAAGAAAAAAATCTGTTTGGGTAATTTTCTAAAATGGTCGGAAAATCAAAAAGTTTGTAAGGGGTATTGAAAAAAAATAGGTTTTGAAAAAGTTGCCTGAAAATTAAAAAAATCTAGAATGTAGATCTGAATAACCATATTTCATTTTGGCGATTTTGAAATATTATTAATTATTCATTTCATACATAATGTACTCGTATCATTGTTGAAAGCAATCAAACTGAATAAAATATCCGCGCAATAAAATTGATTTGAGGCGTAACCGTACACCAGAAATTAAACGAAAGATCCATCACAAAGTCAAACTCCGGTCTTCATTAAATCTTAAAATATTCATGATCAAATGCGTTACAAAGAATTTTTACGTTCACAGTAATGAGAGCCTGCGTATTTGTTCTCAATAGTTTTTAACTCCTTCACCCGACTTCCCTGCAGTAATTAAAGTTTCACAAATATTCCTCGGAATAAAGTCATAACTCTGTGACCTCATTGCAATAACAAGAATTTCTCTAAAATATCATCGCCTTGTGAACGTTGAATTTTGCATTAATTAAAAACGGCATTGGATTGTTTATCATTTTAACGTCGCCCTTAACGTTATTATAAAATAATGAAGTGAAACAACGTAGAATGAATAATTAATTAGTGCAATATTTGCCGGTGAAGTTTAATCGCCACATTTATACTTTAACTAGTTGGTTTTTTCTCTTGAAAGTTTACATTTTTCACTCTAATGACTCAGTTTCTTAGAGATAATTACAGCGGTAATAAGCAGCTAATTTTCGATTTCTGTGTTTACTTAATTTTAATGACATTCTTAACGATTTCGTTTAAATATGAGGATTTTTCGCGAGGATGTTTATTTCAGTTACCATTAATTTTTTGTGCTGATAATAGATAAAGCATAAATCAAGCGGAAAGATGGCAGACTATGACCAATTAATCAAAAGTTACATATTAATGCAGAAAATGGGTAAAACGTCGCAGATTAATTTATAGAGTTTGAAATCTATAAAAAATTCAGGCAGTGGATGCAGTGACATTTACTCTGACCTTTGAAATCTCTCTCTAATCGGGCGTTATATCATTCGTACTCAGCGAACAATCTGTCCACGTTGTTTTCTTTCGAGTATGAATTTTTGAGGTTGTTGTGATTGTCGGACTAATTTATAACATTTCGGAACACAAAACCTACGAAATTCTTTGAATTTTTTCCAGCTGTGTTTCCAGCTCGACTCTTCAAATAGCGAAGAATATCTCGAATTCTTTCATACGTTGAAACGGAAAAATTTAATTTTGATTAAGTCGGAGTCGGGAACAGTTTTCGTGAGGGATATTCATTCCCACAGTATTTATTATAAAATCGATTCGGTTATCAATGCAAATAGGGGTTCTTGTTAATTAGGTTAACAATTGCCCTGTCACGATTATGCGTCAGATAACAAAGCGGAAACAATAATAAATTTAAAGCCAGGCAGGTTTTAATCCGCTCTCTCTTATACCTATACACTTAATTTATTTGTCGAAATATCCATCAACGAACTGTTATTACAAGCCACGTTTATTTTTCTTTTCTGCTCATTACACACGCTTTATTCAGTTCCATGTTTGTTTATTTTCGGGAACGTGTGCCATTACATAACCGAAATTCCTCCGGAATTAAAATTCGTGGAGGTCGTGACACTTCATTATCGCGTTCCAGGTACGTCCTCGAGGAAGACAATTCGCTGCTTATTAAAAAACTGCTAATAAACGACAACGGGATGTTCCAATGTTTCGCCAACAGCGAGGCCGGCGAAAGCTCCATCTCCACGTGGCTGCGAGTGAAGAGTAAGTATTGACCCAGCCACCCACAGAATTAATAAAAAATCTGACACCACATGCAGAACGCAGAAAAGCGAGGAGCTTAACGGCTAGACTAGCCAGATTCCGGGGTTCCGGCGAACGCCATAACAAAAAGAGTTTTGTTTTTATTACACCATGTAAGGGAATCCAAATGACGGAATGCTGTTGTTGAGTTTTGATTTGCCATCACGTGCACGTAGTTAGACTAAATTGAGGCATTGTATGTTGTTGTTGCACCGTTTTCTTGTTTTTCGTACTAGCATGTTATTGTCGCTGCACCAACTCAGTTCGCGTTCTAATTCGTTCTTGCTGCAGCCGCCGTGCCCATCATGGAGGTCGGCCCGCAGAACGTCACGGTCCTGGACGGCAAGGACGCAACGCTGTCGTGTAGAGCGGCGGGAGCGCCCACACCCAACGTCACCTGGATCTACAAAGGTGAGCTCCATTTCTCCCGTTAGACGCGCGCTTGTAACCTATAACAACCGCCTGTTGCATGGTCGTGTGCATTACTAATGTTTGCAGGCGAACAAGAAATTGAAACTTCGAGCAGGGTCCAAATTCTCGACACGGGAGATTTGCTAATAGCGGCGGTTAAAGAAGCGGATGTTGGAATGTACACTTGTATAAGAGCCAACGAAGCTGGAGAAGTGCGAGGCTCGGCATACTTGGGAGTCTTGGGTCAGTAAAGCGTTGCATGTTTCGTTGTGAGAAAAACTTTAAATGTGGTTTTGTTGCTAAATTGTAAGGCGCATACCGTTCAAAAGCAAACTGGAGTTTCCGGATGTCTGTCTGTTGTCGGGTACTGAACTGACTACTGTGAAGTTTTAGTATTTTTCAAGTTGGTTTATTAATGGGTGTAATATACACCGCGTCTCGATGCTTGAAAAACCTGCCGCATATTATACGCTCTACCCGGTGTTCGCAAAACAGCGAGCTATTTAAGCCAACTGCGCATTTCACCATGAGGTGTACATCTAAGAATCAATTTAATTAAGATACAAATTAAATAAAAAAAAAATCATGATTCGAAAATAAATGTTCAAAACCAAATTCATTGCTTTGTATCAAAATGAATCAGTGTTTAAAATTACTTTAAACGCCTTGAATGAATGTAATATAATACCTAACTTAAGTAAAAACATCCAGAATTTCAGACATATCGTTCCAAAAAAAGTAAGTAAAATTTTAGTTTTGAATTTTTCGATTTTTTAATTTTCCAATTTTTTTGATTTTTAATTTTTCAGGTTCTTGATTTTTAGTTCCTTCTTTTTCTCGATTATTAGTTTTTCAATTTTTAACAAAAAACAATTACCAAAACTAAAATTTTGGAAAATCGTAAACAATGCTTTATATCAATTTTTTTTAATATCGTCAACTTTCTGCAGAAGATGAAACTACAAGAGAATAGAGAAACTACAAGTGAATACGGAAGTTTTGGTCAGCATTTTAAAAATCTGGATGGATTTTTCGTTTCTTCATTTTTTCAATTTGCAATTTTTCAATGATTATCAGATTTAACAATTTTTCGTACTTTTTATTTAATTTTTCGTTTTTTACAATTTGTTGATTTTAAAATTTTTGATATTTTCAACTTTTCGTTTTTACAATTGTCTGATTTTTAATTTTTTCGATTCTTCATTTCCTTTATTTGCAATTTTTCGGTTTTACAATTTTCCGATTTTAAAATTTTTGGTCTTTTCAAATTTTCGTTTTTATAATTTTCTAATTTTCGACATTTTCAATTTTTTGATTTTACAGATTCTTGATTTTTAAATTTTTGGTTTTCTCAAATTTTCGTTTTTACAATTTTTCTCTTTTTAATTTTACGCTTTGCAGACTTCAAAATTTTTTGTTTTTTCAACTTTTCGTTTTTACAATTATTGTTGTTTTTTAATTTTTGTTTTTACAATTGTCTGATTTTTAATTTTTTCGATTCTTCATTTCCTTTATTTGCAATTTTTCGGTTATACAATTTCCCAATTTTCATAATTTTTATATTTTCAACTTTTCGTTTTTACAATTATTGTTCTGTTATTTAATTTTTGTTTTTACAATTGTCTGATTTTTAATTTTTTCGATTCTTCATTTCCTTTATTTGCAATTTTTCGGTTTTACAATTTCCCAATTTTCAAAATTTTTTATATTTTCAACTTTTCGTTTTTACAATTTTCTAATTTTCGACATTTTCAATTTTTTGATTTTACAGTTTCTTGGTTTTAAAATTTTTGGTTTTCTCAACTTTTCGTTTTTACAATTTTTCTCTTTTTCATTTTACGTTTTGCAGACTTCAAAATTTTTTGTTTTTTCAACTTTTCGTTTTTACAATTATTGTTCTGTTTTTTAATTTTTTCGATTCTTCATTTCCTTTATTTGCAATTTTTCGGTTTTACAATTTCCCAATTTTCAAAATTTTTGTATCTTCAACTTTTCGTTTTACAAATATTGTTCTGTTATTTAATTTTTGTTTTTACAATTGTCTGATTTTTAATTTTTTCGATTCTTCATTTCCTTTATTTGCAATTTTTCGGTTTTACAATTCCTAATTTTCAAAATTTTTTATATTTTCAACTTTTCGTTTTTACAATTTTCTGATTTTCGACATTTGCAATTTTTTGATTTTTCAGATTCTTGATTTTAAAATTTTTGGTTTTCTCAACTTTTCGTTTTTACAATTTTTCCCTTTTTCATTTTACGGTTTGCAGACTTCCAAATTTTTAGTTTTTTCAACTTTCCGTTTTTACAATTGTTCTATTTTTCAATTTTCGTTTTTACAATTGTCTGATTTTTAATTTTTTCGATTCTTCATTTCCTTTATTTGCAATTTTTCGGTTTTACAATTTTCCGATTTTAAAATTTTTGGTCTTTTCAAATTTTCGTTTTTATAATTTTCTGATTTTCGACATTTTCAATTTTTTGATTTTACAGATTCTTGATTTTTAAATTTTTGGTTTTCTCAAATTTTCGTTTTTACAATTGTTCTCTTTTTAATTTTACGCTTTGCAGACTTCAAAATTTTTTGTTTTTTCAACTTTTCGTTTTTACAATTGTTGTTTTTTAATTTTTGTTTTTACAATTGTCTGATTTTTAATTTTTTCGATTCTTCATTTCCTTTATTTGCAATTTTTCGGTTATACAATTTGCCAATTTTCAAAATTTTTATATTTTCAACTTTTCGTTTTTACAATTATTGTTCTGTTATTTAATTTTTGTTTTTACAATTGTCTGATTTTTAATTTTTTCGATTCTTCATTTCCTTTATTTGCAATTTTTTGGTTTAACAATTTCCCAATTTTCAAAATTTTTTATATTTTCAACTTTTCGTTTTTACAATTTTCTAATTTTCGACATTTTCAATTTTTTGATTTTACAGTTTCTTGATTTTAAAATTTTTGGTTTTTTCAACTTTTCGTTTTTACAATTTTTCTCTTTTTCATTTTACGGTTTGCAGACTTCAAAATTTTTAGTTTTTTCAACTTTTCGTTTTTACAATTATTGTTCTGTTTTTTAATTTTTGTTTTTACAATTGTCTGATTTTTAATTTTTTCGATTCTTCATTTCCTTTATTTGCAATTTTTCGGTTTTACAATTTCCCGATTTTAAAATTTTTGGTCTTTTCAAATTTTCGTTTTTAGAGATTTCTGATTTTTCTTTTTGCAATTTTTTAATTTTACAGTTTCTTGATTTTAAATGTTTTGTTTTTTTAAACTTTTCGGTTTTATAATTTTTTATTTTTCAATTTTCTTGTTTACATTTGTCTGATTTTTCATTTTTTCGATTCTTCAATTTTTCGTTTCCTCAATTCTTTCATTTGCAATTTTTCGATTTTAGAATTTCCTAATTTTAAAATTTTTGTATTTTCAAATTTTCGTTTTTATAGGTTTCTGATTTTTAGTTTTTTCAATTTTTCGTTTCTTCAATTTTTTGATCTACAATTTTTTGATTCTACAATTTAACGATTTCAAAAATTTTGCTTTTTCAACTTTTCGTTTTTACGGTGTCTTCCATTTTTCAATTTTGGGTTTTACAATTGTCTGATTTTTCATTTTTTCGATTCTTCATTTCGTTTATTTGCAATTTTTCTATTCTGTTTTTAAAGTGTCTTCCATTTTTCAATTTTGTTTTTTACATTTGTCTGATTTTTCAATTTTTCGATTCTTCAATTTTTCGTTTCCTCAATTCTTTCATTTGCAATTTTTCGATTTTAGAATTTCCCGGTTTTAAAATTGTTGGTCTTTCAAATTTTCGTTTTTACACGTTTCTGATTTTTCGTTTTTTTAATTTTTCGTTTCAATTTCCGGATATGCAATTTTTTAATTCTATAATAAAATTTATCGATTTTAAAATTTTTGGTTTTTTCAACTTTTCATTTTTCAGTTTTTTTTTTCATTTTTCTTTTTCCAATTTCCCAATTTTAAATTTTTTGATATTTTCAACTTTTCGCTTTTATATTTTTCTGATTTTTCAATTTTTCGTTTCTTCAATTGCTTGATTTGCAATTTCTTGATTCACTACAATTTATCGATTTTAAAATTTTTTGTTTTCAACTTTTCCTGTTTCCAGTTTTTCTGTTTTTCAGTTTTCCTTTTATAATTTTCTGATTTTTCACTTTTTCAATTTTCGTTTCTTCAATTTCTTGATTTGCAATTTTTTTATATTACAGTTTCTTGATTTTAAAATTTTTGATTTTTTCGACTGTTCATTTTGTACAATTTTTCAATTTTCGTTCTTACAGTTGTCTGATTTTTCGTTTTTTCGATCGTTTCTTCATTTCTTTTATTTGCAATTTTTTAATTTTACAATTTCCCAATTTTTAAATTTTTGGTTTTTTCAAGTTTTCGTTTTTCCAATTTTTCTGTTTTTCGTTTCTTCAATTTCTTGCTCTGCATTTTTTGATTCTGCAATTTCCCGATTTATTTTTTTTTTCAATTTTTCGTTTTTACGATTTTTCTGTTTTTCAATTTTCATTTACAAATTTTTAATGTTTCACTCTTCCGATTTTTCAATTGTGTGTTTCTTGAGTTTTTTAATTTGAATTTTTTCGTTTATTCAATTTCTTCATTTCCAATTTTCCTATTTCTCAATTTTCATTTTTATAATTTTCTGGTTTTTCACTTTTTCCATTTTTCAAATTTTCATTTCTTCAATTTTTTGATTTGCAATATTTCGTTTTCGATCTTACAATTTCTCTATTTTAAAATTTTTGATTTTTCAATTTTTCGTTTTTATAATAATTTTTCACTTTTTCGATTTTACAATTTCCCGATTTATTTTTTTTTTTTCAAAATTTCTTTTTGGACAATTTTTCTATTTTTCAATTTTCGTTTTTACAATTTTCTAATTTTTCACTCTTCAATTTTTGGCTTTTTTAATTTTTCGTTTCTGCAATCCCTTTATTTGCAATTTTTCGATTTTACAATTTCCCAATTTTAAAGTTTTTATTTTTTTCAACTTCTCGTGTTTCCAATTTTTCTGTTTTTCCATTCACAGTCTGATTTTTCACTTTTTCGATTTCTCAATTTTTCGTTTCTTCAGTTTCTTGATTTGCAATTTTTCAATCTAATAATTTCCCGATTTAAAATTTTTTTACAATTTTTCTGTTTTTCAGTTTTCATTTACAATTTTCTAATTTTTCACTCTCTTGATTTTAGTTTTTTCTTCAGTGTCTTGATCTGCAATTTTTCATTTCTTCAATTTCTTCATTTCCAATTTTTCTATTTCCTAATTTTCATTACAATTTCCCTATTTTAAAATTTTTTATTTTTCTCAATTTTCCGTTTTTATAATTTTTCTATTTTCAATTTTCATTTTTACAATTTTCTAATTTTTCACTTTGTCGAATTAATTTTTTTTTAATTTTTCAATTTTCGTTTTTAATTTTTATAATTTTTCGATTTTTTAATTTTTCCTTTCTTTTTTATTTTTCTCAATTTTCCCTTTTTGATAATTTTTCTATTTTCAATTTTCATTTTTACAATTTTCTAATTTTTCACTTTGTCGAATTGATTTTTTTTTAATTTTTCAATTTTCGTTTTTAATTTTTATAATTTTTCGATTTTTTAATTTTTCCTTTCTTCAATTTTTCGTGTCTTCAATTCCTTTCTTTACTATTTTTCTATTTCTTTCCCAATTTTCATTTTTACAATTTCCTGGTTTTTCACTTTTTCCATTTTCTAATTTTTTGTTTCTTCAATTTCTTGATCTGCAATTTTTCTATTTCTCAATTTTTATTTTTACAATTTCCTGGTTTTTCACTTTTTCCATTTTTCAATTTTTTGTTTCGTCACGTGCTTGATTTGCAATATTTCGTTTTCGATTTTACAATTTCCTTGTTTTAAAATTTTTGATTTATTTCAATTCTTCGTTTTTATTATTTTACGATTTTCTAATTTTTCACTTTTTCGATTTTAAAATTTTTGTTTTTTTTTTCAATTATTCTGTTTATACAATTTTTCTATTTTCGTTTTTGTAATTTTCTGGTTTTTCACTTTTTCAGTTTTTCGTTTCTTCAATTTTTTGATTCTATAAATTATCGATTTTAACATTTTTGGTTTTTTCAACTTTTTGTTTTTATAATGTTTCCGTTTTTGCAGTTTTCCTTTTACAATTGTCTGAGTTTCCATTTTTTCGATTTTTCAATTTTTCGTTTCTACAGTTTCTTGAATTGCAATTTTTCGATCTTACAATTTCCCGATTCTAAAATTTTACATTTGGGGCCCCCGAGAAGAAGAATGTGAAGGAATCTGAAACAATTTGAAGGAATTTGAAATAATTCGAAAGAATTTGATAGAATCGGAAAGAATCTAAGAAACTCCGAGAGAATCCGAAAAAATATGAAGGAATCTGAAACAATTTGATGCGATTTGCAGTAATCTAAAAGAATCTGAAAAATTGGAAGAATTGGAAGTAATAGAAATGGAAAGAATTTAAAAGATTATTCTGACAGAATTTGATAGAACCTGAAGAAATCTAAAACAGTTTAAAAGAGTTTGATGTAATTTGAGAGAATCTGAAAAAATGGAAAGAATAAAATTTAAAACAATCTGAATGAGTCTAATAGAATCTGAGAGGATCTGAAAGAATCTGTAAGAATGTGAAAAAATGTGAAGGAATCTGAAACAATTTGAAGGAATTTGATGTAATTTGAAAGAATCTAAAAGAATCTGAAAAAATATGAAAGAGTCTGAAAGAACCCGAAAGAATCTAAGAAAATCTGAAAGAATCCGAAGGAATCTGGAAGGAATTTGATGTAACTTGAAAAACTTTAAAAAATCTGAAGCCTTGAAAAGAATAGAATTTGAAAGAATCTCATAGAATCTGACATAATTTGATGGAATCTGACAGAATGTGAAAGATCTGGAAGAATCCGAAAGAATCGAAAAGAATCCAATTCAAAGGAGTTTGATGTAATCTGAGACAATCTAAGATTTTGCAATTTTTCAATGTTACAATTTCCCGGATTTACGTAATTTTTTTTTTCAATTTTTTGTTTTTATAATTTTTCTGCTTTTCAGTTTTCATTTACAATTTTCTAATTTTTTACTCTTCCGATTTTTCAATTGTGTGTTTCTTCAATTTCTTCTTTTGCAATTCTTCGTTTCTTCAGTTTCTTGATTTACAAAATTTCGTTTTCGTTTTTACAATTTTAGATTTTCTTCAATTTTTCGTTTTTATAATCTTTCTGTTTTTCAATTTTCATTTTTAAAATCTTCTAATTTTTCATTTTTTCGATTTTTCAGTTTTTCATTTCTTTGCAATTTTTCGATTTTACGTTTTGGTTTTTTCAATGTCTCGTTTTTCTTCAGTTTCTTGATTTGCAATTTTTCGGTTTTACAATTTCCCGATTTTAAGATATTTGTTTTTTTTTTTTCTATTTTTCAGTTTCTCTAAAAATAGAATACATTTTCAAAAATAGTTAATGCAAGATCTTAGAGCGTTCGGTTTTGCAGTTTCTAAGTTAAATTGTAAAGTGTTACCTGCATAATTTTTTTGTTTTTGTAAATTTGGATATCCAAGGTAAAAATAAAACGGATTTATAAACCACTGGTATAGAAATAAGCTACTTCATAAAATTTACTAAGCAAAATTTGGAGACAACGACAGGCAGACGGACCCGATTTATTCGGCAATAAACTCTGGGTACTACTTTGGGCAATTTCCCATATTTCGCGGGACGTAAATTATTTTTCAGCCTCACACATTGTAAATGATTATTGCACTCACATGTCACATGATGTCAACTGACCAATCAAACGCGTCAATATTTGTAAATTCAACCAATCAGCATACAATTACGTGATAATTGCACACTGTGCAATTACCACTACCGATAATTATCACTAGCCAGATGTGCCAACTATAAGATAAGCAAGTACCAGTTAATTGCAAAAAAAAACAAGAGGTTACTAACCAAATATTTAATTATGAAACTAAGAATTGTAATTAATTATGGTACAGTTGTAGTAATTTACAGGGGTTTGTGTGCTTGGTGAAGTAGTAACTATATTTTTAGACATTTGTACCAAAGCAGACGGTGCGCAATTTGTGGATTTGTTATTAGACTCTTCCATAGCCGTTGAGTTGGCGCGTAATTTGTCAATCATTTGATAATGATGATCTCCATCGAGCTGAAGGTATGGTTTGATGGAGAAAGTATTGGCATGACCGGTAATCTTTATAAGCTGTTCTTCACCGACTCCCGCTTTTGCAAGTTGCGACACTGCAGTTGACCGTAATGAATGATTACTAATCTTCTTTTTCTTTATGTCGATGCCTATTTCTTCTGCGGCGGTTCTTGTCCATTTCCCCATTTCATTCCTTCCAACGGGTGAATTTTTGAACCATCCTACAGAACTAGGTTCTCTCCATGCAGGATTTGGCGTTAAAAATAAACGATCGGTGGTTATATGTTTACCTCTCTTGCTCAGCATTTTTTTGTAGAGCCTTAAATAATAAAATAATTATTATTTTGTATTTGAAACAGTATTTAATTACCTAACAGGGCAAATTCTAGGATCTGTGGTGTTTGTTGCAAGCCATTTGCTGTCTGTTAATTTATGGCTACCTCCTTGAGCTGTTTTGGAAAAAATACAATTGTATTCTATTCGCCCCGTAGGCAAACCACAATTATCACTTTCTTCCTTAAAATGTTTGATAGTAACGTTAACACCTTCACATCCCCTCCAAGCTAATTCTAATCCAGCCACATAAAAAAACATTTTCTGTAAACCATCTGGCGTGTCTTCGTTATAAATCTTTAGAATCTTGTTGTATTCTTCTAGAGTCAAAATTGAGGAACTAGTTTTGCGTTTTTCCGGTTGTATTTGTAGGTTCCGGCGTTTTGCGTCGCGTGCATTTCTACTACCCTTGAATTCCAGGTCAACAAAAGGATCAAACTTTATACCAAATTTATTGAAATACAGTTCTTGCAACTGCTTTGCCGTTACATTCCACATCGTTTTTATTACTGCTTCTTTGTAGTCATTACCATCGACTTTTTTCATATTGTACCCCCAATCTTTGAGGATGAATGCTAGTTTTTCCGTGGAAGTGTTTCCATCAAAAACATATTTGCGTTCACCGCAAAACTTCTCAAATTGCCTCCAGATTGAATTTCGTGAGTTCTTCGTATTTAGCGGCGTAATGTTTGTAATAGAATCATCAATTTCTTTTGGCGTGTTACGACCAAAACGAAAATTGGACATGGTTTTTTAAACCCACACAAATTTTGCAAAATGGCTGTTCTTATTTACTTGCGTCGCCATAGTATCGCACACCAAACTACTTCGTAAATCATTATAAAATTATTTTTAAAATGTTTGTTCTTGCAATAATCTGTTGAATATATTGCGTGCATCACAATGAAATCGATAATTTTGAACAACAATAATCTCTCATGCTTGTTGCCTAAGAAAAATGCACTCGTGCTAAAGCACTCGTGCGTTTTCAATGCAACAAGCATTCGAGTTATTGTTGCTCAAAATTATCGATAACATTGCGATGCACTTAATATATTATAACTGATAATTTATTTATTATTGCGAAAATTTAAACTTCAATGTTACAATCTGACATTTGTCGTACCAACCACGACTAAAATCCCCAAAATTTTGGTATTCGTGCTCTAAAATAAGGTTTTATGAAACTGGGGTGTTTTTCGAGTAACACAACAATGCTTTAGTGGACTTTTTTAAAACATTGTTGTGTGGATTGGTGTTCCTGATTTCGTAACGCGGGATCATTCAAAATTGACAGACAATTGATATTTGTCACGATTTTCATGATATTTCTGCAGAATTATGAAACCCTCGCTCCAAGCGAGTTCTACTGTACATTACTTTCTAAATCCCGCTTGTTTTTGAACGGTCTGCCTCCGAAAATTCCTCTTTTCTCACGAACTCCGTGCTTTATGTGACCGTTCGTGCGTTTTATTGCAGTTCGGACCCAAATAATACAGCCCCCGGTTGATACTCGGGTCTTGCTGGGCCACACGGCGACTCTACAGTGTAAAATATCTTCAGACCCGGCGGTCAAGTTCGACTTACATTGGTACAAAAACAAGCAGTAAGTAGTGATTTTTCAAGGGTTGACTGCATATCGCAAGTCATTAGTTAGAAACCTAATCTTACCCAACTTTTGTTTGTCCAGATTGATGAACCCCAAGTCCAGCCAGAGAATAAGCATCTTGAAAGACGGAACTTTGGAAATCCAGGCGGTGAGGGCCGCGGATGTTGGGTTTTACACATGCTCAATTAAATCACCTGGTGGTAACGAAACGAGATCGGCTAAATTGAGCGTTATCGAACTACCATACGCCCCGACTAATGTTAAAGCTGAAAGGTTAGATATTGCGTCACAGAGGGCCGTCAATGTTAGTTGGATACCTGGATTTGATGGAAACAGCCCTATAAAACAATTTATTATACAGAAACGAGAGGTGCCCGAACTTGGTATGTAGGGTTTTTTATTATCTCTCATGAACTATGTTTTTGTGTTATGAAATCATTTTGGTGGCGTAGTACATAAATGGCTCATGTGCTTTACTGCTCTTGTTATGGGTCTTGCTTGGTTATGGAATTTTTTTGTGAAGGTTATTTTTTATTACTAATGCATGTATTTACAAAGTAGTCGTGGAATAATGAATTTTTAGACGTTTGAATTTTTAAGTTAATTAAAAGTAATTAGTTGCGTAGGGCGAATTATTCAGCGTTTAACGTAATGTCCTAGATTATTTTTTCCAAAAACTAACACTTATCTATCAAATAAAACTATTAAATTGGTTTTTGTGTTGTAACTAAAAAAGATCCACCAACACCGCATTTAACTATTTTGTGTCACTTACGGGCGATTTATAAACTTGCCGCTGACGTTGTTGTTCGTCGTTGACGTTGGGTTTTCAACCAATCAAATTGCGGTAGTGTGCAGTGCTGCCAACTTGAAAGAAAATCCCTTGAAATATAGGGTGAACATTTTTCTGGTTAACAGCTCTAATTACACTAAAATCAAATCTTGATAGGGATAGTGAGGTCCATTAAGATTAATTAATTTAGTTAATTAATTAATCTTAATGGACCTCACTATCCCTATCAAAATTTGAATTTAGTCACCTGTTCACCGAAACACTCATATTTTAAATAGCTGCCATCAAGATAGTTCTGGACGTTTAAATCAATAAGATTTATTGCTATTCGTCCCTTGATCTGACAACGAATGAAAATCTCATCAGAATTGTGATAGGGCGGGTGGGCGGGGCTTAGATTTTGCTTTTTTTCTTAGTATGTGTGTTATCTTTTCACAACAAGAAACTTAAAACATGTTTAAAATTGTAAATTTGTATAGGGAAATATCCATTTTGCAATTATGCTCCGCCCCTTGGTCTGACAACGAATGAAAACTTCAATACGATTGAGATCGAGACGGGTGGGTGGGGCTTCTCTTTTGATTTTCTTTGTAAACACGATTACTTAACTACATATTTCACATGGTAATTTCTCGTGGAAAAATAAGGATTTTATAATTAAACTTTTATTTCTCAATTTTCATTTTAATAATTTTTAGTTTTTTACTTTTTCCATTTTTCAATTTTTCATTTCTTCAATTTTTTAATTTGCAATATGTCGTTTTCGATTTTACAATTTTTAGGTTTTTCAATTTCTTGATATCCAATTTTTCGATTTTACAATTTCCCGATTTTAAATTTTTTTCTCTTTTACAAGATTCTATTTTTTCACTTTCAATGTTTACAAGTTCCTGGTTTATCACTTTGCCCATTTTTCAATTTTTTGTTTCTTCAATTTCTTGATTTGCAATATTTCGTTTTCGATTTTACAATTTCCCTATTTTAAAATTTTTGATTTTTTCAATTTTTCGTTTTTATAATGTTTCTATTTTTCAATGTTCATTTTTACAATTCTCTAATTTTTCACTTTTCCAATTGTTTTTCAATTCTTCTGTTTATACAAGATTTCAATTATTTTAATTTTTCGTTTCTTCTAGTTTTTGTTCTGCAATTTATCTATTTAAAATTTTTGTTTTTTTCAACTTTTTGTTTTTACCATGTTTCTGTTTTTTCTTCTTCCTTTTACAATTGTATAATATTTCACTTTTTCGATTTATCAATTTTTCCATTCTTCAGTTTCTTGATTTGCAATTTTTCAATCTTACAATTTTCCGATTTTATTTATTTTTTTTCAATTTTTCGTGTTTACAATGTTTCTGTTTTAAAATTTTCTTTCATTTACAATTTCCTGATTTTTCACTATTCCCATTTTGCAGTTGTGTGTTCCTTCAATTTCTGGATATGCAATATTTCGTTTTCGATTTTACAATTTTTCTATTTTTCAATTTTCATTTTTACAATTTTCTGGTTTGTCCCTTTTTCCATTTTTCAATTTCTTGTTTCTTCAATTTGTTAATTTGTAATATTTTATTTTTGATTTTACAATTTCCCTATTTTAAAATTTTCGATTTTCATTTTTACAAATTCTCTCATTTTTGCTTTCAATTGTTTTTCAACTTTTTCTTTTTACCATTTCTGTTTTTTATTCTTCCTTTTACAATTGTATAATACATATTTTATTTTTTCGATTTTTTAATTTTTCGTTTCTTCAGTTTCTTGATTTGCAGTTTTTCAGTCTTACAATTTTCCGATTTTAATTTTTTTTTTCAATTTTCCGATTTTATTTATTTTTTTTCAATTTTTCGTGTTTACAATGTTTCTGTTTTTCAGCTTTCATTTACAATTTCCTGATTTTTCACTATTCCCATTTTTCAGTTGTGTGTTCTTGATTTGCAATATTTCGTTTTCGTTTTTAAAATTTCCCTATTTTAAAATTTTTGTTTTTTTTCAATTTTTCGTTTTTATAATTTTTCTATTTTTCAATTTTTTGATTTGCAATTTTTTTATGCTATAATTTATCGATTTTAATATTTTTGGTTTTTTCAAACTTTTTTTTACCATGTTTCTATTTTTTATTTTTCCTTTTACAATTGTATAATATTTCACCTTTTTGATTTTTCAATTTTTCGTTTCTTCAGTTTCTTGATTTGCAATTTTTCAGTCTTACAATTTTCCGATTTAAAAATTTTTTTTCAATTTTTCGTGTTTACAATTTTTCTGTTTTTCAGCTTTCATTTACAATTTCCTGATTTTTCACTATTCCGATTTTTCAGTTGTGTGTTCCTTCAACTTTTTCATTTGCAATTTTTCGTTTTTTCAATGTCTTCCTTTCCAATTCTTCTATTTCTCAATTTTCATTTTTACAATTTCCTGGTTTTTCACTTTTCCATTTTTCAATTTTTTGTTTCTTCAATTTCTTGATTTGCAGTATTTTGTTTTCGATTTTACAATTTCCCTATTTTAAAATTTTTGATTTTTTTCAATTTTTCGTTTTTTCAATTCTTTTATTTGTAATTTTTCGATTTTACAATTTCCGGATTTTAAAATTATTGGTCTTTTCAAATTTTGTGTTTACAAGTTTCTAATTTTTCACTTTAAATTTTTCGTTTCTTCAATTTTTTGATTTTACAATTTATCGATTTTAAAATTTGTTTTTTCAAACTTTGGGTTTTCCAGTTTCTCTGTTTTTCATTTTTCCTTATACAATTTCCGAATTTTAAAATTTTTAAAATTTTCAACTTTTCGTTTTTAAAATTTTCTGATTTTTCACTTTTTCAAATTTTCGTTTCTTCAATTTCTTGATTTGAATTATTTTGATTTTACAGTTTTTTGATTTTAAAATTTTTGGTTTTTTCAACTTTTTGTTTTTACAGTTTTTTTATTTTCCAATTTTCGTTTTTACAATTGTCTGATTTTTCATTTTTTCAATTTTACAATTTCTCGATTTTAAAATTTTTGGTCTTTTCAAATTTTCGTTTTTACAGGTTTCTGATTTTTCATTTTTTTGAATTTTTCGTTTCTTCAATTTCTTGGTTTGCAATTTTTTGATTCTACAATTTATCATTTTAAAATTTTTGGTTTTACAACTTTTCGTTTTTACAGTTTTTCTATGTTTTAGTTTTTATTTACAATTTTCTAATTTTTCATTCTTCCGATTTCTCAATTGTGTTTCTTCAATTTCTTGATTTGAGTTTTTCGTTTTTTCAATTTTTTCATTTCCAATTTTTCTATTTCTCAATTTTCGTTCTTACAATTTCCTAGTTTGTCACTTCTTCCATTTTTCAATTTTTGTTTCTTCAAATTCTTGATTTGCAATATGTATTTCGTTTTCGATTTTACAATATCCCTATTTTTTTCAATTTTCGTTTTTATAATGTTTCAATTTTCATTTTTACAGTTTTCTAATTTTTCGATTTTACAATTTCCCAATTTTAAATTTTTTGTTTATACAGTTTTTTTTAATTTTCTGATTTTTCAGTGTTTCGTTTCTTCAATTTTTAATTTACAGTTTTGACTTAATTTCTTGTAGAGAAATAATAGGATTTTTTACAATTAAATTGAGAAATATCGATTTTACAATTACGCTCCGCCCCTCAGTCTGACAACGAATGAAAAATTCATCACAACTGAGATTCGATACGGATGGGTGGGGCTTCTCTTTTGTATTTTCTTTCTCAATTAATACATTTAGTTTTCTTTGTATAACACGATTACTTAAGAACATACTTCACATGGTAATTTTTCGTAAAAAAATTAGGATTTTATAATTAAACTCCTCCCCTCGGCATACGACCAATAAGAAAAAATCATGAGAATTGAGATAGGGCGGGTGGGCGGGGCTTATATTTTCCTTTTCTTTTTTCTTAACATAGCTAGCCATATTTTCACAACAAGAAACATAAAACATGGTTAAAATGGTACATTTTAAAAGAAAATATGGATTTTGTAATTATGGGGCAAAATCGAAATTTCCTTATACAAATTTTTCATTTTAAACATGTGTTAAGTTTCATGTTGTGAAAAGAAGTCTACACATATTAAAAGAGAAAGGCAAAATGTGAGCCCACCCACCCACCCTGTCTACATTGTGAAGATTTTTTTTTTCACCGTGAACCTAGGGGGCGGAGCTTAACGACAAAATACTTATTTCTTTACAACAAATTATAATTTTTAATTTGTAAGGAAATATTTTGCAATTAGGCTGCTCCCCTCGATCTGACAACGAATGATACTCAAAAACTTATTTTTAATTTCTCGTAGAGAAATAAGGATTTTGCAGTTAAGCTCCGCCTTCTTGGCTCACGACGCATAAAAAAAGTCATCACAATTGAGACAGGGTGGGTGGGCGGGGCTTACATTTTGCCCTATTTGCTTTACATGTGTGGACTTATTTCGACAACAAGAAACTTAAAACCATATCTAAAATGTCGGCATCAAGTTTATAAATCTCACTTTATACTTACCAACATAACTGAATTTAAAAAAAATCATTCAGAGGCAATTAAAATTGTATACCGATCAGGATGTTTTTGGACGAAGGTAGGCTATGTAACTCTAGTGAATTGTTAGAAAATTATTTTCAAAATTTTAAAATTACGTTTAGTTATGGGTGTGCAAACGTCAAAAATGTCCGTGCAAATCATTCAATTGTTTGGAAAAAATGAAGCTTTTAATTTTAAATTGGTTCACGGAAAGGTCAAGTATGAAAGTACACATTAATTGCCTGCCGTTTTGTTTCGATTTGTTAAAAAAAAATGCCATTTAAATTGAAAAACGCTTTAAAGTGGACAGGTCATGGCCAAACATGCTAATTACAATTTTTTTCGTGCAGTCAGAAAAACTGGCCGTTGAAATGAAAATTGCAATTTACGCTTTTCGGATACAATATTTCTGTCGACACCTTTTGAGATTATATATAGAAAGGTAAAATAACCGAATTACTATTGTTTCGTTTTTGCTCGCTCCTTGTATTAAAATTTCATTTATGTCCCGAATTGCCTCTGAATGAACAACCTCCTCGCAAGGTCATGCCTTCATCGCGTGTTATTCCGAGATCCCGATCGGCGCTACGCAACTAGTTCATAAAGAGTAGGTTCGTAAAAAAACACAATACCTCCCTAACAAATAAAATAAATAGAATATTAATTAAACACAATGACGTGGCGGGCGGAGCCGTGTTCGAAAAGAACAACCATTCTCTTTCCGCACGACTTCGACCACATCGGCAATAACACAAAAACATTGTTTAAGCATGAGCATGTGGCTGGTGGTATTGTAAAATTTTGTGTAAATACTGATTGGTGCATGCTCATCGAGCCTCGGTTGTCGTTCGACCCGATCTTAATAAAAAGCAGACTTATTTTGTTCCATTAGTTCCTCCGATTTTAGGCCCAATTCCAGATCCCTTGCTCAACTGGGTGACGGAGTTGAGTAACGTTTCGGCAGATCAAAGATGGGTTTTGTTAACAAATTTAAAAGCAGCCGCTGCGTATCAGTTCCGTGTGAGCGCAGTCAATAGTGTGGGAGAAGGAAGTCCGTCCGAGCCCAGCAATCAAGTCATGCTGCCGCAAGAAGGTTGGTATTGTTTGTTGTAATTGTTGATCGATGTCGGATAAGCGATAAGTTTTATCTGTTTTTGAAAATTGAAACGTACATTGTTTGTTGTATTAATTTTTATCGTGCAGGCAGCTCATATGAATTTCTATTTAAAGGTGGGATCAATGTTTTATGCATGTCTTCAGTTTTGTTTCTGTCGACTCTGTCTGATGTACATACTTCCTGTGTGTTTCTGTGTAGGCCACTCTCTGGGGATGGGAATGACCAGTAAGGAAGGAATTAATTCATGGATGCGCTAGTTCGGTAGAAAATGAATATAAAAATATAAAAATTGTATGGTTGTCAAAGTGACATTTATGACAGCTGTCATCGTCCCAACCAATCAACACGTTTATTCAGCGTGCCCATGTCAAAATTGACAACTATGAACTATGATAATTCAGAATTGCCAACATAAAAATTTGCTTCAATCATTAATAGTCACCATTATACAGAGAGTTCATAAATGATCGAGAACCACGTGATCAAAAATGTATGCAACCAAACATACACAATTGGCAATAGTGCAGATTAATGTCCCTAAATTCATTGGCGTCACAAAGGAGTTAAGAATAAAAAAATAAAGCATTTCATAAATTGTTTTTATTTAGGTATTTACAACAAATGTTGAAAATGGTTTCCTTCGTTAGCAATACACATATTAACTCTTCTTTTCATATTATCAAATACTCGTTGAAGAGTGTAAGGAGTTATATTTTCAATTTTATGGGTTATTGCTTGTTGCAGCTCATCAATGGTATGCAACCTATTTTTGAAAACATTGTTCTTCAAATGACCAAACAAAAAAAAATCCGGCGCCGTGAGATCTGGCGATCTTGGGGGCCACAGTCCTTGACTTATAATTCAATCGTCATAAACTTCCTGCAAGAAACGAAGTGTGCTTCCTGCTGTATGTGCCGTCGCTCCGTCTTGCTGAAAGTAACCATACTGGCATTCGTCATCATGCAGTTGTTCGAAAAAGGGTTGTAGAATATTAGTGCGATATCTTTCAGCATTCACCGTATCGTGAAAAAAAATCGGTCCTATAATTCTTCTTCTTGAAATGGCTACCCAAACTCCAACTTTTATTGGATGCAAACTAGTTTCTACAAAAATATGAGGATTCTCAGTAGCCCACGTTCTATAATTTTGACTATTCACGTATCCACTCAAATGAAACCATGCCCCATCAGTGAAAAATGTTAAGTCTAATAAGGCATCATCATTTAAATTGTTATTAAACCATTGGCAATAATTTATTCTTCGCTCAAAATCCGGTGGAAGTAATTCATGGACGACTGAAACTTTATACGGGTGCATGTGCAGAACTTTATGTAGTGCTTTATGGCAACTTCCGACTGAAAGACCTGCAACAATTTAACTTTTAAACTGTATCATAAAATCTCTTTAATTCTTATGAAAATATTTAACGCCTTTAAAAAATAAAAAATCTGACAACCAATCTTTACCTGTCTGTGCTGATAATTTTCGTATAGATTTATTTGGACTTTGTTCTAACCGATGCTGGATGTCTTCTGTAACTTATTCAGTCAAAACAGTTTTTCTGCCAGTTGTCTTTCCTTTGCAAATACAATTTTTAGTCTCAAAACGATGAACAAGGACCCCCTTATGATTTGCAAATGTTTGATACCCAACATTGGCATCTGGAAAGGCTTCCGTAAATTGGTCAATACACGACTGCAGTGAATAAGACCAGGTTCCGTCTGGGTTTCGGGTTCCACTTCGAAAGTGAGCCATCAGAATGAAAGCATCCTGTTCGGGTGTGAAAACCATTGTTAAACAACAAGTTTTCCTGAAAATGTCAAAGTAAACGTACTTAATTTTATATAGACATTTGGTGTGAAACTTCACACAACGCACCATTCGCCTTCGCACAAACCATTTCCACAGAACTCTTCTGCAGCACCCCCTGAACACGTTTCTAACCTTCTGTGGGCGCGAAGAACCCGTGTGTCTATTAAAACTCAGACATTACCCTTCCGCGCATCCGCGCGTTGGTGACTGTAAAAAGTTAGGTTATATTAGCAACGGCTGATATTAAAGAGTGAAGGAATGCAAAATTTAACAATTTTTTGTGGCACTACATTTGAAGGTGAGGAACGTGATCAGGGGGTGCTCTAGAAGAGTTTTGTGCAAACAGTTTGTGTGAAATCGAACAGTGCCTGCGTTTTGTAAAATTTTACCAAATTTGATTACGTACCACACAGTTGTTAATTTCAAGTAGTTAGTTCTGAAAAGAACTGATTTGTATGTAAGTAAACAATTAGAAAACACTAAAAACAGAACGAGAATGGGAATTATTACTACAAGGACGCTACTGATCGTAAATGACACTAATGGCAGATAAACAATAACAATTTAGTAAAAATAATTGATCATTAATCAATAATGCCAATCGATTTATTAGTTACAAATAATTAACTGGTCACGTGGTTCTCGATCATTAATGAACTCTCTGTAGTAACATTTAACATATTCGAAATTATTTTTATTTGAAGATGAATTTTTGTGTTTGTAAAAAACTTTTAGGCCCTTTGATATATTCAAAAATAATACAAAACCTCAATTAATGTCACCATAAAAAAATTACCAGGTACTCGTTGTAACATCTCGTGAAAACTCTGTTACTTCAATCAGATTTAATATTTTTTCTACGACTGTCAGAAAAAGTTTTCCTTGTTTGCCCGTGGTTATTTTAGTTGTGACGGTTCTTGAAATAGAACAGTGAAGTCATTAATTAATTATTGATACCTCGAAATTAATTAATCTTGTTATCAGTTACTTTATCAAGTGGAATTAAATTTATACCGTCGTAATTAAACGTAATTATTTAAAATCAAGGATTCGCGGTATAATTAACAATTATTAATCATATTTAAGTATGACAAATTCAAGTTAAATTGATTAATTGTTGTAGTGCACTTAATCCTAATTAATTGCCAACAAAAGTAATTGTAATTGACTACAATAAATAATGGTTGAAATTACATCAAATTAATTAAAGTTTGGTTAATGTGATCATAATAACATGTACTTTATCATATTTCGCCTAAAATTAAGTATTAATTTATTACATACTGTATAATAATTGTGTTAATTTTGGTCATTTTAGATTCATTTACTTTTATAAAGTTATTTTTTCTCTGGAGATGAATTTTTTCCAGTTCGTAAAAATCTCTTAAGACCGTTGACATGATTTTATTCATTTTTAGTTCAAAAATAATATAAAATCTCAATTAAAAATAGCATGAAATAATTACAAAGTGTTCATTGTAACGTTTCATAAAAGTTCGCTTTCTTATACATCAGATTTAATATTTTTTCTACGACTATCAGAAGAATGTTTTCATTGTTTGCCCGCTGTTATTTTTGCTGTGATGGTTTCTGAAATAATATTTAATACCTCGTCAAATCCATTATAATTAATTAAAATAAATGAAGTAACAATTATTTCGTAGTAGTAAATAATAATTATAGCAACTATCTAATTAATTGCAATAATAATGGTGGTTCGTTTAACAGAAGATGCATTGAGGGCGACACTGGAGTAATTAATTAGTAATTCATCGTAATTAAGAGTAGATAAGGAACTGTTTCGTAATTAAGCGTAATTGTTTAAAAATCGACGATTCGCGGTATAATTGACAATTGTTAATCATATTTATGTATAACTAATTCAGTTAAATTCATTAATTGTTGAAGTCCACTTCAGACTAATTAATTATCGACAAAACTAATTGTAATTCACAATAATAATAATGGATGAAATTACATCAAATCAACTAAAATTTGGCTAATGTGATAATAATAGGATGCACTTTATTACATTTCGCGTAAAATTAAGTATTAATTTATTACTTTTTAATATTTTATCATCATTTCTCTGGGATATACTGTATAATAATTGTGTTAATTCTGGTCATTTTAGAATCATTTATTTTAAAAGTTATTTTTTCTCTGGAGATGAATTTTTTCCTGTTCGTAAAAATCTCTTAAGACCGTTGACATGATTTTATTCATTTTTAGTTCAAGAATAATATAAAATCTCAATTAAAAATAGCATGAAATAATTACAAAGTGCTCATTGTAACGTCTCATAAAAGTTCGCTTTCTTATACATCAGATTTAATATTTTTTCTACGACTATCAGGAGAATGTTTTCATTGTTTGCCCGATGTTATTTTTACTGTGATGGTTCCTGAAATAATATTTAATAGCTGGCAACTCAATTACAATTAATTAAAATAAATTAGGTCACAATTATTTAGTAGTAGTAAATAATAATTATAGCAACTGTCTAATTAATTGTAACAATAGTGGTGGCTCGTTTAACAGAAGATGCATTGAGGGCGACACTGGAGTAATTAATTAGTAATTCATCGTAATTAAGCGTAATTATTTAAAAATCAACGATTCGCGGTATAGATGACAATAATTCATCATGTTTAAATATAACTAATTAAGTTAAATTAATTAATTGTTGAAGTCCACTTTAGACTAATTAATTACCGACAAAACTAATTATAATTCACTATAATAATAATGGATGAAATTATATCAAACCAACTAAACTTTTGGCTAATGTGATGATAATAGGATGCACTTTATTATATTTCACGTAAAATTAAGTATTAATTTATTAATTTTTAATATTTTATCATCATTTCTCTGGGATATACTGTATAAAAATTGTGTTAATTTTGGTCATTTTAGAATCATTTACTTTTATAAAGTTATTTTTTCTCTGGAGATGAATTTTTTCCTGTTCGTAACAATCTCTTAAGAACGTTGACATGATTTTATTCATTTTTAGTTCAAAAATAATATAAAATCTCAATTAAAAATAGCATGAAATAATTACAAAGTGCTCATTGTAATGTCTCATAAAAGTTCACTTTCTTATACATCAGATTTAATATTTTTTCTACGACTATCAGGAGAATGTTTTCATTGTTTGCCCGCTGTCATTTTTACTGTGATGGTTCCTGAAATAATATTTAATACCTGGGCAAATCAATTATAATTAATTAAAATAAATGAAGTCACAATTATTTAGTAGGAGTAAATAATTATAGCTAGCAACTCTCTAATTAATTGTAATAATAGTGGTGGCCCGTTTAACAGAAGATGCATTGAGGGCGACACTGGAGTAATTAATTAATAATTCATCGTAATTAAGTGTAGATAAGGAACTGTTTCGTAATTAAGCGTAATTATTTAAAAATCAACGATTCGCGGAACAGTTGACCATAATAATTAATCATGTTCAAGTATAACTAATTAAGTTAAATGAATTAATTGTTGAAGTCCGCTTCAGACTAATTAATTACCGACAAAACTAATTGTAATTCACTATAATAATAATGAATGAAATTACATCAAATCAACTAAAATTTGGCTAATGTGATGATAATAGGATGCACTTTATTACATTTCGCGTAAAATTAAGTATTAATTTATTACTTTTTAATATTTTATCATCATTTCTCTGGGATATACTGTATAATAATTGTGTTAATTCTGGTCATTTTAGAATCATTTACTTTTATAAAGTTATTTTTTCTCTGGAGATGAATTTTTTCCTGTTCGTAAAAATCTCTTAAGGCCGTTGACATGATTTTATTCATTTTTAGTTCAAAAATAATATAAAATCTCAATTAAAAATAGCATGAAATAATTACAAAGTGTTCATTGTAACGTCTCGTAAAAGTTCGCTTTCTTATACATCAGATTTATTATTTTTTCTACGACTGTCAGGAGAATGTTTTCATTGTTTGCGCGCTGTCATTTTTACTGCGATGGTTCCTGAAATAATATTTAATACCTGGGCAAATCAGTTATAATTAATTTAAAAAAATGAAGTCACAAGTAGTAGTAAATAATAATTATAGCAACTCTCTAATTAATTGTAATAATAGTGGTGGCTCGTTTAACAGAAGATGCATTGAGGGCGACACTGGAGTAATTAATTAGTAATTCATCGTAATTAAGGGTAGACAAAGAACTGTTCCGTAATTAAGCGTAATTATTTAAAAATCAACGATTCGCGGTATAAATGACAATAATTCATCATGTTTAAATATAACTAATTAAGTTAAATTCATTAATTGTTGAAGCCCACTTCAGACTAATTAATTACCGACAAAACCAATTGTAATTCACTATAATACTAATGGATGAAATTACATCAAATCAACTAAATTTTGGCTAATGTGATGATAATAGGATACACTTTATTACATTTCGCGTAAAATTAAGTATTAATTTATTACTTTTTAATATTTTATCATCATTTCTCTGGGATATACTGTATAATAATTGTGTTAATTCTGGTCATTTTAGAAACATTTACTTTTATAAAGTTATTTTTTCTCTGGAGATGAATTTTTTCCTGTTCGTAAAAATCTCTTAAGACCGTTGACATGATTTTATTCATTTTTAGTTCAAAAATAATATAAAATCTCAATTAAAAATAGCATGAAATAATTACAAAGTGCTCATTGTAACGTCTCATAAAAGTTCGCTTTCTTATACATGAGATTTAATATTTTTTCTACGACTGTCAGGAGAATGTTTTCATTGTTTGCCCGCTGTCATTTTTACTTTGATGGTTCCTGAAATAACATTTAATACCTGGCAACTCAATTATAATTAATTAAAATAAATTAGGTCACAATTATTTAGTGGTAGTAAATAATAATTACAGCAACTCTCTAATTAATTGTAATAATAGTGGTGGTTCGTTCAACAGAAGATGCATTGAGGGCGACACTGGAGTAATTAATTAGTAATTCATCGTAATTAAGTGTAGATAAGGAACTGTGTAATTAACAATAATTAATCATATTTATGTATAACTAATGCAGTTAAATTCATTATATGTTTAAGTGCACTTAAGACTAATTAAGTAATCGTCAAGAAAAATAATTGTAATTGACTACAATAAATAATAGTTGAAATTATATCAAATAAATTAAAATTTGGTTAATGTAATAGTAATTGGATATACTTTATCATATTTCACCCAAAATTAAGTACATATTAATTAATTAATTTCGAGCTATAAGTTTGTTTTCTTGTAAACGCCCAAAAGTATGGAAAAATAAATGAAATACTCTGTATAACTGAAAACAATTTTTAGTACGAAACCTAAATGAGTTATCACACTTTGTCAGACATTTTATTTTATTTTAAGGAAGTGGTGGAATTAATTAGTAATTAAGTGTAACTGAAGAAAGTTGTTTTAATTAATCTTGATTCACAATTTATTGCTTACTTACCGACTGAAATTAAGTTTGTAGAATCTTAATTAATTAATTAATAATTAATCAAATTTAAATATATATAATTCGAATTCAATACGTTAATTGCTGAAGTGCTGAAGAATTAAAAGGTGGCTTATTAAGTTATTTTATCATATTTCGCCTACAATTAAGTATGAATTAATTAATTAATTTCGAGCTACAGATAATTACACTTTATTATAATCAATCTGCTGGGAACTGTAATTTTTAATTTAAATAAAAACTAAATAATTAATTAGTGTGATAAACCATAATTAACGCTACGGCTAATTAATTAAATTTAAACAATTACTAGTGTACTATATAAAAATTACAGGTGTACACTCGTAAACATGTGTAATTATTTAACAATACGTAAATTAAACTCTAATTAATTAATCATTTAGTCGAAATATAGACAATACTGTTTAATTGCATTTAAGTAATAATTAGTCCAGTAACACTTTTGCTTTGTTTTTAATTATTTTTAATATCGAGCGACCTAATTTTTGTGATTTTTTTGTCAGATTGGCGGCAGATTTAAAATTTTATGTTGGCATACATACCAAATGTCAAATTGAAATTTTGGGCGCCTAACCTGACCTGGCCTGACCTGACTTCAGCTAACCTGCCATCCTCTCACTGGTTTTTTAGGCACGCTTTTGTCAAAATTGACAACTGTGAACTGACATGCTAACACTGCTACCAATAATTCAGAATTGCCAACCCAAAAATTTGCTCCAATCATTAATAGTCAACCGGTATTAATAAACTATGTTTAATTTTAGTTTTTAAGAAAATTTTGTAAGCCATGATTACCAGTATGAATAAATTTCATAATGAATTGATAATGAAGTGCACGCGACATTACTTAATTGTAATTAAGTGGAAGTAATTAATTACACAAAGTATGTACTATGCATATTTCATAATTTTTAAAGGCTAATTAGTCAATAATTAATTTGAATGGTTACATTGATAATAATTAACAGTTGTGAAATCATGAAAATTATGGAATTAATTAGTTACCTACGTAACTCATGTCAAATATTGCATTCCTGCGGTATTTTTAGATCGTTTTACAGGACAAAACCGTTTCAATTAACGTGATGTTGTAACACTAAAGATACCATAGTTTATCCATGAGTGACATTAAATTAAAATTTAAATGGAACAGTTATGTTTTACGTACAATAACCTAGAAAACATAATAAAATACATAACATAATGAGCAGAAATTTCGTTACGTCATTGTTCAAGGTTACGTATAATACTTTTTTCAAAACTACCACCTGCCACGAATTAATTCCTCCCCTGGAAACACCCAGCGACCGGTCTACGTAGCAAATCACCCACCCCGACTTTACAACTCGCACATTTTAGCGCCCTCGGGACCCCCGGTCGGTTTCGTCGGCTCGGCTCGCAGCTCCTCCGAAATCATAACCCAATGGCAGCCCCCACTCGAAGAACACCGCAACGGACAAATCCTCGGCTACATAATCAGATACCGTCTGTTCGGCTACAACGACAGTCCTTGGACGGTCCAAAACATAACGAACGAAGCGCAAAGAAACTACCTAATCCAAGACTTGATCACTTGGAAAGATTACATGGTCCAAATAGCAGCCTACAACAACAAAGGCGTGGGCGTGTTCACCGAAGGCGCCAAAATCAAAACCAAGGAAGGAGTACCCGAAGCCCCCCCGATCATCCAGAAGGTAAAAGCCGTGAACTCCACCGCGATCCAGATCAGGTGGATCCCGCCAGACCCGCAGAAAATCAACGGGATCAACCAGGGGTATAAAATCCAGGCGTGGCAAAGCAACAAGAACGGGGAGTTTGTGGAGGCCAAAGTGAAGACGGTGCACCCCAACTTGCTGAACCCTAACGCGGAACAGAGTGCCGTCATGGGGGGGTTGGAGAAGTTCGCTGACTACAACGTGTCGGTTTTGTGCTTCACGGACCCCGGGGACGGCGAAATCAGCGACTTCGTGCACGTCAAAACAAAGGAAGATGGTAGGTGCAAATGTAACTAAGTATGACCATCACTAGGTGACTTTTTGCAGTTCCTGATGAAGTTAGTAGTCTTCAGTTTGATGACATTAGTGACCGAGCGGTGAAAGTGTTGTGGCAGCCACCGAAACACATCAACGGGATCCTGATTGGGTATCAAATCCAGTACCAAATCAAAGACAAGCCCGCCACTGTTAAAGTGAAGAACTTAACTGCTGAAACTCTTAGTTTGAAAGTGACGGATTTGCAAGCCACTACTCACTATAAGTTTGAAGTGACGGCGTGGACCGCCGTGGGTGCGGGACCCCCAAAAGTGGCCATTATCCAGTCGGGAGTGGAACCAGTGCTGCCGCACCCCCCTTCCAAGCTAGCTCTCTCCAACATTGAAGCCTTCTCCGTAGTACTTCAATTCACTCCAGGCTTCGACGGGAACTCATCAATTACCAAGTGGACCGTGGAAGCCCAAACCGCTCGAAATGCTTCATGGTTTGTGGTTTTCGAAATCACGGATCCTGACGCAACCACGATTACAGTAACGGGGTTGGTTCCTTTTACTCTATACAAGCTGAGGTTGATTGCTAATAATGTAGTCGGGGCTTCTGAACCATCGGAAGCGTCTAAGGAGTTTCAAACGATTCAAGCGCCACCTGCACATCCACCTAAGAACGTAACTGTGAGAGCGATGAGTGCTACCGAACTACGAGTGAGATGGATTGTATGTTTTTTTTTTGCTTTTAAATATAAAAAAATGCTAAATGGGGTTATTTTAGCCTCTGCAACAAGTCGAATGGTTCGGGAATCCCAGGGGGTACACGATCAGTTACGTAGAAGCCCGAACCGGAGAGAGTCATACAGCGACAATTGATGATCATACAGCCAACTCTCATATTATAGTCGGGGTGGAAGAGTTCGCCCAGTATGAAGTGTCCATGCAAGCGTGCAACGACGTAGGGTGTTCTTTGGCCGGGCCGATTGCTTTGGAAAGAACACGAGAATCAGGTATGTGTGTTTTCTGGAATTAATAACATTGTTCTCCGAAAATATAAAAGAAAGTCTAAGTCTTCACGAAAATCCACTATCTGATATCTTTCGCAGAATTTTCCACTTTTTTTGTTCTGTTGTGTTTTCTATTGAAGGTTAATTAAATGAGGTGGTTGTTGTTTGATGTGTTCGTCGATAGAACAGGGGCGGTCCTATTAGGTGTGACGTTTTCGGCTGTAGTAAATATTTCCAGGAATTGTTTATAAGTTCGGCCACATCGGTGTGTCGTAATAACAAAGGCTGCTATCACATTTAACTAATTTAACATTTAATCAGCAAAGAAAACAAGAATACACTCGAATACGTTCTTTCAAAAAGTTCAAAATGAGTTCACAGATTTAATAATTAAATTTTAAAATGTTGGCATTGCAATTATCGTGTCTATTAATGTTCGTGATTTTTTTTGTCAAGTTGGCAACATATTTAAAATGTGATACCAGATTGAAATTTTGAGCATCAATTCATTAGTGCCATTTTTTCATTGGTTGTTAGGTGCGCTCATGTCAAAATTGACAACTGTGAACTGACAATAGTTCAGAATTGGCAACCCAAAAATTTGCTTCAATTATTATTAATGGTCACTCCGTATTTGACACTTAATTTACCTAAATCTCAATGTCAGTCGTTTGGTATTAGACTGTACACGTGAAAAAACGAAATTATACTCAAATATTTATTTTTTATTACTCCCCTATTTAATTTTATTGTTAATTTTCATATCAGTGAGAGGAGAAACAAAACAGCTTTCGAACTCACAATATAGAAAAAGAAAATTGGAAAAAATAGGAGAGAAGAATTACGAAAATTTTTAGAATTTGGAATCTAGGGCATATTTTTTTATATATTTTTTTGATCTCCGAGACTCCTAAGAAGTCGAAAAAATCTCGGGAATCTGGTGTTCAATTTTTTAAGAAAGTTGAACTAATCACATGTTTTATCTAAAGAAGTCCAAAAATCCTAGGAGCCTGGTATTTTATTTTCCTGTTTTATTTTTTTAGATAAGTCGAAAAAATCTTGGGGGGTCTCTGGTGTTTTTTTTTAAAGACGATAAAATCTCAAGATTCTCTGGATTTAATTATTTAAAGAAGCCAAAATCATCTCGAAAATCCTTCGTGTTTTACCTTTTTCAGGAAGACCAAAAAATCTTGGGTGTCCCAAGTGTTTTATTTCTTTGAAGAAGACAAAAAACTCGGGAATCTGACGTTTAATTTTTTTTAGAAATCGAACGAATTGCAAAGATGCTCTGTGTTTTTTTTTTTTTAAGTAAGTCCAAAAAATCTTGGGTGTCCCAAGTGTTTTATTTCTTTGAAGAAGACAAAAGTTCGGAAATCTCTGACGTTTAATTTTTAAGGAAGTCCAAAAGATTTTGAAGGCCTCTGGTGATTATTTTTTTAAGAAGTCGAGAGAATCACTTGTTTTATTTTTTTAATGAAGTCCAAATAATCTTGGGATCCCTAGTGCTTTATTTCTTTAAAGAAGGCGAAAAAATCTCGGGCGTTTAATTTTTTTAAAGAAGTCGAAAGAATCTCGAAGATCCCTTGTGAGGAACTTCAAAGATTTTTGGCGGCCTCTGGTGTTTTATTTTGTTAACAAATTCGATAGAATCTAGGAGATCACTGGTTTATTTTTTTATTTATTTATTTTTTTTATCTCGGGCACTCCTAAGAAGTCGAAAAAATCTCGGGAATCTGGTATTCAATTTTTTTAAAGAAGTCGAAAGAATCACGTTTTTGATCTAAGGAAGTCCAAAAATTTTGGGAGAGCTGGTATTTTATTTTCCTTGTGTTTAATTTTCTAGGTAACCCCAAAAATCTTGGAGGGGTTCTAGTGCTTTATTATTATTATTATTATTTTTTAGAAGATAAAATCTCAGGATTCTCTAATATTTATTTTTTTTAAAGAAGCCGAAATAATCTCGGGATTCTAGTTTTCAATTTTTTTAAAGAGGTCAAAAGAACCACGTGTTTTATTTAAAGAAATCCAAAAATCTTAGGGTACCCTGGTATTTTATTTTTCTTGTGATTCATTTTTTTAGGGAAGCCAAAAAAAAACAATAAAATCTCAGGATTCTCTGATATTTAATTTTTTTTAAAGAAGCCGAAATAATCTCAAAGAGCCCGTTGTGTTTTCCTTTTTTAAGGAAGTCCAAAAAATCTTGGATGTCCCAACCGTTTTGTTTCTTTAAAGAATATAAAACACTCGGGGGAATCTCTAACGTAAAAAATCGAATGAATCTCGAAGATCCCTTGTGTTTTTTATTTTAAGGAAGTCCAAAAAATCTTGGAGACCTGTGGTGATTTATTTCTTTAAAAACGCCAAAAAAACCTTTGACGAAAGAATCTCGGAGATCTCTTGTTTTATTTGTTTAATGAAGTCCTAAAAATCTTGGGGTCTTTAGTGCTTTATTTCTTTAAAGAAAGCGAAAGTCTTGGGAATCTGCCGTTTAATTTTTTTTTTAATCAAAAGAATCTCAAAATCCTATTTATTTTCCTTGTTTTATTTTTTTTTAGGTAAGCCCAAAAAATCTTGGGGGAGGTGTCCAATGCTTTTTTTTTAAGACGATAAAATCTCAGAATTCTCTGGATTTAATTTATTTAAAGAAGTCAAAATAATTTCAAATGTCCTTATGTTTTAAAGAAAACAAAAAATTCGGGAATCTCTGACGTTTAATTAAAAAAAATCGAAAGAATCTCGAAAATCCTGTCTTTTATTCTTTTAAGGAAGTCCAAAAAATCTTGAAAGCCTCTGATATAGATTTTTTTAAGTCTAAAGAATGTCGGTGATTCCTTGTTTTATTTTTTTTTAACTCCAAAGATTTTTCTGATGCTTTATTTTTTCAATAAATTCGAAAGAATCTCGGAGACTCCTAAGAAGTCTAAAGAATCACGTATTTTATTTAAGGAAGTCCAAGAATCTTTGGGGGGTCTCTAGTGTTTTTTTTTATTTTTTGAGAAGACGATAAAATCTCAGGATTCTGTGGTATTTAATTTTTTTAAAGAAGCCGGAATAATCTCAAAGATCCCGTTGTGTTTTATTTTTTTAAGGAAGTCAAAAAAATCTTGGGTGTCCCAAGCGTTTTATTTCACTCGGGGAATCTCTGACGTTTAATTTTTTTAAAGAAATCGAAAGAATCTTGGAGAACCCTTGTGTTTTATTCTTTTAAGGAAGTCCAAAAAATCTTGGAGGCCTGTGGTGATTTATTTCTTTAAAGACACCGAAAAAATCTCGGGAATCTTTGGAGTTTATTTTTCTTTTTTTTATTATTTGATTTCTTTTAAGAAGTCGGAAATCTTTTGTTTTATTTTTTTAGTGAAGTCCAAAAAATCTTAGGGTCCGTAGTGCTTTAACTCCTTAAAGAAGGCCAAAAAATCTCTCTAATCTCGGCCGTTTATTTTTTTTTTTTAAGTCGGAAGAATCTAAAAATCCCTTGTATTTTATGCTTTTAAGAAAGTCCAAAAAATCTTATAAGGCTCTGATATATTTTTTTTAAGAGTCGAACAAATCTCGGAAATATGGTGTTTTTTTGTAAGTCCTAAGAAGCTCGGAAATTCCTTGTTTTATTTTTTTAAGGAAGTCCAAAAAATCTTGGGTGTCCGAAGTGTTTTATTTCTTTAAAGAAGACAAAAAATTTCGGAATCTCTGACGTTTAATTTTTTAAAGAAATACAAAAAATCTTGGAGGCCTCTGATGATTTATTTCTTCAAAGACATCCAAAAAATCTCGGGAATCTTTGGCGTTTATGTCTTTTTTTTATTTCATTATTATTATTTTTAAAAAGTCGAAAGAATTTCGGAGATCCTTTTTTTCAATGAAGTCCAAAAAATCTTGGGCTAGCGATTTCTGGCGTTTAATTTTTTTTTTTTTTTAAGAATTCGAAATAATCTCCAAATCCCTTGTGTTTTATTCTTTTAAGAAAGTCAAAAAAATCTTGGAAGCTTCTGATATTTTATTTTTTTTAAAGGTCGAACAAATCTCGAAGATTCTTTATTTTAAGTTTTGAAGAAAATCCAAAAAATCTTTTGGAAATGTTTTATTTCTTTACAGACGAAAAACTTGGGAATCTCGGACAATATTTTTTTTAACGAATCTCTGAGATTTCTTGTGTTTTTATTTTTATTTTTTAAGGAAATCCAAAAAATCTTGGGGTCATTAGTGCTTTATTTCTTTAAAGAAGAGAAAAAACTGGTGAATCTCTGACGTTTTTAATTTTTATAAACAAATCGGAAGAATCTCGGAGAACCCTTGTGTTTTATTCTTTTAAGGAAGTCCAAAAAATCTTGGAGGCCTGTGGTGATTTATTTCTTTAAAGACACCGAAAAAATCGGGAATCTTTGGAGTTTATTTTTCTTTTTATTATATAATTTGATTTCTTTTAAGAAGTCGAAAATATTTTGTTTTATTTTTTAATGAAGTCCAAAAAATCGTGGGGTCATTACTGCTTTATTTCTTTAAAGAAGAGAAAAAACAAGGGAATCTGACATTTAATTTTTTTAAAGAAATCGAAAGAATTTCAAAGATCACTTGTGTTATATTTTTTTAAGGAAGTCCAAGAAATTTTGGAGGCCTCTGGTGATTTATTTCTTTAAAGACGCCGAAAAAATCTCGGGAATCTTTGGTGTTTATTTTTTTTTTAAGAAGTCGAAAGAATTTCGGAGATCCTTTTTTTCAATGAAGTCCAAAAAATCTGGGGCAAACGATTTCTGGCGTTTGTTTTTTTTTTTTAAGAAGTTGAAAGAATCTCCAAATCCCTTGTGTTTTATTCTTTTAAGAAAGCCTAAAAAATCTTAGAAGCTTCTGATATTTTATTTTTTTTAAAGGTCGAACAAATCTCGGAGATTCCTTGTTTTAATTTTTGAAGAAAATCCAAAAAATCTTTTGGAAAAGTTTTATTTCTTTACAGACGAAAAACTTGGGAATCTCGGACAATATTTTTTTTTAACGAATCTCGGAGATTTCTTGTGTTTTTATTTTTAATTTTTAAGGAAGTCCAAAAAACTTGGGGTCATTAGTGCTTTATTTCTTTAAAGAAGAGAAAAAACTGGGGAATCTGACGTTTAATTTTTATAAACAAATCGGAATAATCTCGAAGATCCCTTGTGTTGTATTCCTTTAAGGAAGTCCAAAAAATCTTGGAGGTTTCTGGTGATTTATTTCTTTAACTGCGCCGAAAAAATATCGGGAATCTTTGGCGTTTATTTTATTTTTTTTTTTAGAAATCGAAAGAATTTCGAAGATCCTTTTTTTAATGAAGTCCAAAAAATCTTGGGATCCCAGCGATCTCTGGCGTTCAATTTTTTTTTTAAAAGATCGAAAGAATCTCCAAATCCCTTGTGTTTTATTTTTTTAAGAAAGTCCAAAAAATCTTTGAAGCTTCTGATTTTTTTTTAAGTCTAAAGAATCTCGAAGATTCCTGGTTTTATTTTTTTTTTAAATCCAAAACATCTTTTGGAACAGTATTTTATTTCTTTAAAAACAAAAAACGCGGGAATCTCCGCCAATAATTTTTTCAACGAATCTCGAAGATTTCTTGTGTTTTTATTTTTTACTTTTTAAGGAAGTCCAAAAAATTGTGGAGGTTCCGGGAAAAAATCTCGGGAATCAAGTGTTTAAGATATTTTTTTAAGAAATCAAAAGAACCTCGGAAATTCCTTCTATTTTATTATGGTACTTTTAAAAACTTGAAAAATCAATTTAATGACAGTAGATCACATAATAGTATTTATTTTTTTAGTACTGAGCTGACCTGGCCTGACCTGACCTGACCTGACCTGACCTGATTTTGATTGTAAAAAACAATATTCTAAAATTATTCGAAATGTAATTAATATTAAAGGAACGCGTTGGTATTGACATCATTATTTCAAAAATAAATTTCATGACTTACTAGAGTACTAGATTTCATGTCTACATTTAATTTTGTTAATAATTTTCACATCATTGTGTGAAAGTGTCTATAGAAACAAAAAATTCTCCAACTCACAATATAGAACTAGAAAATTAAAAAAAAAATTGTGAGAGAATTAGCCAAATTTTTCTCAACCAGTGGAAAACTGAAAAATCCAGCAAAGTTATCGATGATTCAATTTTTTTTCTATAAAATTCCTTTGCTGCAACCCTAGGATCGCCCCTGAATATGAAAAACACAGTCACGGATTTATTCCAAATACGACATACCTCATGTCGTGAATGCATGAATACCAACCTTTTTCCATAAATCCAGCCCAACTTCGACAACAATTCGGAATAGTTTCCGACCTCCATCGACCAAATAAAAACGCCACATTGTCGCACAAACTTTATCCGCAATAATTATTTACTGTTGTGGTGCAGTAACGTTATGTGCAAACACCACCCTTCAAACACAATCACCGCAAAAACCGTCGAATCTCAGTTTCTCGCTTCTCAATTTAACGAACTTGCCATTTCCAGTGCCATCACTTGGACCATTAAACGTCCAAGCCAATGCAACCTCTTCAACAACGATCGTCGTAACATGGGGCGATGTTCCCAAAGAACACCAAAACGGCTTAATCGAAGGCTACAAAGTGTATTACGCCGCCGAGTCGAAATCCCCCGTACAGTACAAACTCATCGCCAGTAATTCCACTTTTACAACCACTCTCACCGAATTGAGGAAATTCGTGCTTTATCGCGTCCAGGTGCTGGCGTACACGAGGCTGGGGGACGGCGAGCCGAGCGCGCCCGTGGTCAGCGTGCGCACCTTCGAAGACGGTGGGTGAAAACCCGACTTAAGTTATATTTTGTAAGTGATTAAATTTGTACCGCAGTACCCGGACCTCCATCCAACGTTTCGTTTCCCGACGTGTCCGTCACCAGCGCTCGGGTCATCTGGGACGTGCCCGAGGAGCCCAACGGCGAGATTCTCGCCTACAGAGTGACCTACCACATCAACAACGCCAATGTTAATAACAAATCGTACAAGGAATTTCCTCCGTCCGACCGAACCTTCAGGTGTGGTTTGTGGTTGGTGCGTGTTTGTGCGATCGTGACGAATGGGTGATTGCAGGTTTACTCAGCTGGAGTCGGAGAAATATTACATGTTTTCTGTGACTGCACAGACCAGGCTGGGATGGGGCAAAACGGCTCACGCTTTGGTTTTTACGACGAATAATCGTGATACGCCGCAGTCGCCGTCTATGCCGCAGATTAGTCGCAGTCAGGTACAAAGTAAGCAGATCACTTTCAGCTGGACGCCGGGCAGAGATGGATTCGCGCCGTTGAGGTGAGTTAAGAAAGTCGCAGTGGACGTCAAAGCTAAAAGCTAAATTCAACGATAATATACGTGATAAGTGTTATAAATTACATAAAATATGAGACACCCAGGTTATAAATGTTTTTTCTTAATATCTTTGGAACGGCTCCATATGAAATTTGGCACAGGAATTTTCTTTGCACAGTGGACGCTGGATTAATGTATTTGACTCCTCGCTACTTAACCGTAATATTACACCAGTCTACGTGGTATATATCATGATTTCTTTCTTGTTCCAAGTATAGTTGGCTTGGATGAAATTTAAAAAAAGTCGTAATTTAGGATACTAAAAATTGCATTACATATTTTTAAATTGGGGGGCGTAAAGTAGTGAGAGGCGTACAGTGGAGCATTTGTTGTAAAATAAAATTTAATCGTGTGTTAGATTTTCTGTCCTATTTCAATGAAAAAGAGCCAATCGCAATCGTCGACTGTTTATACTTTTTTTTTTGAGAAAAATCCAAAAACTCACTCCTGCTGTATTTTTTTTTTTTTATAAATCGGGAATCTCTTGTCAAAAAACAGTCAAAAATTTCTTGGGGGTCCCTTGTGTTTTATTTCTTTAAAGAATTTAATTTTTTGTAAGAAGTCGAAAGAATGCCGAAGATCCCTTGTGTTTTATTCTTTTAAGCAAGTCCAAAAAATCTTGGAAGCCTCTTTTTGTTATTATTTTTTTTAAGAAGTCGAAAAAATCTCGCGAATCTCCAGTGTTTAATTAAAAAAAAGTCGAAAGAATCTCAAAATCACTTGGGTTTTATTCTTTTATGGAAGTCCAAAAATCTTGAAAGCCTCTGGTGTTTTACTTTTTAAAGAAGTCGAAACATTCGGGAATTTCTGACGTTATTTTTTTTAGAAATCGAAAGAATCTCGAAGATGCCTTGTGTTTTATTCTTTTAAGGAAGTCCAAAATATCTTGGACGTCCCTGGTGTTTTATTTTTTGAAGCCGAAAAAATCTTGGGCATCAAGTGTTTGAATTTTTTAAAGAAATCGAAAGAATCTCAAAATTCCTTGTGTTTTATTCTTTTAAGGAAGTCCAAAAAATCTTGGAGGTCCCTAGTGTTTTATTTCTTTAATGAGGAAAATCTCTCGGGAATCTCTGACGTTAATTTTTTTAAAGAAGAGTGGAAAAAGAGTCCTGGTGTTTTATTTTTTTGACGAATTCGAATAATCTCGGAGATTTCTTGTGTTTTATTTAAAATTCTTTTAAGGAAGTCCAAAAATCTTGGAAGTCCCTAGTGTTTTACTTCTTTAATGAGCAAAATCTCTCGGGAATCTGACGTTATGTGTTTTTTAAGTCGAAAAAATTTCTGAGATTCCTTGTGTTTTATTTTAAATTTTTTTTAGGAAGCCCAAAAATTTTGGAGGTCCTTGGTGTTTTATTTTTTTAAGCCAAGTGTTTATTTTTTTTATCGAAAAAATCTCAAATACCTTGTGTTTTATTCTTTTAAGGAAGTCCAAAAAATCTTTGAATCCTCTGGTGTTTTACTTTTTAAAGAAGTCGAAACACTCGGGAATCTGACGTTATTTTTTTAAGAAATCGAAAGAATCTCAAAGATCTCTTGTGTTTTATTCTTTTAAGGAAGTCCAAAATATCTTGGAGGTCCCTAGTGTTTTATTTTTTTAAGCCGAAAATAATCTTGGGAATACAATGTTTAAATTTTTTAAAGAAATCGAAAGAATCTCAAAATCACTTGTGTTTTATTCATTTATGGAAGTCCAAAAATTTTTGGAAGTCTCTGGTGTTTTACTTTTTGAAGAAGACAAAACACTCGGGAATCTCTGACGTTAATTTTTTTTAAAGAAGTCGAAAAAATTTTGGAAGTCACTGGTGTTTTATTTTTTAAGCCGAAAGAATCTCAAAATCCTTTGTATTTAATTCTTTTAAGGAAATTTAAAAAATCTTCGAAGCCTGTATTTTATTATTTTTTTTAAGAAGTCGAAAAAATCTCTGAAATCTGGCATTAATTTTTTTTAAGTCTAAAGGATTTTGAAGATGCCTTGTTCTATTTTTTATTGAAGTCCAAAAAAATTTTGGGGTCCGTAGTGCTTTATTTCTTTAAAGAAACCGATAAAATTTGGGGAATCTCCAGCGATTAATTTAAAAAAATCACTTGTGTTTTATACTTTTATGGAAGTCCAAAAAATGTTTGGAAGCCTCTGGTGTTTTACTTTTTAAAGAAATCGAAACACTCGGGAACCTCTGACGTTTTTTTAAGAAATCGAAAGAATCTCGAAGATCCCTGTGTTTTATTCTTTTAAGGAAGTCCAAAAATCTTTGAGGTCCCTAGTGTTTTATTTCTTTAATGAGCAAAATCTCGGGAATGTCTGACGTCAATTTTTTTAAATAAGTCGAAAAAATTTCGGAGATTTCTTGTGTTTTATTATTTTATTTTTTTTTTTTAGAAGTTGAAAAATCTTGAGAATAGTTGGTGTTTTATTTTTTAAGCCAAGTGTTTAATTTTTATTTAATCGAAAGAATCTCAAATCAATTGTGTTTTATTTTTTCAAGGAAGCCCAAAAAATTTTGTAAGTCTGTGGTGTTTTACTTTTTAAGAAAGTCGAAACACTCGGGAAACTGATGTTTTTTAAGAAATGGAAAGAATCTCGAAAATCCCTTCTGTTTTATTCTTTTAAGGAATCCAAAATATCTTGGAGGTCCCGGGTGTTTTATTTTTTTAAGCCGAAAAAATATTGGGAATCAAGTGTTTTAATTTTTTAAAGAAATCGAAAGAATCTCAAAATCACGTGTTTTATTCTTTTATGGAAGTCCAAAAAATCTTGGAAGCCTCTGGTGTTTTACTTTTTAAAGAAGTCGAAACACTCGGGAATCTCTGACCTTATTTTTTTTTAGAAATCGAAAGAATCTCGAAGATCCCTTGTTATTTATTCTTTTAAGGAAGTCCAAAAAAGCTTGGAGATCCCAAGTGTTTTATTTCTTTAATGAGGAAAATCTGTCTGGAATCTGACGTTAATTTTTTTAAAGAAGTTGAAAAAAATCTAAGAATCTTGGTGTTTTATTTTTTATTTTTGAGAAGTTGAAGAATCTTGAGGATCCCTGGTGTTTTATGTTTTTGACGAACTCGAAAGAATCTCGGAGATTTCTTGTTTTATTTTAAATTTTTTTAAGAAAGCCCAAAAATTTTGGAGATCCCTGGTATTTTATTTTTTAAGCACTCAAAATTTCTTGTGTTTTATTGTTCTTTTAAGGAAGCCCAAAAAATCTTGGAAGCCTCTATTTTCTTACTATTTTTTTAAGTCTAAAGGATCTCGAAGATTCCATGTTTTATTTTTTTTTTGAAGTCCGAAAAGTTTTGGGGTCCCTAGTGCTTTATTTCTTTAAAGAAGCCGGAAAAATCTCGGGAATCTAGCGTTTAAGTAAAAAAAACGTCGAAAGAGTCTCAAAATCACTTGTGTTTATTCTTTTAAGGAAGTCCAAAAATCTTTGAAGCCTCTGGTGTTTTACTTTTTAAAGAAGTCGAAACACAGGATTCTCTGACGTTATTTCTTTTAAGAAATCGAAAGAATCTCTAAGATCACTTGTGTTTTATTCTTTTAAGGAAGTCCAAAAAATCTCCAAAAAATCTTGGAGGTCCCTGCTGGTTTATTTTTTAAGCCGAAAAATCTTGGTAATCAAGTGTTTATTTTTTTTAATCAAAAGAATCTCAAATCTCTTGTGTTTTATTCTTTTAAGGAAATCCAAAAAATTTTGAAGGTCCCTGGTGTTTTATTATTTAAGCCGAAAAAATCTTGGAAATCAAGTGTTTATTTTTTTTTAATCAAAAGAATCTGAATGTCAAATCCCTTGCGTTTTATTCTTTTAAGAAAGTCCAAAAAATCTTGTAACCATCTGTTGTTTTTCTTTAAAGAAGTCGAAAACATCTCGGGGATAGAATCTCCAAATCCTCTGTGTTTTATTCTTTGAAGGAAGTCCAAAAAATCTTGAAAACCTCTGGTGTTTTACTTTTTTAAAGAAGTCAAAACACTCGGGAATCTGACGTTAATTTTTTTTAAGGAATCGCAAGAACCGCGAAGATCCCTTATATTTTATTCTTTTAAGGAAGTCCACAAAATCTTGGAGGTCCCTAGTGTTTTATTTCTTTCATGGGGAAAATCTCCCGGGAATCCCTGACGTTAATGTTTTTAAAAAATCTCAAAGAGTCCTGGCGTTTTATTTTATTTTATTTTTTTCGAGAAATTGAATCTTAAGGATCTCTGGTGTTTTGTTTTAAATTTTTTGAAGAAATCGAAATACAAAATCCCTTGGGTTTTATTCTTTTAAGGAAGCCCAAAAAATCTTGGAAGCCTCTGTTTTATTATTTTTTTAAGGAGTCGAAAAAATCTAGGGAACCTAGTGTTGACTTTGTTTTAAGTTTAAAGAATCTCGAAGATTCCTTGTTTTATTTTTATTGAAGTCCAAAAAATGTTGGGGTCCCTAGTGCTTTATTTCTTTAAAGAAGCCGAAAAAATCTCGGGAATCTCTAGCATTTAATTAAAAAAAAGTCAAGAGTCTCAAAATCCTTTGTGTTTTATTCTTTGAAGGAAGTCCAAAAAATCTTGAAAACCTCTGGTGTTTTACTTTTTTAAAGAAGTCAAAACACTCGGGAATCTGACGTTAATTTTTTAAGGAATCGCAAGAACCGCGAAGATCCCTTGTATTTTATTTTTTTAAGGAAGTCCAAAAAATCTTGGAGGTCCCTAGTGTTTTATTTCTCTCATGGGGAAAATCTTTCGGGAATCCCTGACGTTAATGTTTTTAAAAAATCTCGAAGAGTCCTGGCGTTTTATTTTTTTCGAGAAGTTGAATCTTGAGCATCTCTGGTGTTTTGTTTTAAATTTTTTAAAGAAATCGAAATAATCTCAAAATCCCTTGGGTTTTATTCTTGTAAGGAAGTCCAAAAAATCTTGGAAGCCTCTGTTTTATTATTTTTTATAAGGAGTCGAAAAAATCTAGGGAACCTGGTGTTGATTTTGTTTTAAGTCTGAAGAATCTCGAAGATTCCTTGTTTTATTTTTATTGAAGTCCAAAAAATGTTGGGGTCCCTAGTGCTTTATTTCTTTAAAGAAGCCGAAAAAATCTCGGGAATCTCTGGCATTTAATTAAAAAAAGAAGTCGAAAGAATCTCAAAATCCCTCGTGTTTTACTCTTTTAAGGAAGTCCAAAAAATCTTGGAAGCCTGTGGTGTTTTCCTTTTTAAAGAAGTCAAAACACTCGGGAATCTCTAACGTTATTTTTTAAAGACATCGAATGGATCTCGAAGATTTCTTGTGTTTATTCTTTAAGGAAGTACAAAAAATCTTGGAGGTCCCTGGTGTTTTTTTATTTTTTTAAGCCGAAAAAATCTCGGGAATCAAGTGTTTAAATTTTTGTTAAACAAATCGAAAAAAACGTCGGAAATTCTTTGTGTTTTATTTTTTTAAGAAGTTGAAAAAATCTGGAAAATCTGGTGTATATTTTTTTAAGTCTAAGGAATCTCGAACATTCCTCGTTTAGGAAGTTCAAAAAATCTTAGAGGTCCCTAGTGTGTTATTTTTTTTTTTTTTCAGCGAAAAAGTCTCGGGAATATGGTCTTTAATTTTTTTTTAAGGAAGTTCAAAAAATCTTTGGGAGTCCTTAGTGTTTTATTTCTTTAAAAACAAAATCTCGGGAATTTGGTGTTTAATTTTTTTAAAGAAGTCGAAAGAATCTCGGAAATCCCTAGTGTTTTATTTATTTTTTTTAAGTCGAATGAATCTCGGAGGTCCCTGGTGTTTTATTTATTTTTTTAAGTCGAAAGAATCTCGGAAATTCCTTGTGTGTTATTTTTTTTACGAATTCCAAAGAATTTCGGAGATTCCTTGTTTTTTTTTTAAGAAAGTCCAAAAAATCTTGGGGGGGTAGGGTTTTATTTCTTTAAAGGGATTGAAAATAACTCGGGAATCTGTCATTTAATTAAAGTCGAAAAAAATTCGAAAATACCCTGTATTTGATTCCTTTAAGGAAGCCCAAAAATCTTGGAGGCCTCTAGTGTTTTCATTTCATAAAGAAATAAAAAAAACTGGTTTTTAGATTTTTCTCAACATAAAACAACAGATTTAGGGTGGCTCCTGTTATAGCAGTGACCTGTATATACATGAATAGAATTCTATTTGCCGACTTCAACAAAACCACTCATCCCTGACCGAACCCGAAAAACCCCAACCATGTTTTCCGTTCCAAAATAAAACTAATTTCTCGCGGCAGCGAACAGTTTGTTTTACATTAATTTTTTGCACCCCATTATTGCAGATACTACACCGTGCAAAAAATGGAGAATAACGGACCCTGGCAATCCCTCCCCGAACGGGTGGACCCTCAGCTCACCTCGTACACGGTTTCCAATTTAAAACCCTTCACATCGTACCGCTTTAGAATTCGAGCCACCAACGACATAGGACCTAGCCCTTTCAGCCCGGAATCGAACGAGGTCCGAACCTATCCAGCCGCACCGAGTAAAGGCGTCACGAATTTGAAAGTCGTGCCGATCACCACCACTAGTGTAGAGGTCTACTGGGATCCCGTGGAGGAGCAGTATTGGAGCGGCGATGTCAAAACGGGGGGTTATCGAGTCACTTACCAGTTGTCCGATTATTCGGAATATCCGACTGCGCTGCAGGCGATTCCTAAGGAGGAGATATTCGGGGTTAAAGTAAGCGGAAGGGGATTGTTAGACGGGTTTTTTAGGGAGATTTTTGTAGGCGAAGAAGATGGTTTTGAGCGAGCTGCTGCAGGATAAGAATTATGAGATCGTGGTGGTGCCGTTTAATTCGCAAGGGGAGGGGCCGGCGACGCCGCCGGTTACGGTGTACGTGGGGGAGGCCGTGCCGACGGGGAAACCCAGAGAGTTGGAAGGGAAGGCGGTTTCGTCGACGGAGGTCAGGTTGGAGTGGAAACCGCCGCAGCATCATGAGCAAAATGGGGAGTTGTTGGGATATAAGGTAAGTGGAGAATTAATAACAAAACAACGACTTTTTAAATTAAACAAAAATTAAATTTAAAAAATATGTATCTTGGATTTGCTGGAAGTCCGAAATTATGGCTGGGATCAGTTTTGTCGAATATTCTGTGTCCGAATTTTGAGCATTATAGATTTTTCAGACACTCAACTGTATTTATATTTAAATCATCTTAAAGCCCAATCGAAAAATTGAGAAACTGAAAAAAAATATCAAAATATCGAAAAATTAAAAAATCGGAAAGTTGAGAAAACAGAAAGATGATACAACAGACAAAAGTAAAAATATGTACCTACTTAGGATTTGAAAAATCGAAAATTCAAAACAAAGGGAAATTGTAAAAGCCAAAAATTACATGAAAAAAATTAAGCAATCGTGAAATGGAACAGCTTCAAAATCAATAAAAAAATTGAAAAAGTGAAAAAACGAAAAATTGTAACATTGAAACACCGACAATTTGTAAAATTAAAAATCTAGAAATTATAAAATCCCAAAATCGAAACATGAAAGAGAAAGAAAAAAATATCTAGGGACTAAAAAATAAAGAAATTGAAAAATCGAAAAATTGTACCACTCAAACATGAAAAATAAAAATCGGAAAATTAAAAATTGAGAAAATGAAATCGATAAAAATTGAGAAAATGAAAAATGAAAAATTGAAAAATCAAATATGTACATATCAAAAATTTAAAATCGAGAAAATGAATACTTAAAAAACTGAAAAATTGAAACATTGAACAATCAAATTTTAAAATTGCAGAAACAACCAAATAATCGAGAAACTGAAAAAAGTAAAAATTTGCAAAAACGAAAAATTGTAGCACTAAAAAATTGAAAAACAAAAATATATAGGGACTGAAACTGAAAAAAATGAAAAGTTGTAATATTGAAACATCAAAAAATTCAAAACAAAAGGGAAATTGTAAAAGACAAAAATTACACGAAAAAAATGAGAAATCATGAAATCCAACAATTGAAAAAGTGAAAAAACGAAAATTGTAACTTTGAAAAATCAAAGAATTGAAAAAATGAGAAATTATATACTCCCAAAATTGAAACATGAAAGAGAAGGAAAAAATATCTAGGAACAAAAAAAAAATAAAGAAAGTGAAAAATCAAAAATCGGAAAAGTAAAAATTGAGATTCGGAAAATTGAAAAATTGAAAAAACGAAAAATTGTAGCACTAAAAAATTGAAAAAAAAAACTAGAATTTGAAAAGTCAAAATTAAAGAATCGAGAAACCGTAAAATTCCAAAACTGTGACACTAAAATATGAAAAAATAGGAAAATTGATGAATTGAAACACTGAAACATCAAAAAATTAGAAATTGAAAAATTGTTTTATCGAAAAATCGAAATAAATAAATTCAAAATTAAGGGAAATATATTTTTGTTTTCCAATTTTTTAGTGCTACAATTTCGTTTTTGCAAATTTTTACTTTTTTCAGTTTCTCGATTATTTGCTTGTTTATGCAATTTTAAAATTAGATGAAAACATTGAAAAAGTAAAAAAAACAAAAATTAGAACATTGAAATATCGACAATTTGTAAAATTAAAAATCGAAAAATTGAAAAATCGAAATATTAAAAAAAAACGAAAAATGAAAATACATATTTAAAATTCGAAAAATTGAAAAAACGAGAAATTATAAAATCCCAAAATCGAAACATGAAAGAGAAAGAAAAAATATCTAGGAACAAAAAAATAAAGAAATTGAAAAATCAAAAATCAGAAAATTAAAAATTGAGAAAATAAAAAATCGAAAGATTGAGAAAATGAAAAATGAAAAATTGGGATAACGAAAAATTAAAAATCAAATATGTATCAAAAAATTTAAAATTGAGAAAATGAATATTTAAAAATCTGAAACATCAAAAATCGAAAAATCTGATGATGGAGAAATTGAAAAATAAAAAACTGAAAAATTGAAACGTTGAAAAATTAAACTTTAAAATTGCAAAAACATCAAAAAAAAATCGAGAAACTGAGAGAAGTAAAAATAAAAATGTGTAGGGACTGAAAATTTGGAAAAACGAATAATTGTAGCACTAAAAAATTGAAAACCAAAAATATTATAGGGATGAAAATTTAAAAAAACAAAAATTTGCAACATTGAAACATCACAAAATTGTAAAAAATTAAAAATAGAAAAATTGTTTTATTGAAAAATCGAAAAATTCAAAACAAAGGGGAATTGTAAAAGACAAAAAGTACACGAAAAAATTGAGAAATCGTGATATCCGACAATTTGTAAAATTAAAAATTGAAAAATAAAAACATCTAAAATTTGAAAAATCAAAGAATTGAAAAAATGAGAAATTATATAATCCCAAAATTGAAATATGAAAGAGAAAGAAAAAATATCTAGGAAAAAAAAAATAAAGAAATTGAAAAATCAAAAATCGGAAAAGTAAAAATTGAGATTCGGAAAATTGAAAAATAAAAAACTGAAAAATGTAAAAATATAAGTATGTAGGGACTGAAAATTTCAAAAACGAAAAATTGTAGCACTAAAAAATTGAAAAACCAAAATATCCAGAATTTGAAAAGTCAAAATTGAAGAATCGAGAAACCGTAAAATTCCAAAATTGTGACACTAAAATATGAAAAAATAGAAAAATTGATGCATTGAAACAAAAAATTAGAAATCGAAAAATTGTTTTATTGAAAATCGAAATAATTCAAAATTAAGGGAAATTATAAAATCCAAAAATTAGATGAAAAAATTGAAAAAGTAAAAAAACAAAAATTAGAACATTGAAATATTGACAATTTGTAAAATTAAAAATCGAAAAATTGAAAAATCGAAAAATTAAAAAAAAACGAAAAATGAAAATATTTAAAATTCGAAAAATTGAAAAAACGAGAAATTATAAAATCCCAAAAGCGAAACATGAAAGAGAAAGAAAAAAATATCTAGGAACAAACAAAAATAAAGAAATTGAGAAATCAAAAATCAGAAAATTAAAAATTGAGAAAATGAAAAATTGGGATAACGAAAAATTAAAAATCAAATATGTATCAAAAAATTGAAAATTGAAAAAATGAATATTTAAAAATCTGAAAATATAAATATGTAGGGACTGAAAATTTGAAAAAACAAAAATTTGTAACATTGGAACATCAAAAGATTGTAAAAAATTAAAAATCGAAAAATTGTTTTATTGAAAAATCGAAAAATTCAAAACAAGGAAAATTATGAAATCCAAAGATTACATGAAAACTTGAACAAGTAAAACAAAAATGAAAACTTTTGAAATTTGAAAAAACGAGAAATTATAAAATCCCAAAATCAAAACATGATAGAAAAAGAAAAAATTATCTAGGAACAAAAATAGGAAAATTAAAAATTGAGAAAATGTATAATTAAAAAACTGAAAAATTGAAACATTGAAAAATGAAATTTTAAAATTGCAAAAACAAGCAAAAATTCGAGAACCTGAAAAAAGTGAAAATATAAATAAATATGGAAGGGCTGAAATTTTGGAAAAACAAAAATATGTGGGGACCAAAAATTTGAAAAAATGAAAAATGGTAACAATGAAAAATCCAAAAACAATAATATCTAACATCTGAAAAGTCAAAATCTTAAGAATCGAGAAAATGTAAAGTCACAAAATTGTGACACTAAAATATGAAAAAATAAGTTAAAATATAAAATGTGTGAGAACACGAAAATTTGTAACACTGAAAGATCAAAAAATTGTAAAAAATTAAAAATTGAAAAATTGTTTTATTGAAAAATCGAAAAATTCTACATTGAAAACCAAAAAATCTAAAATTATACAACGAAGCATTGTATACTAATATTTTTTTTAAAAAAACGAGAATGGTAAAATCCGAAAATTGTAACATGGAAAAGTGAAAAATGAAAAATTGTAATAATGAAAAATCGAAAAACAAAAATAACAAGAATTTGAAAAACGAAAATTGAAAAATAAAAAAAAATCGAAATACTGAAAATTCATTTATTTGAGATATTAGATACTGAAAATTCATTTATTTGAGATATTTGATAAATTAGAAAATAACAAATTGAAAAAACGAAAAATTGTAACAGTGAAACAAAAAAATCGAAAGGTTGAGAAATTGAAAAATCAATAAGCAAAAAATTGAAATATGAAAAAAATTAAAAATTAAACAACTCAGAAACTGAAAAATAAGAATTGAATAACCGAAATACTAAAAATTGCAAAAACAGCAACCAAAAAATCCGGAAAGGCAGACAGACGGACAGACGGAAACGGGAGACCCATTCTTCGTACTTTAGGGGTCATGAAAGGTCGAGAAAATGTAAAAGTAGAGAATTGGCCGACGAACTCGATTACAATACTTCCTTTGCTTACGCTCGGGAAGTAAAAATCAAAAAAACTGAAAATAAATCAATATATTATAAATTTGAAAAAACGAAAAATTGTAAGATTAAAACATCCAAAAATTGAAAAAACGAAACATTCAAAAATAAAAAATGAAAAAACGAGAAATTCTGAAATCTGAAAATTGTGAAATTGAAAATCGAGAAATCGAAAAACAAAAATATCTAGAATTTGAAAAATCAAATTTGGAAAATCGAGAAACTGAAAATCGGAATATTGAAAAATTAAAAATCATGAAATTGTAAAATTTAAAAAATCAAAAATCTAAATATGGAAAATTCAGATGATTGAGATATCGAAAAATTGCAAAGTTGTAGAGTTGAAAAATCGAAAGATGGAGAATCTGAAAAATCAGATTGACAAATTGGAAAATAAATCAAAATATGTAAAAACTGAAAAAACGAAAAATTTAAAAATAAAACTATCAACAACTTACTGTAAAATCCAAGAACTGAAACAACAAAATTGTAATATTGAAACATTAAAAGTTTAAAAAACCAAAAGTTTCAACGTCGAATAACTGTGAAAAAACGAAGAACTAAGAAAACAGAAAACATAAAATCGAAAAGTTGAAGAATCTTTGAAATTCAAAAATTCAGTATCAGTAAAAAAAATGTCAAATCACGCAAACTAAATAAACAAGATGAAAGCAATCGTATTCGAATTTATTATAATGATAATTATTAAACCTTTTAAATTTGGTCTTTTTGTAGTTTTTATTAGCTTTCTTTGCCTCCAAGTTATAGAGTGTATATAAAACGCAGCATTATCACACGAGTAGGATAATAATGCATTAACGTACGTGTAATGTATGTTATGACGACATTTTTTTTTAAATCACTTGAAATAAATGAAAAAAAAATACTTGTTTTAAAAAATTATTAAACTTATGAGATAATACGATCACTATTCGACTCACACACCTAACTGTAATTGGCGGTTTAACCGCACCACGTAATATTGCATTCTAATTGGTCAAATTCGAAAAAGCGTGACGTCACCCTCCTTCTACACCTACCAAAGTCTCCAGACTTCACCGACAAACAACGAAAACCCTTGAATCTTTTTCTTTTTGCTTTAGATATTCTACTTAGTCACCGACTCCCCCCAAGACTTCGACGCAGGCCACAAATTCGAAGAAGAAATCGAAGTAATAGCAGCCACTATGACCTCACACAGCCTAGTTTTCCTCGACAAATACACAGAATACAGAATCCAAATTTTGGCATTTAACCCCGCCGGTGACGGACCGCGCTCGCAACCCATCACGGTTAAAACTCTCCCGGGATTACCAGGCCCACCCGTCAACCTACGTTTTTCAGACATTACCATGAACAGTCTACTAGTGTCATGGGACCCTCCTAAAAAGCGCAACGGCGACATTGTGGGGTACCTCGTAACGTACGAAACAACAGAAGAAAATGAACGTATGTCTTAACTATTTCAAAAAATAAATAAAAGAAATTAATCGTTTCTACAGGCTTCAGCAAACAAGTCAAGCAAAAGGTGACAGCAACCGAGCTCCAGTTGCAGTCTTTGGAGGAAGAAATCACGTACACGTTTACCGTGAGGGCGCAAACTATAGACTACGGGCCTTCTATTTCCAGCAACGTGACAACGGGACCGCAGGAGGGTTCTCCTAGTACTCCAAAGGAGCTGAGTCTTACTAAAACGCTGTCTAGTGTGGAGCTGAATTGGATTAATGGATTGACGGGGAAGGGTCCCATTCTTGGGTACTATATCGAGTCCCGTAAAAAAGGTACTTACTAGTCGTACATAGTGTGACTAAAACAACTACAATTATTGTTTTCAGACGATATAAGATGGCAAACTGTCACAAAGTCCACGAACGGACCACTACAAGAATTCACCGTTTCGTACCAAAGTTTGCTACCATCAACTCACTACTTCTTCAGAGTGATACCATACAACAAGTTTGGCATTAGCTGTCCTGCCACCACTGATGAGTCAGTATTGACGCCTTCCAAACTATATCTAGAGTATGGTTACCTTCAACACGAACCCTTCTATAGACAAACGTGGTTCATGGTGGCGTTAGCAGCGACCTCTATCATCATCATTATCATGATAATCGCAATTCTGTGTGTGAAAAGCAAAAGTTATAAGTATAAACGTAAGTCAGAGGGTTTAGTTAGTGCAAAGTTAACACTGAGTTTGTAGAAGAGGGCGCTCAGAATAGCATGGGCGAACTCATGGCGATGTCGCGCGAAGACCAACAAGACATGTCCATAGATTACTACCGCTCACGCAACGGCAACAGCAACGTAAGCTCGACGCTATCAAAACGCAGTACGTTGTCGAGGAAAGCGGTACACCAACAACCGCCACCCATCATGGGCAAATCGCCGCCAAGACCATCACCGGCGTCAGTCCCTTACAACTCGGATGAGGAAAGTCTCAAAGGTTACGACGAAAACCCGGACGATAGCAGCGTCACTGAGAAACCCTCAGAGATGAGCTCATCTGAGTCACAAGTACAATACCCTTGAAAGTGTGTGTAGTCATAATAATGTTTTTTGTTTTAATAGGGTTCTGAAAGCGAAAACGACAGCGTTCTTTCAAATTCGCACTCCTTCGTCAACCACTACGCCAACGTCAATGAACCGCTGCGGCCGTCCTGGAAGAGGCAGAAACCAGTGAGAAATTTCTCGAGCCACACCGACTCGGAACCCGAGGGTTCGGCGAGTTTGAACGGAGGGCAAATCATAATTAACAATATGGCGAGGTCCAGGGCGCCGCTTCCGGGCTTTTCGTCATTCGTTTAACCGCGATTCGGGAAAATTTGATAATGTTCACTTGGTTTATTTAAGTTTTCAGACGAAACGAGTGTGATTTAGTTGATTATCAAATTTTCACTAACCTAAAACAAGACTTGAGATTCCTACGTTTTTTAGGATTATTTTTGTGTAAATACGAGTTCAATTTAAAGTCTATTAAGGTGATTTAATTTTAGAGTCAGACTATTTGTATATACTAAAAAGTAGGGAATTTTTACTGTAGATAGCATTTCAGACATCTATCTATCCACATTACCATTCCTATTTATATTTTTATATCTTGATATCTATTTATTAGCGGTTTTCCCTTTTAGGAGTCTGTTTGGAACAAAGCTCAAAACCTGGATTTTCATTTCGACACGGTTTTCGTTATGCTTTTGATGTTATTGTCATTAAAACCAGCTTTTCAATGTTGGAATTAACGTAACTATTATGTTCTGATAATTCACTCGCGTGAGTGATCTCAGTGTTATTTTATTTGTGAAAGACTTTCTATCCTGAGAGCGTTATCAATGTACTGATAGTATTTACACTGCCTGAGTTTATGTAATTTATTAATAAGTGTAACAAAATTTTAATAAATCTGTGATCCTCTAATTTAAAGGGGTGTTTTTTGTACCTTGGTTAAAAAAATTGCTTTAGATTAAGTTTGTTTATTGAATCAACAGGCTGCACACCTTTGTAACCATTTCCCTAGAGACACGCTAACTTCACTGGGACTGGTGGCTTGCTTGATGGCTGAGTAGGCAGCAAGGTCGGCTACACTGACTTGACTTCTCCCTGCTAACCACTGAGACTTCCCCAGTGACTTACTTAGCGCTTTCAATAAAGCGCCTCTTTCAGTCTTTGTCTTAGCTTTCACAATGTTGTATGATATATCCAGTAAAGTATCAATTTCATGTGTGTTGTTGTATGTTTCATAGTTCAAAAGGTCAGAACTCACTCTAGATAAGTATCTCAGGATGTTTACTTCACCCAAAATTGGCTGGTGTGAGATCAATAATTCCACGTTTGCCCCTACTGAAAAAATTATGATTACTGAGTAGTCACAAGGTGCTTTTTTGCTTTTCTTACCATCCTTCCAAATGAGCTTTACGTTGACTTTAGGAACATTGGTCTCTGCTGAAAAAGCTTCAAGAATTTTAGTTAACTCAGTCGCGTTTTCAGTCAAGGTAGTCAGACTAGAGTGGGTGTAGGTTTTTACTGATAGGAAAATGTAGTTCTTCCATAGTTTCTGGATTAGCTCGAGCGAATATGGTGGGTTTGTTGGGCTAGCGTTTATGATAATGTCGGGAAGACTTGGAGGCTACAATTTGAGTTATTACTGGGCGAAAATTATTGACTGTCTTACCGTTTCTTGTTTGGGTTTGAGGATAACAGTCGGAAATGGTGCATGATTGGCCACTTTCAGGGTGTTTCTGATCGAGTCCATTTGTTTCTTCAACTCAGCTAGTTGTCGCAGGATTTCCTCCTGCCTCACTTCGAGTGCAGCCATCTCAGGAATATTTTGGTAATTCTGCATGGGAGAGCTCAAATAAGTATTTCAGTGATAATTGTCTAAATCAAATGGTGATCAAGCTTGGCGTATGCCCTCACTCAGCGAACGTGTTTTAATAGTAACCTCCTTCATTTTCACTGCATTTTTGACAGTTGTTCACAAAAATTGATAACTGTGGTGTCATGCAAGTGTATTATTAAGAAATGATGGTGAGTAATGGGCATTTAAGCGATTTTAAAGCAATTAGACCGTTAATATAACGCTTTGGAAAAAAAGAGATGTATTAAACCTTTAAAAACTGCTTAACCTGGTCGAATATATCCAATTTTCTCGTGGACGTCGCAACGTGATCCGTTCCCCGTTCCACCACACCATTTCTTGCAGCGTGGATATTTTTCAATTTGTACATGCACTCGGGCAGCCGCACCCGAAAATCGTGCTGCACCACCTGTTTCGTGCTATACATCTTCAGCGGCCCGTTCATTTTCCAACAATTTCGCAAATTTCCGAAATCTCGTCTCGTTAAAATAGAAAAATCGTGTCGCGTTTCGCCAAGGGGGCAAGTGTCAAAGCAGCGGCGCACGTGTCACTTACCCAAAACGCCACAACGCCACCAAAAATCGCACAATTACAACTTGGCACACTTGAATCGGAAATTGTTGACTGCGTTGCAACAAAACCGTCGTGGCGGCCGCCGTGCACCCTCCGCGCGGCTCCAAAATCGATAAAGCACGAGCCGCCCCTGGCGTCCAGCGGCCATCTTGTTGGCTAAGTTGTGCGGCGTTTCCGGCGGACCGGAAGTGGCGGTGTCATTTTGAAAAGGCAAAAAAATTTGGAGCGTCTCGGGCGGTTTGAGGTGCGAAGATGGGTTTCTGAAGCGAGGTTTTTTTTCCGTCGAGGCGGATTTTGTTTTGGTCGAGGGGCGAGCGGCGCGCCATCTGGTGGCGAGGATGGATCGCATCCACGGTGCGCTTGGATTGGATGCGATGTCCGAGCTAGAAAATCAATTATCGACATAATTAAGTGTTTGTGGTGTTAAACTGTTGACAAACGCTTGGATTCGGCCGTTTTCTCGGCGAGGTGTTCGAGAAAAAGGCGCTTTGGAAGTGGTGTTGAGGGAATTTTATTTGCAAGTTGTCATGGCGGCTGGAGCGTCAGCCAATGGGAGCGCGGCTATCGTCGGTTGTTAGGTGTTCTTTTTCGCTTGTGGGATACGCGTCATCCGAAGAATTAAGTGCGTCCTTCTAGCCAGAGGAGCGATTTGAGGGCCCGATTCGAGGGATTGTCCCGAAATCGATGACTCGAACCGAGATGGGGCTCAGTGAGTGGTAAATGGGCGCGTAAAATGTGTTTGATGTTGTTTGTCACGTGACGTAGCCGATTTAGTATGGCGAAAAGATCGACTGGACGACCATGAATCGTTTCGAGCAGCATTTTTGACATTCACATTTGTATACAAACGTTTGGTGAACTACCACGTGCATTATTGACAGTTTCACAACACGATGTCAACGAGAGGCCTAAAGAAGCGGGGGCGGCCCCCCAAGGTCCAGGTCGCCGAAAGGACCAAAAAATTCCAGTATCACCTCCTGAAAAAGCCGAAATATCTCCTAAATTACAACAAGGGCTCGGACTCGCAGTCCAGCACGCCCAACGCGTCGAGGGCGTCGTCCCCGCAGGGCAGCGACACGGGGAGGCGCAGCAGCAACCGCATCAGGGGCAAAGACGGGCACAGAGCGGGCCGCAGGCCCGGCTACACGGGCTCGAGTTACCAGCGCCGGGGCTACAACACCTCCGGAGCCGAATACCAGGACTCGGAGTACCACTACGGCTCCGACTTCGGCGACGACTCCAGCGACAACAAGAGCGAAATCGAAGACGAACTGGGACTGAGTGAGAGTGAATCGGACAACTCCGTCGGGGACGCCAGCAGTGATAGTGACTTCTCGTTGAGCAGTTACAGTACTATGAGTGGCACGCCGCGGAGGGCTCTCGCGGCCGCGTCGAGACCCATCACCCCCGAGCCCCTGTGGCTGCAAAACCGCGAAATCCCGTCGCTGACGCTACCCAAGTCGTCGGACGATCTCCTAGTGCCCAGAGAACACGTCATGTCGATACTTAGCATTTACGAGGTCTTGAGACACTTTCGAAATTTAGTCCGGTTGTCGCCGTTCCGGTTCGAGGATTTTTGCGCCGCGATCATCTGCGAGGACCAAAGCAGCCTCCTCGCGGAGGTCCACATCATGCTCCTCAAGGCGCTACTCCGGGAGGAGGACTCGCAACAAACGCACTTCGGACCCCTCGACCAAAAAGATAGCGTCAACATCTCGCTCTATTTAATCGATTACGTTACATATCCGGAAGTTTTGCGAAGCTACGTCGAGAGCGACAAAAATTTCGACCAAAAAGTCATGCACATTTTAAGCAGTACCGAGTATCCGTTTTCCACGCTCGACGACAGAATAGCGGTTTTGCAGTTCTTAACTGATCAATTCTTAACCACTAACCCGGTTAGGGAAGATTTGTTAAGCGAAGGTAGACGCACTTTTGTGGATTTTTTAACCCAAATGTAACTTGATTTTACTCTGTTTTAGTTCCCATGCACTATGATGACCACTGTCGGGTTTGCCACAAACTTGGAGACCTCCTGTGTTGTGAAACTTGCCCGGCAGTTTACCATCTGGAGTGCGTGGATCCCCCCTTAGTAAACGTACCTGAAGAAGATTGGCAGTGTGGCATCTGCAGGTCACACAAAGTCTCTGGCGTAGTTGACTGTGTGTTAGACATAGAAAAACAAGGTCAGCTCTCTAGACAAGAACATCTAGGCTATGACAGACACGGAAGAAAATACTACTTCCTCTGCAGGAGAGTTTTTGTGTAAGAATTCCCAATGATCACTCCCGCCAGCCAAATTATAACAAATTTTGTCCCCCAGTGAGTCAGACACCGGCGAAGTTCATTACTACACAACCCGGACTCAGTTCGACGAGCTCCTAAAAATTTTTGACACGAGTGACATGGAAGCCACCCTTTCCAGAGAACTAAACGACTACAAAGACGAAATTTACCGTCAAATGGAACTCACCGAAAAACTAACAAACCAACTAAAAGGCAACAAGAAGACTTACCTAGACTCGGAAAACGGTAAGTCAATATCAAACTCCAAATCCTCTCACCACACCCCCAATTTCCAGCCTTGATAATCAAAACCAACAAAGAAATCGAAGATCGCCTCGAAGAAGAACGCAAAGAAAGAGTTCGTCAGAACGCCGAAGACATGGTGGCGAAAATGCACGAAGAAAGCTCCGACGGTTTCCCGCAAGCGGTTAGCGAAGAAACCGTGGAGACCTCCACACCCCCCACAAACCCCGACCCACCCACCACCGAAGACAAAAAAGACAACGAAGAAGACAAAGATTCTAAACCCAAAGTCGACGCAACAACACCAAAGAACTTCAACATTGACGAACTGCGCAAACGAACCAGTACTGTTTTGACCCGGGACGAATTGGAAAAAAATGGTGACGCGTCAAGAATGACCCGACTTAAGTCCAGTCAAATCGCCAACGGCACCTACTTGTTCAAACTCGGGATGGAGAACACCTTCAAGTCTTACGTGAACCAGTTCACCACCAACGTCATAGCTTTAAATAAACCGCAGAGGAACGAAGAGCGCGATAAGAAGCGCCACTTGTCGCATAAATTTTCCTTGACGACGGCCTCCGAGTTCAAATGGTCGGGTGCTTTGAGCGGCAACAGAACCGTCCTTTTGAACACTTTGAGACAGACGTTCTTACAACTGGAGCAGTCGATCCAGTCGGCGTACATGCACCCGAATTGGCAGTTGTTGCGGAAGCACTGGTTGAACGTGGTGGGGAGCTGTCAGCAACCTAAAGATTTTGCGCGAGCTTTAATCGTTCTACAGGCTTGCATAAAACCGGTCGTTTTCGCGAACGTGTGGCATGAACAGTTAGGACACATTAAACTTTCAAGGATAACGGCGGTGGAGAGGGAGGAGCGCAAGAAGATGGAAAAGAGGGAGAAGAAGGAGCGGGAGGAGGAGGAAGAGAGGAATCGCATGTTGATTAGTGGGTACGTGAAGTACACGATGGGGTTCAAGCACCAGCTGTGGAAACAAAAAGGGGAGGAGTACAGGATTCACGGAAGGTGGGGGTGGTTGTGGCTGTCCACTTCGCGGAATTTTAAACATGTCAATTCGAACGAAATGGGGTTGGCTGCGGAGCCGCTGAAGTACATGGTGCAGATTGACGACGGCACGGGGGTGAAATTACTAGGGTTGGAACCGCCAATATACAACTACGCCGTCAATAAATACGGGGGAGACAACGACAACAAGGATAGCGATTCAGATTTGAAAAATTTGAGGGTAGTGCCTGTGCCGCAGTGTTTCGAGGACATTGACGTTTCTAAAGCGTTACAGACGAAAAGTCGTCTACTATATCCAAAAGTAGCAAAGAAATCAAAATTGGACGATTTCTTGCCAAGGCGTCTGCAACTAAAGACACTCGAGGAACGCAAAATAGCCCAAACCAAAAGCGAAGACAATCAAAAAGAAGACGAAACGATTGACATTGATGGGGACGAAGCGGAAACCAATAACGACACAGTTCTGGGTTTAGATAAACAACTGAATAACATGCTAGTGGGAAAAGTTACTCTACCGAATAATACTCCTCAGACGGCTGCCAACAGAGAAGTACTCAATTCCATAGCCAAAAAGATCCACTCGTTGCGTCTTCAGTACACTTCTATATCTAAACTGGCGAAAGACTTTCAGTGTTACTCTAAAGGTTGTAACTCGAGCGGTAGCACCAACATCGAAACTAATTGTTACTCACCGTTGTGTATTCAAAGGATTAAAGTCAGACGCGAGTTGTTGGCACTACTGCGAAAAGCGAACCTCGCGACGAACTCCAACGCCATCAAGCTATCAAACTCGCCGATAACGGTGAACAAAAAGCCGTCGATTCTTGAACAGACGCTCAAGGCGCCGCAACAAACCACCGCTAGAGACGTCCCGACTGAGTTTACTAATTTACTCAAAGCCGCGCCTGCGTACGTCGATGAACTCGAAGGAGTTTGCACACTCGGCGTGCCCGTAATCAAAAGCGACGAAATCAAGGAAGAACTAGACGAGAAAAAAGATAAACCGAAGAAAGTGGAAAGCGGGGTCGATATTATCACGACGACGGAAAGCGACGGGGTGTCGGATAGCCCACCTAGGAAAAAATTTAAGTCGGAGAGTGACGTGGACATGGAGGATATGTCGCCCGATGATATTAAAGAAATGATTCTAGGGGGTGGCGCTCCGCTCAATAAGAAAAGTATAACTATTACGACCACGACTACCGCGACTGTTACAACGCAGCAGACCATCGTCGATGGTGTGGTTAAAAGCATGTCTGCGAGCGAAAGCACCTCGGATACCGTCACGGTGTGTTCAACTGGTAGTACCATTCAAACCATGAATGCGAAAACCTCGGTTTATAGCGCCCAGCAAAACCGTAGGTTTTGCGCCTTCAAGAACGTGGTGAAGCGTGAAGAGAAAACCATCAAGAAAGAGCACGCCGAAGACGGCTCCGAGCGAGTGTATAGTCGAATTTCCACTGAAGGTAAAATTTACTTGAAGCGGGTACCGAGTCAGAGCGAAAGTAAGCGCAAGAAGCGACAGGTGATCAAGTACCCTGTGTGTTCGACGTATAAGACGAAGAAAAATAAAGGGTCGTTGTTGGTTTTGCCGCAGCACGAGGTGAAGAAGTTGGCGCGGCACGCCGGCCGCATCCACATTAACGGTTACCACGCTCTAGCCAAACCCAACAACTCCGTGTGGCCTTACCCTTGCGCCCGACCCTTATTCAAAACGTGCTGGGTCTACCGCACCGGTAACATCCGCCTATTGGCGGCGGTGGCCCTTCAACTACGTATTCTATGGTCGTGTTTGAGGTGGGACGACATGCAGACGAAGCCCCCCAACGCCGAAGGCAAACACCAACTCACCACAGAAACCGAGATCTTGTCGCTCGAGTTGTTGAAGCACCGGCACGTCGGTCAGTTCATGGAACGCACGCAATACTTGAGGCGAAAAGTGGTGATCCCTCTCGAGTTGCCAAAGACAGTTAGAGGTAAGCCGCGATTTTCGACACGACTACTTTATGTCTGGTTTGTTTGTAGAAGTTACGTCGATTAGGAGCGGTTTGCGCAAGCGTAAGCGACCCGAGTCGCCCCAGAGCACCGACCCGCAAGTCACGGAGGAGTGGGTCGACGAGGACAAGCTCGAGCTTTGGGAGATCAAGCAGTACGGAGAAAGGTGGGTCGTTTTGGCACGTGTCTCGTCTATTTCGATTTGCTTGCATGAATTTTCACTAACCGCTTGCTCGTGTGTTATGTACAGGATTGAGAAGGCTAATGCACAAGTTATAACTAGGAGTCGCACGGGGAATCTGCCGCCGGCGAAGGCCGTCGTGGACGCCACCGAACTGAACAAAGTCACAGTATCAGGCAAGGCGAGCGCGGAAGAAATCAAAGAGAAGATGGAGCAGCAGTTGCGGCTGCAAAGGGCGGCACATCAGCAGAAGCGCGCCTTGGAAATCAAGAACTCGCCGGGACAGATCATCAAAATGGTCGGGAGTACGGCTCAAGGTGAGTGTATGTTTATTCAAAGTTAGTTTATTGTAATCGTTTCTTTGAAAGCTGCCACTACTACTGCTACAAAACCAAGCACCACAACCACTCCAATACAACCTAAAGGTAGGCACTAAGTGTTGGATGTGTGGTTTTATGTGGCGCTTAGCATGGTTTGGTTTTGTGCTAGTGTGATATTGATTGATACGTGTTTGCAGTGACGACGACTCCGGATGGACAGATGAAGATCGTTAAAAACATCGCCAATCAACCCGTGGTTAGTGGTAAAACAACCTTGACGTCATTGTTGACGTCAAACAGCAACAAGCTAGTCGGTCGTCGATTGTTGATGACGAAAGCGGCGGACGGTACGACGAGGGTCGTCGCCAACGCAGCCAATATCTTGCCCAAGAACCTACAAAATGCTCAACAGAGTCTCATCAAAGTGCAAACCACAGGTGCTCAACCTACGCTACAGACAGTCCAAATACAGCAGCCAGGTAATTTTTAGAATCGTGCAAAATTAACATTATCGACGACAGCGTAACTGCTGAAATCGGAGGTAGCAAGTGTGAAACGTGCGTTACTGACTCATACCTGCTATGGATTGAAATATTGATCATAAATTTTAAATAGTACTAGTGTGAATCAGTAGCCCTTGTTGTATTTAGTCATGTACATGCAAAATATTGATTGGTCGGTTATCACGCAGTTACCACAACCGCCACGCCGGTAAAACAATCCGAAACCCCGCAAAGGGTCCAAATAATGCGAACACCGGATGGTCGCATTACCGTTAAGGGTCTTTTGCCCGGTCAGCAGTTGGTCCAGTATCCAGACGGCAAACTCCAAGTGATGACCAACGCTCAGTTACAATCGTCGGGATTGGCGGTTAAAACACCCACCACCACCACACCCATCAAACCATTGATTAAACCATCGCCGAATACTTCCTTAGGTAAAGTGGTTGTGCAGGGAAACCAACTGAAACCGGCCAACCAGCAACAGACCCAACAGAGCCCCGTCAAAACCCAACAAGTCATCATGAAAACCCCCACATCCTCAGTAGTGCAAAAAGTGGCCAGTCCGAACACCGTCGTCGTCAGCGGCGGCCAAGTCATCCAACAACAAGTCGTCATCAGCGGCAACCAAGTCATCGGCACCCCCACCGGCCAACAGGTAGTAGCCACCACCGCACGACAATCTCTCACCCCTCTCCTCCAGGTCATCACCAACCAGATCGTCGTCAACAACCAGAGCCTGGCGCAACAAATCGCCTCCGGCAAGGTCCAAATGGCGACGATCAACGGCCAACAAGTCCTGATTCGTCCGACGGGCAACAACCAGGCCCAAGTGGTGGCCCAGTTGACGCCGGGTAACCTGACCCAGTTGAACACGGGTCAGACGGCCGTCGCGACGCCCGTGAAACAAGTGGTTTCGCAACCGCAACAGGTCGACAGTCCCAAGGTAGTACAAACGCCCCAGCCGCAGATCCAACAGCAGGTGAAAACGGCCACTCCGAGGGAGAGCGTGAGCCAGAACGACCAGGCGACGATGGAGCAGCTCCTGGCCGGTCAGCCCCCGGGCACCGTCATCAAGTGCGTCACCGCGCAGGTCATACAGACGCCGCAGGGGCCGCGGATCGTCCTGCAGGGGCTGCAAGGGGCGGACTTCACGCCGCAGCAGCTGGCGGCGGTGCAACAGCAGGTCAAGCAGCAGCTGCTCAAAGGTAGGGGCGGCGACGAGCTCCCGGTTAAGTTTGAGGTGACGTCATGTGTTTGTTGGAGGGGATGAATAGATCAGTTTGGTTAACGCGTAGTAGACTTTTGATTTGGTCATATCTTGTTTTTTATAAAAATTAAATTAATAAAATCTGAGTGAAGAAATTCAATAAGGTTGCTCGTTTATGGAATTCAAATTTAAAGGAAAAAATTTAATTGTGGAATATTTAGCAGTGATTCTAAAGCACAGACAGTTTTGAATATTTGAAATAACTCTGGAAATTCTTAAGTTTATTACACGCTGATTGAATAAATTATTAAATAAAAATGAAATTATTCTCATAAATTTAAATACCGGAATATATTGGATCTGAAAGCTGCATGAGATCGTTTCAACAAATACGAAAAAATAAAGGACCTAAACAAACATTGCAGCATTCTCGCACCAATTAGACAAAAGAACAGACAAGTCATAGGTTTTTTTCAGCTTTTTCGGTGTTCTGGGAAATTTCGAAGACCGAATTTGAATTTAGTAGTCGTAAAAGCAAACTTTTAGATCCTTGAAATGTAAATATAAATCTTATATTTATGCTGAAAAATAAATTCGCGGCAGTCCGAAAATATAAAAGAATCAAAAATTTTAATAATGACGTCATTAACGTAAATAAAGAAAGATGATGAGCTTAAAACGGAGCCTTGAGTGTCTCATTTGTAGATAGCGTCTTGACAGTTAAAACTGATCAATAACGGAGAAAAACAAAACACTTACAACCTGGTTGCTAAATTAACATCGTAAATTATGTATAATAATAATAATAATAATAATAATTTATTTGCCCAACGGTAACCCAGTTAGAGGGCAATTATATTAATTTAATTTAATTTAATTTGACGGGAAAACCCCAATTTACAATGCTATAAACTATACAAATTGAAATTATCTTAGAAAATACAGAAAAAAAAAAACACTAATTAAGTAAATAAAATCTATATACTTATAAACCCTTCACTAATAATTTTCTTAAAGAATTGAAAATGAATTAAACTTAAATACTAACATTCTATCATACACTTTAATTTACAGACCTAAAATACACTTAATTCTAGATTTGAATTTTGATCTGTCACAATCAAATAATAAAAATGTTGAATTGTCCGCCATCCTGTTAGCCGTTTCCATCATACGTTTGATCGGATGATTTTGCGATTTGTTAGTCGTGGACACAGGTACCCTAAATATCACTGTGCTCCGAGTTTTTCTACTATTTGAGTAGAATATATACTACAGTACTATATACAATAAAGTAACTGTAGTTTTGAAAACTACTAGTTAATTCTAACCACAAGTTAACTAGTGGTTAAAAAACAAATCGCGATTTCAATCAAAACGTTACTGTTAGTTTAGTTACCATAGCCCGTATTCAGCGCTGTCGATTATGTTTAGTAGATGTCTATTAAGCCCTTAATCAATGTCTATTAAATTTACCTATTCAGCGCCATTGCTTAGCGGCTAATTAATGTCATTTGACGATTTTTTTAATCAATATTTTAATCGACGACATAACCGTCTTTAAATAATTATTTATGTTGACATTTATATAAAATCGTTCAAAATGGATAATATTTTGGAAGGCATTCAGTTTATATTGTATAATTTTCAACATAAATTCGTTCGCCGATGCCGGTGGTGCTTCCTTTTCGTAATTTGGGACGATTCTGCATGCTCTAAGTTTGTTTCGTTGCTCAGAATCATCAAAAAATGTTGAAATATAGTGCAGATCTAGTAAAAATCGACAAAAATAAGATTTCTAGCTAAAATTTGATGGTTTCGTTGCTCTTTCCGAGCCCCTTGGGTGTCTGATTGGCTTTAAAACTACAAGAAAACGCTTCAAAAGTGACGTTTCTGAAGAATTTTGACTATTTTCTTCTATCTACGAACGCCGGAATGCATAAAACTAACCCAGACGTCTCCTTTTCGTAATTTGAGACGATTCTGCATGCTCTAAATGTGTTTCGTCGCTCAGAATCATCAAAAAATGTTGAAATATAGTTCAGGTTTAATAAAAATCAACAAAAATACGATTTCTAGATAAAATTTGATGGTTTTGTTGCTCTTTTCGAGGCCGTAGGGTGTCTGATTGGCTTAAAACTACAAGAAAACTTCAAAAGTGAAATACAACTTGCCATAACTATACGACTACAGGTAATCTTCATACTAAAACTATTGTGTACCTATTATAACCTTTAATTATTTTTTACCAATATTGTATTATTCATATTAGGAGATCTGCATGGTGGTACTCAAGTTTCTATGAGGTACATTTGTATTAAGGCAGCTCGAGTTTTAATTTCTCGACTATCTCAGTTTAAGAAACCTTAGGGGGTTCAAGCAAAATTTTTATAACATTAGAACATTTCCTGGAGTGGTGGACTGCATTGACCGCAACCATTATTAAAATAAAGGATCCTGGTGGTCGTCGGCCACTGTTAAACTGCTGCAATATAAATTTTTATTCATTAAATGTGCAAGTTGGATATGTTTGACATACACGGATAGTGAGATTTTAACAAATTTTGCGACGTTGTCAAATGAATGTTCGTTAAGTTATTAATTAGTTAATAGAAGCGTAAAAAACGGTAGTGAATAGGGCATTCACTAAAATATCGATTTAAAAAATTATTTAGTTTAATCAATTGATTACTAAAAAAATAGATAAAAAATAATTTAAAGAATGGCGCTGAATACGGGTTCATGAGTTTAGTAAAAGTTGGAAAGGCAACGCTGTAATTTCTACGTCAGAATTGTCACAAAAGACATCAAATAATCAAACACTGAACTTTGCCCGAACAGAGGAGCAATTTATTAATGAGTTTAATCGAAAAAAAGGACGTAACTGAAAATGAAATTTTAAAACAATATAACAACTTAAAGGGACGAAAGCCAAGTTTTCACACAATGAAAAAGAAAAACTGGTGGAGGTAAAGCAGAATTTCAGGAAATTTCTGAGGTTGATAATGCTGTCAAAAGACTATTTGGAGAAGTGATTTTTGGCTCAACACCGCTTTTTGATAGTGAAAGTGTGGAGCTGATAGTGGCGTATTTACCTAGTTATCTTTTAAAACTGTGATAATAGTAAGGTTGACCCCCGCAGAATCAAGTACATGGTCTGCCGGAGAAACAGCTGAATTATTGATTAAGAAAATTAACGTCAGGACCCGCATACCTCTCGGTAGGATTTCTTATAACGTTGTTCTTCTATTAAATTTTCTATTGTTCGCTTTAATTTGTGAAAACGCTGAAAAAATGCTTTTCCTCCCACTTTTCAAAATGGTTTACCTTTTCCCGAACCACTTTTCTTTTCCTCAGAGGTAGTTCCTCATCGTCACTGAAGGCATTTAGGTACTTCGTAGTCGTTCATTTTTTAAATTAAATATGACTGACATTTGTCGTAGTATAATTGAAAACTATCAGTTAACTCATACTACATGTGCTGGTAAAGTTAACTATGAGTAAACTTCAGGTTTGGATATAACCATCAATTGAAATAAGGAACTTTGCATTTAACTATAGGTTAAATGTTAACCATAAGTTAACTATGAATTGAAATAACGGGCCTAAAAGTCTTACTAATTGATACAAGAAAAAAAAAACCTAAAAAACATAAACTTAAGTTTCCATACACATTTTAATAACCTAATTATATAAAAATATCGCTATACAGTTCATTGGCCTGTCTAGATACTCTAACCATTGGAGAATTCTTTAACAAATTCGTTCTAGACTGAGATAGCACGAAAGTACAAGCATATCTAGCACTTAACCGAGGCACATGAAAGTTGACATATTCCAGAAGCTGAGAACTATCCAGTTTGTTGTGTATTAATTTCCACATAAAACGAGCACCATGAATCTTACGTCTGTCAGAGAGTGATTGTAATTCGTGAGTTTGCAATAAATAGTTGTAGTCAATATTGCGAACAGGATAAGTACCAGAGATTTTAAAACTTGTATGTAGCAGACCGTGGCAAACTTGGTCTTTATACTCTCCATTGATTACCATTTTAGGAGAATAATAACCTTGTTTTGAACTGATAATTGAATCCTCTTTTTCAAAAATGTGTGGAGTAAGGAATGTGTTTTTTTTTCGTGGTAGCGCAAGCGTCGACCGGGAAGCAGGGTGTCCTGGGGCCTACGAAGATCTACCTCGCGGTGCAGCCGAGCAACCCCGACCAGTCGCAGTCCGAGGGTGTGTCTAGCCAGCCGCCGCCGTTAGCTCCCGTCCAGCAGAGCGTCGTGCAGTCGCCGCCGACGTCCGCCAAGACGCAGCCGCAGCCCAGCGTCGTCAAGCAGGCTGCGTCAACAGTACAGCAGGTATGCAACATGACCCCCAAGCCCAAGGTGATAGTGCAACCTGCTAATCAGGTACTTCTGTTTTGAAATCGATCTGTAACCAATCCTTGTTGTCGCATGGTCTGTCCCTTGATTGGTGTCTAGTTAAGTAAGTGCTTATAAAGTTTTCCGTACGCGTTCAATTCGCATGTAGATAAATAATTTTAGGAGTGTAAAGTGTGAGGAGCATGTACCTGTTTCTCTCTGTCTCTCTCTCGCTCGCTGTGGTGTGAGGGTGCCTTGTTCATGCTTTGTTGTACTAACCGTGTTGGAATAAATGAGTTGAAATCGCTTTTTGTTTACTTTTTCGTATGGTTAAGCGCGTTGTGCACGGTCGTCGATGTGTTTCGTTGTCACTTAAGTGTTGCAATACTTGCAGACGAACGAAAACGTGACAACTTCGGGTCGTCAGGTTCTTGTGAATGGGCAGCAGTCGCAGACTTCTGCTCTACTTCAGGCGATGAAAGCGAATATGGAGTCTAATCAGGGTGTTACGACGACGTCGCCGACGCAGCAACAACCGCAGCAGCAACAGCAAACTGCCGCCGGCGACCAGAATAAGCAGTTTGTCGTCACACCCGACTATATTCAGCAAAGTATGTTGCTATATCAACCGTCAGTAATTGTGTACAATCCTAATTGTACCACTTACCCATTGCAAAACGACTACGCCAATCGTTTCTAAATCGTAAGACTTTAACAATCGAACAGTATTTAGAAGAGCAAGGGTTCCTACTCGATCAAAAGTTTCCAGAAATGTGCGTATTTTTCTTTCTGTGATATTTTGCATTTACTTTTTCGTTTCCAAAAGACTGATTTTTTATATGGAAAATTTTTGTTCTCGTTTTTTTGTTGTGACGTGAGCGGAAACTTTTGAGGTAATAGATATATAAGCTAGTTACAACATTTTATGTAAGCTGTAACTACATGTACTCGAAACTGTAATAAATCTGTTACAACAAGCGACCAGGAGTTTCCTTGCCAAACACCTTGCACTTCTTTACACATTTATTTTAAGTCGTTTTGCTTTGGGTCTCCTAAAATTCCAAAATTCCTTTTAAAATTCTTTATATTTTTATTTTCTGACTTCTTATTCAGCGATCAAAACTGCACTTAAACAAGAAAACCTTAATCCCGAAATCGAAGAAAAACTCTTGCAGCTACAACGCTACCAGGAAAAGCAGATGAAGCAAGAACCGGACATTCCCGCACCAGTCGCCAAAGTTAACAATCCAGTGCCGGTTACTAACACGCGATATAACGTTTCCCGTAAGCGGACGCCCAGTGCCAGTAGGAACGATGACAGTGATTGGGTGATGGAGACGCCGAAGCGATCGCGGCCGAACAGAAACAGCGAAAACAAAAAAATAGATGACGTACAGTAAGTACACTCATTCTTAGACTCATTTACCGGTCACTTCATCAGACGGACACGATCAACTCAGTTTAAATCAGCTTCAACACGAATTTTTTACCCCTTGACAATAAATCTCAATTATTTATAATCAATCTGGAAAAAAAAAACAATAAATGTGTTATTTTTTCATCTTCCTTTTCATTGTCGAAAACGTTCCACACACCCGGTTTATGGTCTAACAATGCAACGTTGTGGCGTTTGTAGATGACCAAAAAAAAAAAAGAAAAATAGCACTAAACAAACGAGAAATAACGTTACAAATATATTTCAGACTCGAGAGAAAAATAATGGAAAAATTATGTGCAATGTATTGTATTTAATGTAGTCAGTTGTTCACAGTTGAACATTTGTTTCATATTATATGTCTTTTTGGAGGGTTTAAATCAAATTATTTACAAGGTTCATTTTCAAGACATAAAACTGGAAACGGGATGATAAAACGGCTATATGTAAATAAATAGCCAGTTAGTGGAAAATGTAGCTTGTAATTTTTCACCTATGTTTATTATCGTGATGACTATGTTCCGAATTTTCCTTTCCATTATTAAATAGTTGACCTGATTGATGAAACACATTCCTGCAGATTTTTTTCTTTTCTTACATATTTTTTATAGTCGATTATACAGAGTGACTCAAAAAATTATTAAAATTTTGTACTGCACCGATGTGAAAAGAAGTCTACACATATTAAAACCATGAAGTAAAATGTAAGCCCGCCCACCCGCCCTACTTAAATGTGAAGATTTTTTTTATTCGCCGTGAACCAAGAGGGCGGAGCTTAACTGCAAAACACTTATTTCTTTACGAGAAATTAAAAACATGTTTTTGAGTATCGCGTTGTCCAAAGAATACTATATGTTAAAAAAAAAAGGCAAAATAAAAATTCTCGTAGAGAAATCAGGATTTTGCAGATAAGCTCCGCCCCCTTGCTTAATGGCGAATAAAAAAAATCATCACAATTGAGATAGGGTGGGTGGGCGGGGCTACATTTTGGCTTTTTTTTTTTTCTTAATATGTGTAGACTTATTTCAATAACACATAGGCAGTTAGTAATTTTTAAAGATCAAACCGTTGAAACATCCTGTATAGACTCTTTTTTCCATCATTTTCGTGGACTAGCATTGCTTGTCTGATCTGGTTTTCGATTTGTAACTTTTAATTCAAATTGTTTAGAATGTATGAGGTTCATTGCAAACACACATGATATAAAAAAAAAACTGGAAAAAGAATCAGGTTAAAACAGCTATATGTAAATAAATAACCAATTAATGAAAAATGGAGCTTGTAATTTTTCACGTATGTTTATATAGTAATGATTGTTGTCTGAATTTCCTTTGCCTTTATTAAAAAGTTGACCTAGATGAAACAAATTCCTGCGGATTTTTTTTTTCTTTTCATACTTATTTTTTTACAATCGCTTATATAGAATGACTCAAAAAATTATTAAAATTTTACACTGCTCCGTTGTGGAAAGAAGTCTACATATACTAAAACAAAAAGGCAATATATAAGCCCGCCCGCCCGCCCTATCTCAATTGTGATGATTTTTTTATTCGTCGTGAGCCAAGAGGGCGGAGCTTATCTGCAAAATCCTTATTTCGATTTTGCAGATAACCCCCGCCCTCTTGACCCACGACGAATAAAAAAAATCATCACAATTGAGATAGGGTGGGTGGGCGGGGCTACATTTTGGCTTTTTTTTCGTAATATGTGTAGACTTACTTCGACAACACACAGGCAGTTAGTAATTTTTGAATATCAAACCGTTGAAACATCCTGTATAGACCATTTCTTGTCTGAACTGGTTTTCGAATTGAAGAGTTTTTACTTTTAATTTAAATTATTTAGAATTTATGAGGTTCATTGTAAACACTCATGATTAAAAAAAACTGGAAACAGGATGAGGTTAAAACAACTTACGTAAATAAATAACCAATTAATGGAAAATGGAGCTTGTAATTTTTTACGTATGTTTAATAGTGATGATTGTTTTCTGAATTTTCTTGGCGTTATTAAAAAGTTGACCTGATTGATGAAACACATTCCTGCAGATTTTTTTTTCTTTTCATACAGTGTGATTCAAAAAATTATTATTAAAATTTTATACTGCACCGATGTGAAAAGAAGTCTACACATATTAAAACAAAAAGGCAATATGTAAGCCCGCCCACCCGCCTCATCTCAAATGTGATTTTTTTTTTATTCGCCGCTTAACTGCAAAGTACTTATTTCTTTACAAGAAATTAAAAACATGTTTTTGAGTATCGTGTTCTTCAAAGAATACTATGTATATTAATAAAAAAAAGGTAAAATATAAGCTCCACCCACCCGCCCTATCTCAAGTGTGATGATTTTTTTTAATCCAAATTGATACACCTGTCCTTGTAAAGTGGTTATGACGTCATCCCAAAATTTTGTAAAGGAAAAACTTACTTGAAACGTGGAACACTCTACTTTACATTTATTTTAACATTACATACAAAATATATTTATTTTAGCTTACAAGGGTTTTCATAAAAAAAATGAAATTCGCAAAATCAAGTTTTATAATTTTTGCAGAAAGTTTGATGTTTTATTGTATTTACTTCAGGGGCGAGGAAAGTTCTGTCTAAATGATTTTAGACCTTTTTACTTTCCGAGCTTAAGCTAAGGAGAAGTGTAGCAATCGAGTCCAATTCCACGACGTTTCATGACCCCTAGAGTACGAAAAAAGTAGTCTCCCGTTTCTGTCTCTCTGTCTGTCTGTCTGTCTGTCTGTATGTATGTATGTATGTATGTATGTATGTCTGGTGTCTGTATCCATTATTATGATACACGTAGTCTCCAAAACTGCTGGACCGATTGTTGTCAAATTTTGTATGTATACTAGAAATAGCATGTGGATGGTTAAATTTTAACCAAAATTTTGCTAATCCTCCCCACTAAAAATCTGATGACGTCATTTCAAAGAATTCTATCTTTATTGGATTTAACTGTTATACAACAATAATAGTCCTATAAGTGTGGTGTATGAATCCGCTTTGAGATTTTCCTTAACCGTCCAAATTTTTGTAAAAACGCACGGTATAATAATAGTGGTTACGAGTCAGGAATGCGAACTGGACTTCGTGTGTTCGATTGCAAACTTGTTTTTTTTTTCGCATTGTATATATATTATCAATGTATATGACGTCATAACAATTTTTTTTTGTTTATGAAATCACCCCACTTTCTCGAAAAAAGGTAAACGTACGCCCGTCTTTTTTTATTTTGAAACCTTTGGGGTCCCAACTGTCTTTTAAAAATGTAAAACTTTCTCAGGGGACCCAAATGACTTTTTTGAATGTAGAACCTTCTCGGGGGTCCCAACTCTCTTTTTTAAAAATGTAAAACCTCGGGGGGCCAAATGTGTTTTTTTTTCAATGTGAAACCTTCTCAGGGGACCCAAATGGCCTTTTTTTAGAATGTAGAACCTTCTCGGGGATCCCAACTCTCTTTTTTAAAAATGTAAAACCTTCTCGGGAGACCCAAATGTGTTTTTTTCCAGTGTGAAACCTTCTCAGGGGACCCAAATGGCCTTTTTTTAGGATGTAGAACCTTCTCGGGGGTCCCAACTTCCTTTTTTAAAACTGTAAAACCTCAGGGGACCCAAATGACTTTTTTTTAGAAAGTAGAACCTTCTCGGGGGTCCCAACTCTCTTTTTTAAAATTGTAAAACCTTCTCGGAGAGCCCAAATGTGTTTCTTTTTCCAATGTGAAACCTTCTCAGGGGACCCAAATGGCCTTTTATTATGATGTAGAACCTTCTCGGGGGTCCCAATTCTCTTTTTTAAAACTAAAAGCTCAGGGGAGCCAAATGGCCTTTTTTTAAAATGTAGAACCTTCTCGGGGGTCCCAACTTCCTTTTTTAAAACTGTAAAACCTCAGGGGACCCAAATGACTTTTTTAGAATGTAGAACCTTCTTGGGGGTCTCAACTCTCTTTTTTAAAAATGTAAAACCTTCTCAGGGGACCCAAATGGCCTTTTTTTTAGAATGTAGAACCTTTTCGGGGGTCCCAACTTCCTTTTTTAAAGCTGTAAAACCTCAGGGGACCCAAATGACTTTTTTTAGAATGTAGAACCTTCTCGGGGGCCCCAATTTTTTTTTTTTTTCACTGTGAAACCTCGGGGGACCCAAATGGCTTTTTTTTAGAATGTAGACCCTTCTCGGGGGTCCCAACTCTCTTTTTTAAAATTGTAAAACCTCGGGGGCGCTAAATGTTTTTTTTTTTTTTTCAATGTGAAACCGCCCCAGGGGTCCCAACTGTCTTTTTTAAAATGTAAAACCTTCTCGGAGGGGCCAAATGTGTTTTTTTCCAATGTGAAACCTTCTTAGGGGACCCAAATAGCGTTTTTTAGAATGTAGAACCCTCTCGGGGGTCCCAAACCCTCTTTTTTAAAAGTGTAAAACGTCGGGGGGCCCAAATGTGTTTTTTTTCCAATGTGAAACCTTCTCAGGGGACCCAAATGGCATTTTTTTAGAATGTAGAACCTTTTCGGGGGTCCCAACTCTCTTTTAAAAATGTAAAACCTTCTCGGGAGACCCAAATGTGTTTTTCTTCCAGTGTGAAACCTTCTCAGGGGACCCAAATGGCCTTTTTTTAGAATGTATAACCTTCTCGGGGGTCCCAACTTCCTTTTTTAAAACTGTAAAACCTCAGGGGACCCAAATGACTTTTTTTTTTAGAATGTAGAACCTTCTCGGGGGTCCCAATTCCCTTTTTTAAAATGGTAAAACCTTCTCGGGGGCCCCAATTTTTTTTTTTTTCAATGTGAAACTTCAGGGGACCCAAATGGTCTTTTTTTAGAATGTAGACCCTTCTCGGGGGTCCCAACTCTCTTTTTTAAAATTGTAAAACTTCAGGGGCCCCAAACTTTTTTTTTTTGCAACGTGAAATCTTCTCGGGGTTCCCAACTGTCTTTTTTTAAAATGTAAAACCTTCTCAGGGGACCCAAATGACTTTTTTTAGAATGTAGAACTCTCTCGGGGGTCCCAACTCTCTTTTTTAAAAATGTAAAACCTTGTCGGGGGCCCGAATGTGTTTTTTTTTCCAATGTGAAACCTTCTCAGGGGACCCAAATGGCCTTTTTTTAGAATGTAGAACCTTCTCGGAGGTCCCAACTCTTTTTTTTTTCCTTTAAATTGTAAAACCTGGGGGCGCCAAATTATGTTTTGTTTTTGTTTTTTTATGTAAAACCTTGTCGGGGGTTCCAATTGTCTTTTTTTATGTAAAACCTTCTCTGGGGCCCCAAATGTATTTTTTGAAGGATGTGAAACCTTCTTGTAGGTCCCAAATAGTCTTTTTTAAGAATGTGAAACCTTCTCAGGGGTCCCAACTGTCTTTTTTGAAAATGTAAAACCTTCTCTGGGGCCCAAATGTATTGTTTGAAGAATGTGAAACCTTCTCGGGGGTTCCAATTCTTCTTATATAATTCTTTTATTTTCTTATTTGATCTTCTACCGTTGATTACTTTTAATTTTTTTTCCACTTTTATTCAAATTAAAAATAAAATACCTCTGAGTGTGTCGGTAAAAATAATGGCGTTCCGTTCGTTGACCAATGACAAACCGCCACGTGACATTTCACGTCATTATCATTACCCTAAATACGATCAAACCCGCTTACCTAATTCGCAAAAGCGACACCAGATGTCGCTTCTAACAAAACCAAACATAAATTATCTCGTCTCCAGCGACACCAGCAAAGAAAAAATCGTCTCACCCCGAGCCCGCGTGAAGTTAAAAGAAGCCCAAGAGCAGGACCGGAAAGTCACTCAGCGAACAAAAATCCTGGTCAGTCTTTACCGCCAAAAAGAATTCCTCAAGAAAGACATCCTCCGGAAGAGGGCGCTCCTCGAGAAGGAATTGCAGTACGAAATCCAGGTAACCCCCGACTCAGCCCGTCAACCAAAACTAACCCCTCGTTTACAGAAAGAAGTAGCCGAAGAGTTGGCCGCACGCACGAAAATGGAACGGAGCAAGCAAGACGAAGTGCGCACAGGCAGCAGCAAGCGAAAATCCGCAGCTACGGCGACGACGGCCGTCATACCGCAAGTCACCAAGTCGGCGCGCCAGAAAAAGGGCCAGAAGCAAACGCAAGCGACGCAGAACGCGGCGGCCCAAAGGGCCGCCATTAAAAAAGAAAAGTTGTACTGTATATGTAGGACGCCGTACGACGAAACGAAGTTCTACGTCGGGTGCGATCTGTGCAGTAATTGGTTCCACGGCGACTGCGTGGGAATCACCGAGGAGAGCAGTCGGACGCTGACGGAGTTCGTGTGCGACGAGTGCAAGCAGGCGAAGGACACGGAGAAGCTGTATTGCTTGTGTCAGCAACCGTACGACGACTCCCAGTAAGTACACTATTTGTATACTAATAAAATTTTACAACTTATAAGTAAGTTTGTCTGCGGCTGGCTGTAAAATTTTATTGATATGCAAAACCGCGCGTGAAGGGTACTTATTAGGGTGATTTTTAGGTTTTATATTTGTTGTGACCGGTGTCAGGATTGGTTCCATGGGAGGTGCGTGGGGATACTGCAGTCGGAAGCCGACAACATCGACGAGTACATCTGCCCGAGGTGCCAGCGGAATTCGTCGGTGAATTTCGCGAATATGAAGGATTTGTCCCAGAAGGACTTCGAGTCGCTGAAGAAGCTGATCAAACAACTGCAGGTGAGTTAGTATTTTGTTACGATTGCGCGGCATTCAGGGTTTTTGTTGGTGCAGGCCCACAAAAGCGCCTGGCCGTTTATGGAACCTGTGGATCCAACTGAAGCTCCAGATTATTATAAAGTTATCAAGGAGCCCATGGGTATGTTGCGGTGACGGTTTATAAATGTTGAGTAATGTTGTTGTTTACAGATCTCCAAAAAATAGAGAATAAAATTAATGATCAAGTTTACACGAAACTGAGTGAGTTTATAGGGGATATGACTAAAATTTTTGACAACTGTCGATATTATAATCCAAAGGAATCTCCATTTTTCAAGTGTGCAGAGTCTTTAGAAGCTTACTTTGTGAATAAAATAAAATGCTTAAGAGATAAGTTTATGGAGACCAACAAATGATTACTTTCTTAAAAGAGCTTTTTTTATTGTTAGGCAATAAGAGCGTACGCGGGATTTCAAGTTGGTTTGTAAAGATCTCAGTTTAAAATAAGCGACTTGAAATCTTTATAAAACAATTTTTGTATATAAGTTGTGAATATGTGTATGAATGATGCGATTTAATTTCGATTTAATAGTTAGATCCTATTTTTAAAGTCTTGTATTATTTATATTTAAATTAATAAACTTGTTTAAGTTTCTTTTATAAATTATTTTTTCAGAGTTCAAAATGTAGTCTATTTATATAAAATATTATATATATAGCATCTATTCTGAATAGTTAGTGCCATTGTAGATATTGTGTTATTTAACAGAGTCTTCTTAAGTTTGCACATATTGAAATTTTTATATTTGGTCGGTATTGTACCGACCTTTAACAGTAAATATAATATTTACATTATTCGCCTTTTCATTCACTAGTCATTAGGTTCGACGGGTAGGTAAAAACACAACACCATTAAACGCTTTATTGTACAACGAAACATCGTCAATTTTCTTTCAATACGCTCCTGAAACGGTCCAAAAAGATGTCGGCGTGACGCTCCTGGAATATTAAACTTGGCCTAAGCCGCAACGCATTGTCCCCGCAGCCACCCATTAACACTCCTGAAACAAAAAAAAATGTTTAGAAAAAAGTCAAAAAAGGTAAGTTAAAAAGCTACAAAAAGTCCAAAAACAAGACTAAAAAGCGATAAAAAAAGACAAAAATTCTATGAAAATAAAAACATTAAGAAAGCGTAGTAAAGAAGGCAAAAAGTACAAGAAAAATGTGATAAAAAATTATATGAAAAAAAGTGACAAAAAAACAGAAGTATGTATAAGGTGAAAGAACACATTTCCGTTACATTTTGCCTTTCTTTTCTTAATCACAACTGAGATAGGGCGGGTGGGCGGGGCTTATATTTTGCCTTTTTTTTTCTTAATATACATAGCCATCTTTTCGCAACAAGAAACTTAATACATTGCCTAATTGCAAAATTAATATTTCCTGATACAAATTTTCCATTTTAAAAATGTTTTTAGTTTAATATTGTGAAAAGAAGTCTACACATATTAAAATATAATGGCAAAATTAAAGCCCGCTCACCCGCCCTATTTCAATTGTGATGATTTTTTTTATTCGCCGTGAACCAAGGGGGCGGAGTTTAACTGCAAAATACTCATTTCCTTACAAGAAATTAAAAACATGTTTTTGAGTATCGTGTTGTTCAAAGAATACTACTTATATTAAGAAAAAAAGCAAAGAATGAACCCCGCCCACCCACCCCATATCTATTGTGATGGTCTTTTTATTCTTAAAAACGTAAAATATTTAAAATGGTAAAGTTTTGTAAGGAAGTATGAATCTTGCAATTAGGCTCCTCCCCTAAGTTTGCCAACGAATGAAACCTTCATTACTATTTAGATCAGGAGAGGTATGGGTGGAGCCTAATTTTTTCTTAATATACATAGTATTCTTTGAATAACATGATACTCAAAAACATGTCTTACATTGTAATTTCTTGAAGAGAAGTAAGGATTGCAATTAAATTCCGCTCCTTTGGCTCTCGACAATAAAAAAAAATCATCACACTTGAGATAGGGCGGGTGGGTGGGGCTAATATGTTGTTTTTTTTCTTAATATACGTAGTCGTCTTTTCAGAACAAGAAACTTAAAACATTCTTATAATGGTAATTTTTTGTAGGAAAGTATCGATTTTGGAATTAAGCTCCGCCCCCTTGGCTCACGACGAATAAAAAAAATTATCAGAATTGAGACAGGGCGGATGGGCGGGGTTTATATTTTTTTCTTAATGCACATAGCCATCTTTTCACAACAAGAAACTTAAAACATGGTTAAAATGGTACAATTTGGCAAGAAAATATTGATCTAACAATTATGGGCCTGAGCCAATTGCAAAATTTATATTTCGTTATGCAAATTTTCCATTTTAAATATCTTTCAAGTTTAAAGAAAATTGAAAAGCCCGCCCACCCGCCCTATCTCAATTGTGATGACTTTTTATTCGCCGTGAACCGAGGGGGCGGAACTTAACTGCAAAATACTCTAGAGGAAATTAAAAACATGTTTTTGAGTATCGTGATGTTGTTCAAAATATATATATGCATATTAAGAAAAAAAAAGCAAAATATAAACCCCGCCCACCCACCCCATCTCAATTGTGATGATCTTTTTTATTCTTAGAAACCTAAAACTCGTTTAAAATGGTAAATTTTGTAACGAAATCTGGATTTTACAATTAGGCTCCGCCCCTAAGTCTGCCAACGAATGAAAACTTCATTACTATTTAGATCAGGGCAGGTATGGTATATATTTTGCCTTTTTTCTTAATATACGTAGTCGAACAAGAAACTTAAAACATTTTTATAATGGTAAATTTTTGTAGAAAAGTATCGATTTTGCAATTAGGCTCCCCGCTCCTGGGTCTGACAACGAATGAAAAATTCATCACGCCTGAGCTTGGGATGGATATGGGTGGGGCTTAATTTTTGGCTTGTTTTTTTCTTAATACACATAGTATTCTCTTACGCATAGTGTTCTTTGAACAACACAATACACAAAAACATGTTTCTTATTTCTTGTGGAGAAATAAGGATTTTGCAGTTAATATCCGCCCCCCTTGGCTCACGACGAATAAAAAAAATCATCAGAATTGACACAGGGTGGGTGGGCGGGGCTTATATTTTTTCTTTTTTTTTTCTAAAGCACATAGCCATCTTTTCACAACAAGAAACTTAAAACATGGTTAAAATGATACAATTTGGCAAGAAAATATTGATTTGCCATTATGGGGCGGAGCCTAATTGCAAAATCTATATTTCGTTATGCAAATTTTGCATTTTAAAGATCTTTCAAGTCTAAGGAAAATTGTAAGCCCGCCCACCCGCCCTATCTCAATTGTGATGACTTTTTTTATTCGCCGTGAACCAAGGGGGCGGAACTTAACTGCAAAATACTCTAGAGAAATTAAAAACATGTTTTTGAGTATCGTGATGTTGTTCAAAAAATGTATATGTATATTAAGAAAAAAAGGCAAAATGGGGCGGAGCCTAATTGCAAAATCTATATTTCGTTATGCAAATTTTCCATTTTAAAGATCTTTCAAGTCTAAGAAAAACTGTAAGCCCGCCCACCTTCCCTATTTCAATTGTCATGACTTTTTTTATTCGCCGTGAACCAAGGGGGCGGAACTTAACTGCAAAATAATCTAGAAGAAATTAAAAAAAAATGTTTTTGAGTATCGTGATGTTGTTCAAAAAATGTATATGCATATTAAGAAAAAAAAAAGGCAAAATATAAACCCCGCCCACCCACCCCATCTCAATTGTGATGATCTTTTTTATTCCTAGAAACTCAAAACACGTTTAAAATGATAATTTTTTTTAAGAAAATATGGATTTTGCAATTATGCTCCGCCCCTAGGTCTGGCAACGAATGAAATCTTCATTACTAATTAGATCAGGGGAGGTATGGGTGGAGTTTAATCTTTGGCTTTAATTTTTTCTTAACATACATAATATTCTTTGAATAACACGATACTCAAAAATATGTCTTACATGGTAATTTCTTGTAGAGAAACAATAAGAATTTTGCAATTAAATTCTGCTCCTTTGGCTTTCGACGATTAAAAAAAATCATCACACTTGAGACAGGGTGGGTGGGCGGGGCTTATATTTTGCCTTGTTTTTTCTTAATATACATAGCCATCTTTTCACAACAAGAAACTTAAGACATGTTTAAAATGGAAAATTCTTGTAGACAAATATGGGTCTTGCAATTAAGCCCCGCCCCTCGATCTGACAACGAATGAAAAATTCATCACAATTGAGAATTGAAATCGGGGCGGGTACCTACATAATATTTTTTGACCCGCATGATGCTCAGAAACATGTTTTTAATTTCTAGTAAAGAAATGAGGACTTTTTGCAGTTAAGCTCCACCCCCTTGGCTCACGACGAATAAAAAAACATCAGAATTGAGATAGGACGGCCGGGCGGGGCTTATATTGTTTCTTTTTTTTCTTAATACACATAGCCATCTTTTCAAAACAAGAAACTTAAAACATGGTTAAAATGTTGTATTATACAAATTTTCCATTTTAAATATGCTTTAAGTTTGATGTTGTAAAAAGAAGTCTACACATATTAACCTTCAAACTACCGGGTGGGAAAAATTACACATCGTTTCGGGTGGGGTCCGTTTGGACCCCATGGCTTTATTTAACCAAAATCAAAGAATTAATCAAAAATTTTTGGCGAATCCAAATTATTTATTAATTTTAAACACAACCAAGTTAAAAAAATTACATAACAATATTAAATAAGCATTTTTCGTTACAGTTTTTTGTTCCAGCATTCCTGACATTCAACAGTACGAGTAGAATGATCTCGGCAAACAAATCTTTTGCAGGAAATGAAAAAAATTCTTGATTTCTCTCCCTGCTACTTATATAGACGAAACAGCGTCCGCGGGATTGTACTGATATCGATTTTGATAACGTGCCATTGATAAAACAAAATTTAATTTTTTACAGTGATTACATTGTCACACTGACACCGATACTGATACCTGCAAGTCTGTTTTAAAACTGGAACGCCGCCTATAAACTAGTAAAGAATAAAACAATGGTTTTTGTAAGACTAAATTCTCAGAATAAGACCTGCAGGTGCAATAAAATCTCCAAAATATAGACAAAAAAATGGCAACATAAAGAACCAGGTGGGGTCCATGCGGACCCCAAGAGACTATTTTTTTTTTTTGTAACAAACTGTTACACCTATAAAATTGATATTTTTTGAATGCATAGCAAAAGGCCTTAATCGAAGCTACTAAAAATACCACTATCGTTAAACCAGAAATAACGGGAAAAAATAGGAAAATGTATCAATGGGGTCCATTTGGACCCCACCCGGTAGTTTGAAGGTTAAAACAAAAAGACAAAATGTAAGCCCGCCCACCCGCCCTATCTCAAATGTGATGATTTTTTTTATTCACCGTGAAGCAAGGGGACGAAATTTAACTGCAAAATACTTATTTCTTTACGAGAAATTAAAAACATGTTTTTGAGTATCGTCTTGTTCAAGGAATACTAGGTATATAAGAAAAAAAAGGCAAAATATAAACCCCGCCCACCCGCCCTGTGTCAAATCTGATGATTTTTTTTTATTCACCATGAACCAAGGGGGAGGAGCTTAACTGCAAAATACTTATTTCTTCACAAGAAATTAAAAACATGTTTTTGAGTATCGTGTTGTTCAAAGAATATTATGCAATATAAGAGAAAAAAGGCAAAATATACGCCCAGCCCACCCACCCCACCCCAATTGTGATGTTTTTTTTATTCTTAGAAACTTAAAACACGTTTAAAAAGGTAAAGTTTAGTAAGAAAATATGGATTTTGCAATTAGGCTCCGCCCCTAAGTCTGCCGACGATTCATTACTATTTAGATCAGGGCAGGTATGGGTGGGGCTTAATCTGTGGCCTTAATTTTTTCTTATTATACGTAGTTTTCTGTGAACAACATCCATATTTCTCGTAGAGAAACAAGGATTTTAAAGTTCAGCTCCGCCCCCTTGGCTCACGACGAATAAAAAAAATCATCACAATTGAGATAGGGTGGGTGCCTTTTTTTCTTAATATGTGTAGACATATTTCGACAACAAATTAAAAAAAAAATTCTACAACCCTTTTAAATACGGCAAAACTTGAACATCAAAGTTACTATCATATTCAACGGCAATTCGGCAACGGAGTTTGTAAATGACAACAAGTTTATAAATCCCACTTAAAAGTAATGGAAACCTTGAGAAGCGGAACATTCGCGACATAGTTATTAAATTTTTCATAGAAAAAATAAAAAACTAACCTTTTTTCTTCATCTGGGCTATGATATCGTCCCTCAGCTTCGGCGTCGCCACATTCGTGGCCAAAAACGTGCCTCGCCCTCTGGTCGCACTCAACAATTGGGGAAATTCCTTCTCCAAACCCAGTAACCCTTTCTTCAGCTTATCTCCTACTTTATTAACATTATCCAATAGCTTATCTTGCTTGATAACCTTCAGAACCGCCTCCAAGAGGGCAATCTTCCCCGGATCTCCCATCCACGTGTTAAAAATCCTGTAGGGCTGACTCGGCCTCATGTCAACCGTATGGAAGAACCCTCCCGTCAACATCTTCTTACTAAAAGTGACAATGTCTGGCGTAGTCTCCAAGTTAAAGTGCTCATGAGCCCAGAACTTCCCAGTCGCTCCACAACCCGTCTGCACCTCATCTATCAAATACCCCGCTCCGTTCTTCTGCGCGATTTTCTGTAGTTGTTGGAAGAAGAATGGAGACGCTTCGTTATCGCCACCTTCAGACTGTATCGGCTCTATGACAATCCCGGCCACCGGTTTTCCTTTTTTCTTGTACGTTTCAATCAAATCCTCTACAATCGCCAGACATCTTTTATCCTCTGCGTCGTTCTCGCGGACGTTCTCCTCCAACGGATACTTATATTTGGGGAATGAAGCCACCGGCCAGTCAAACGAAGGCACGTCTAGCTTATGAATGGGTTTGGAATGTGTGGTGGCCAAAGCAGCGAACGTTCTCCCGTGAAACGCCCCATGGAACGACATCAGCGACAAATCGGGCGCTCCTGGTGGCTGGTTCACCATACAACTTTGCGTCTCGAGCTCTGTGAAGTCCACGTTTTCGCCTCGTTGTTTGCGCCGGTACGTCAAAAACAGGGCTTTGTAGGCGTTTTCGTTGGAGCAGGAGCCGCACATCATGGTGGTTACGTTGGGGAGGTTGGGGGACACGGAGAGGAGGACGTTGCGGAGTTTGCCGGGCCAGTAGTCGCCGGGGAAGACGCCCAGCGCGGGTCTGTTGACTAAAGCTTTCTGAAAAGAGAGGGTTATTTGAGGGGGTGGTGATTAGTGGTGGACGAACCAGATTGTCTTGGTCGGTGAACACTTTGAGGAGTTCTGGGTGGTTGTAACCTATGGGTATGGACGAAATTTGGGTGAAGGTGTCCAGGATGACATTGGAGTCGACGTCGACGAGGTAGTTGCCGAGAGATTTGTTGTAGTCGGCGAAGAGTTGGACGGCTCCTGAAAGCTGGATTTTTTTTGGTAATTGAAGATGTGGTGATTTTTTTAGGTACCTGGATGGAGTTAAGTTCATTTTGTAGTTGTTTGGTTTTGGGACCTGGAATGTCTGTTTTTACCACGGGTTCGTTGGGTTCGCCTTTTATGTAGGTTCTGATGCTTCCTGAAAAATATTGTTTGGTACTGCAGTAAGAGACGCAAAAAATTATAGACTGAGAACCAAAGAAAATAGCATGGAATTAGAGTCAGAATATATGGATTTAATACAAAAATACACCCTGGTGTTTTATTAGTTTAACAAAAATTTTCATTTTATTTATTTACAGTTTAAGCAAGCAAAACTAAAGGAGTTACCGAGATCCCGAGATTCTTTTAAACTACTTCAAAATCAAAATTAAAGGGATCCCAAGATTCTTTCAAACTACTTCAAAATCAAAATAAATGGGGCCCCTGAGATTCTTTTAAACTACTTTAAATCCAGGTATTAGAGGTTTCCGAAATTCTTTCAAATTACTTCAAAAACAGGGCAAAAGGGATGCCCGAGATTCTTTCAAATCACTTCAAAAGCAAGACACAATGAGTCTCCGAGATTCTTTCAAACTGCTTCAAAAACGAAACAAAAGGGATCCCGGAGATTCTTTTAAACTACTTCAAAGTCTAGGGACAAGAGATTCTCGAGATTCTTTCAAACTACTTCACACACAAAACAAAAAAGGTCCCGGAGATTCTTTCAAACCACTTCAAGAACAAAACAAAAGGGATCCCGGAGATTCTTTTAAACTACTTCAAAGTCTAGGCACAAGAGGTTTCCGAAATTCTTTCAAATTACTTCAAAACCGGAGCACAAGGGATCCCCGAGAAATCCACACAAAACAAAAGTGATCCCGGAGATTCTTTAAAATCATTTCAAAAAGAAAACAAAAGGGATCCCGGAGATTCTTTTAAACTACTTCAAAGTCTAGGCACAAGAGGTTTCCGAAATTCTTTCAAATTACTTCAAAACCGGAGCACAAGGGATCCCCGAGATTCTTTCAAATCACTTCAGAAGCAAGACACAATGAGTCTCCGATATTCTTTCAAACTGCTTCACACACAAAACGAAAGGGATCCCGGAGATTCTTTCAAAACAATTCAAAAATAATACAAAAGTGATCCCGGAGATTCTTTCAAACCATTTCAAAAACAAAACAAACGGAATTCCGGAGATTCTTTTAAACTACTTCAAAGTCTAGGCACAAATGGTTCCCGAGATTCTTTTAATACTACTTCAAAAACAAAACAAAAAAGATCCCGGAGATTCTTTTAAACTACTTCAAAGTCTAATCTCAAGGAGTTCCCGAGATTCTTTTAAGACTACTTCAAAAAGAAAACAAAAAGAGTCCCGGAGATTCTTTCAAACCACTTCAAAAACAAAACAAAAAGGATCCCGGAAATTGTTTTAAACTACTTCATAGTCTAGGGACAAGAGATTCCCGAGATTCTTTCAAACTACTTCACACACAAAACGAAAGGGATCCCGGAGATTCTTTCAAACCACTTCAAAAACAAAATAAAAAGGATCCCGGAAATTGTTTTAAACTACTTCAAAAACAAAAAAAAAGTGATCGTGGAGATTCTTTTAAACCACTTCAAAAATAAAACAAAATGGGGTCCCGGAGATTCTTTTAAACCACTTCAAAAACAAAACAAAAGGGATCCCAGAGATTCTTTCAAACTACTTCAAAAACGAAACAAAATGGATCCCAGAGATTTTTTCAAACTGCTTTAAAATCTAGGCACGAGGGGTTCCCCAAATTCTTTAAAACTACCTCAAAAACAAAACAAAAGGGATCCCAGAGATTCTTTCAAACTACTTCAAAAACGAAACAAAATGGATCCCGGAGATTCTTTTAAACTGCTTTAAAATCTAGGCACGAGGGGTTCCCCAAATTCTTTAAAACTACCTCAAAAACAAAACAAAAGTGATCGCGGAGATTCTTTTAAACCACTTCAAAAACAAAACAAAAGGGACCCCAGAGATTCTTTCAAACCACTTCAAAATCAAAACAAAAGGGATCCCGGAGATTCTTTGAAACTACTTCAAAAACAAACCAAAAGGAATTCCGGAAATTCTTACTAAACCAGTTAAAAATCCAGGCATAAGAGGTCCTCGAAATTTTTTCAGTCCACTTCAAAAAACAGGTATAAGAGCTCCCGAAATTCTTTCAAATTTCAGGGGTGGGATCCCCGAGATTCTTTCAACTCACATCAAAAGCAAGACACAATGAGTCTCCGAGATTCTTTCAAACCACTTCAAAAACAAAACAAAAGGGATCCCGGAGATTCTTTTTAAATTACTTCAAAGTTTATGTGCGAAGGGTTCTCGAGATTCTTTCAAATGACTTCAAAAACGAAACAGAAGGGATCCTGCAGATTCTTTCAATCCACTTCAAAAACAAAACAAAATGGATCCCGGAGATTCTTTTAAACTACTTCAAAGTCTAGGGACAAGAGATTCACAAGATTCTTTCAAACTACTTCACACACAAAAAGAAAGGGATCCCGAAGATTTTTTCAAAATAATTCAAAAATAAAACAAAAAAGGTCCCGGAGATTCTTTCAAACCACGTCAAGAATAAAACAAAAGGGATCCCGGAGATTCTTTTAGCTACTTCAACTTCTAGGCCTAAGGGGTGCCGGACATTCTTTTAAAGTACTTCCAAAACAAAACAAAATGGATCCCGGAGATTCTTTTAAACTACTTCAAAGTCTATGCACAAGAGGTTCCCCAGATTCTTTTAAAACTACTTCAAAAACAAAACAAAAAAGATCCCGGAGATCATTTAAACTACTTCAAAGCCTAATCTCAAGGAGTTCCCGAGATTCTTTTAAGACTACTTCAAAAAGAAAACAAAAGGAGTCCCGGGAATTCTTTCAAACCACTTCAAAAACAAAACAAAAAGGATCCCGGAAATTGTTTTAAACTACTTCAAAAACAAAAAAAAAGTGATCGTGGAGATTCTTTTAAACCACTTCAAAAATAAAACAAAAACGACCCTGGAGATTCTTTTAAACTACTTCAAAATCTAGGCACAAAGGGTTGCCCAGATTCTTTCAAACTACTTCAAAAACAAAACAAAAGTGATCCTGGAGATTCTTTTAAACCACTTCAAAAACAAAACAAAATGAGGTCCGGGAGATTCTTCTAAACCACTTCAAAAACAAATCAAAAGGGATCCCGGAGATTCTTTCAAACCACTTCAAAAACAAAACAAAAGAGATCCCGGAGATTCTTTTAAACTACTTCAAAGTCTAGGCACAAGGGGTTCCCGAGATTCTTTTAAAAGTACTTCAATAACAAAACAAAAAAGATTCCGGAGATTCTTTTAAACTACTTCAAAGTCTAATCTCAAGGAGTTCCCGAGATCCTTTTAAGACTACTTCAAAAAGAAAACAAAAGGAGTCCCGGAGATTCTTTCAAACCACTTCAAAAACAAAACAAAAAGGATCCCGGAAATTGTTTTAAACTACTTCAAAAACAAAAAAAAGTGATCGTGGAGATTCTTTTAAACCACTTGAAAAATAAAACAAAAACGAGCCTGGAGATTCTTTTAAAATACTTCAAAATCTAGGCATGAGGGGTTGCCCAGATTCTTTCAAACTACTTCAAAAACAAAACAAAAGTGATCCCGGAGCTTCTTTTAAACCACTTCAAAAACAAATCAAAAGGGATCCCGAAGAATCTTTCAAACCACTTCAAAAACAAAACAAAAGGGATCCCTGAGATTCTTTTAAACTACTTCAAAGTCTAAGCACAAGGGGTTCTCGAGATTCTTTTAAAAGTACTTCAACAACAAAACAAAAAAGATTCCGGAGATTCTTTTAAACCACTTCAAAATCAAAACAAAAGGGATCCTGGAGATTCTTTTAAACTGCTTCAAATCTAGGCGTAAGGGGTTCCCGCGATTCTATCAAACCACTTCAAAAACAAAACAAAAGGAATCCCGGATATTCTTTTAAATTACTTCTAATTGTAGGCACAAGCGGTTCCCGAGATTCTTTGAAACTACTTCAAAAACAAAACAAAAGGATCCCGGAGATTCTTTCAAAGCACTTCAAAAACAAAACAAAGGGGATTCCGGACATTCTTATTAAACCAGTTAAAAATCCAGGCATAAGAGGTCCTCGAGATTTTTTCAATCCACTTCAAAACCCAGGTATAAGGGCTCCCAAAATTTTTTCAAATTTCAAGTGCAAGGGTGGATGGGACTATTGGGAATTAATCATTTAATTAAATTAAATTTGGATTAAATAATTTTAAAAGAAGTAGGCACCGGTCTAAATTTTTCCAGCGCAGGTTTTACAGGTCTAATCTCCCTCTGACAACAAGGTCTATTTATTTAACTACTTTAAATAAACATTTTTACTTTAACGTAGATATCATTTGTAAACAAACATTTTTTTATTTATATATAGAATAAGATAAATTAAACACTAGGTCAAGTTTAAAACGAACATTACGTAAGAGCTTCTCACACAATTTAAACATTGAAGAAAAACAGAAAGTGCATTCTGTTGGTACTACTTATTTCTTATTTTTTTTTTTTTTTTGTAGAACTATTTTCTTTTTTAAAGAAACACCCTATACACGAGTAGAGATTGCTTGCAATTAACCTTTTTTAGACTTTCTAATCACAGTTTATTTTTGAAATTTCCATGCGACGTTGCCACGTTATACCAGTTTTATTTAATTTTTTAGCAATGAAAAGCTTCACAAAAAAAACGCAAAACGGTACCCATTTTGTTATGGTTAAATAAAATTGATATAGGGAGTGTTTATAAAAACATGTTATAATAAAAAGGAGTAAACTATAATCTATATTCGTAAAATTTCAGAAAATAAAAAACGTCGTTTTCGATTTCATCGATACAATTAATTGCCGCATTTATTATTTTAGACATCCTATATAAGCTTTTGGATTAAAAGATTATATAGATAAATGATTCCTTTCTATTTTTAATAGCACAGATATTAAAAAGTTTTATTAAAATTCATCATCTTGATGTTATCAAAACTAGCAAGTTTTTACCTTAAAATAATATATATAATATTCACAAGAACTTTAACAATTTTTGAAATTTTCAGGCAGAGCCAACTCGAACTCCTTCATCTTTCGGTAGCACAACTTTAACACCAACGTGACAAATCAAACATTAAAATTATGAACAAACACACTCAATTAAACTCTTACCAGTTCTTATGGCATTTTGTACCACAGGACCCACTGTTTTTGACCACATATTCAAATCTTTCCACCAGTCTTCTCGCGGCGTAAATACGTGTTCACTGGTCGGTTACCTTGAGTTCAATAAAATAAATTAAATAGTTAAACCGCTCGCTTACAACGGAAACATTTAATATGATGCTGGTTGATAACAAGATTACAATTGTAGTTAATAAAGGTCAAGTTTACGTTGACTTTGGATAAGGAATGTTATCTAAATTTCACGCTGCAAGAAATTAACAGATTTATTTTGGGTCGTTATGAGTGCACTAAAAATAAAAATACCCACATTAATGCTGTACATACAAAGATATCGCAGCTGTCTCTTTTTATCACACGGGTAATTTAATACGGCCGGATTAACATGACAAGCCGTGTTAGATAACAAAATAATAAAATATTTGCACACAAAGAGGAATTTAAAATATAACTTGTCATGCTTTTGTCGTAATATGTTAGCTCTAGCATTAAAAAAAGCTTTATTAATCTTGTGACTTTGATTCATTTTTTTTTAATGAATAGCAGTAGTATCTATGGAAAATGCTTATCAGTGCAGTTCGGTGAAAAAAAAAAACAACTGATAATGTGTAACAAGTATTTATTTTAAACTTCAATAAGTTCAACAATTCAACTCGTTCAATACCTCCCGTAGCTTATCTAACACTATTTCAGCGTGATGTTTTTGGAAGATTAACGCTGGTCTAAACCGGATTCCCAAATCGCCACAACCACCACACAAAACACCTGAAAAAAGCACTCCAAGAACACGAATTTTAGCAAATTTGCTAACCTTTTTGTAGCAGTTTTTGTAAAACGGTGTCCCTCAATTCCGGTTTAACAATATTAAACGCCAAAAAAGTCCCAGGTCCTCTCACTGAATTCATAATCTCACTAAACTCTTCTTCCAATTCAAAAAGCCCGCACTTCAGTCGGGCACCAGCTTCTTGTACATTATCCAACAAATCTTGCTCTCTCATCACCCTAATAATAGTTTCTAACATTATAACTTTTCCAGGGTCCCCCATCCAGGTGTTAAACACTCGAAATGGTTTATCCGGTCTGTAATGAATAATAATTCATTAGTCACAAAGAAACAAATTTATAAACAACTATACGTTAATTCGTCGCTGTGAAAGTATCCCCCTAGACAGAACTTCTTACTAAAAGTAACAACGTCTGGTGGTGTCGCCAAGTCAAAGTACTCATGACACCAAAACTTCCCAGTACCACCTCCTCCCGTCTGCACTTCATCAAACACCAAATACGCGTTATTCTTCTTCACAATTTTTTGCAACTCTTGAAAATACTTCGGTGATGCTTCGTTATTACCACCCTCGCTTTGTATAGGCTCCACTATCACCCCAGCCACCGGAGTGTCCTTCTTGTTGTACGTAGCAATCAAATCCTCCACTTGAGCCAGCGACTTTTTGTCTTCGACTGCGTTTTCGCGTTCGTGTTCACCTAGAGGATATTTATAAAGAGGAAAGTGAGCTACGGGCCAGTCCAAAGACGGAAAGTCTATTTTGTGGATGAATTTGGTGTGCGTCGTCGCCAAAGCACCCGTGGTACGACCGTGGAACGCCCCAGCGAATGATAGTATACACAGGTTTGGCGCTCCCGGTGGCTGGTTTATCACAGCGGTGTGTTTTTCCTCGTCTGTGAAGTCTTTTTTTCCTCGCTTCTTGCGCTGGTAGGCTATGAAGACGTTCTTGAAGGTTTGTTCGTTAGCGCAGGCGCCGCACATCATGAGGTTGATTTTGGGTAAGCAAGGGGCGATCTAGAACGGTACTACTTTTTTGTGATTTTTAATTAAACGCGTTTTACCTGGCTGACTACGCTGTGGACTCGTTTTGGTTGGTCTTCTCCAGGGAACACTCCAAGTGCGGGTCTGTTAATCATCGTTTTCTAGCGAAAAAGTACTTGATAAATCTTAAATCTTGTGATGACTAAGGCTCGAATTGGTGAAAATTTTAATTTTAATACAGTTCATATTAGGATTTTAATCGTTAACTAAGAGCCGATTTCATAATCAAGTTAAAGGAGCTTTAAAATTTTTTTAACTTGTTATGAAATTGGCCCTAAGTCTAACACAATTTAACGGTCCTGAGGTTTGATGAAACTCACTTAGTCAGGACTTATTCTTTGTTTGTCTAATTATGAATAACGTTTCTGGATGCTTATACTTAAGTGTTACATTATAACACTTCTTAATTCCTCACCCAAGATTGCTTATAGTTCATTTACGCCAGTTAAATTAACCTAACGTTCCCAAACTCTGGAAAAAAGACCGTAGAAAGTACGGTGAATTCCTAATATCGTGAACTGAGGTATGGGGGGATTATACATTTTTTCCCTTTAGGCAGTTATCATTGTTATTATCGTTATCATCATCACATCACCGAGATATTTTTCTCGCAACGTAGAAAATTACATCACCGAGGAGCTTTCCTCGTAACACTTAATACATTTTTTGTTGTTTATTTATCATGTGTTTTGTGTGGGATAAGCTGAGGACAATCTACGATATAAACTCTCAAAGCTAATGGTTTTAAGTAGCCAATCACTTGGTTCAAGGCATCATTTAACATAAAGTAAACTCTTTGTTTGAATCGTTGATAACGTGTGGCATAATTTAACATAATGTAAACTCTGCGTTTGAATCGTTGATAAAGTGTGGTATAATTTGACTTCAGGTAAATTCTTTGTTCTGGAAAATTAACGACATTGGGGGTCATGTGGGCCGTGCATTTTATTCCTTTGATTTAGACCATTATTTGCAATGCCTCCATCATAAAATCTGATGTTCAGACTTAATCTCAAATAAGAATTCTTTGCTATTTTAAGATTTCACGAGAGTATATGGCGAATTTAAATGGTGTTTATTGTTCTTTTTGAAACTTTAACACTTGTTCGGTTGTAATTTAATGTCAGGGTTATAGATATTGAACATTTAAATAGAATTGAGGTTAAATAACACAGAAACACGTAGCAGAAGCGGAGTGTGCGGTTCCTTGTCGAGTTAGCGGCCGCGCCATCAGCACAAAAGATGCAGGTACTGAATAGAAGTCAATGACGCTGTCAGCTTATTTATAGCCGTGATTTCCAACGACGAGTTTGCGACCGTTGAATTTTTCGCGGGTCTTTTAAACTTTTTCAAGTGTCATTTTAAGGAGGGCAGTTTGAGTTACCACACAGTGTTTTATTTTCTATGAATTTGAAAGTCTTGAGTGCCGCAGTGTTTGGGTACCCATGGTGTACTATTTGGGGAGCCCATGGAGATTTTTTTTGGAAATTGTTCAAAAAAATTTTGGGGACCTTTGGTGTTCTATTTTTGGAGAATTCTGACCTGACCTGGTTTTGAGTCAATTTTTGGACTTTTTTTTTGAAAAATTTAAAACAGTCTTGAGGTTGTAGGTATTCCTGTTTGGAAAGAATTTGAAAGTGCTTTGGAGCCTGTAGTGTCTTTTTTTATAATAATTTAATTAAATTTCTTAGGATCCGTCATTTAAGTTATATCTGATTTGCTAAAATCACTCTTATCTTAGGAGATACTAGCCCCTGTCTTTTCTTAGAGGGTATGTCATTTGCCAAAGTCAGCGTTATCTTGGCAGGTACTAGCCCCACCCACCCGCACTCCCTCTCTTTTCTTAGAGGATATCTCATTTGCCAAAATCAGTCTTATCTTAGCAGCTACTAGCCCCGCCCGCCCACCCTCTCTTTTCTTAGAGGGTATATCATTTGCCAAAGTCAGTGTTATCTTAGCAAGTTTTAGCCCCGCCCACCCGCCCTCTCTTTTCTTAGCAGATATCTCATTTGCCAAAATCAGCCTTATCTTAGCAGCTACTAGCTTCGCCCACCCACCCTATCTTTTCTTAGAGGGTATATTATTTGCCAAAGTCAGTGTTATCTTAGCAAAGTTTTAGCCCCGCCCACCCGCCCTCTCTTTTCTTAGCGGATATCTCATTTGCCAAAATCAGTCTTATCTTAGCAGCTACTAGCCCCACCCGCCCACCCTCTCTTTTCTTAGAGGGTATATTATTTGCCAAAGTCAGTGTTATCTTAGCAAGTTTTAGCCCCGCCCACCCGCCCTCTCTTTTCTTAGAGGATATCTCATTTGCCAAAATCAGTTTTATCTTAGCAGCTACTAGCCCCGCCCACCACCCACCCTCTCTTTTCTTAGAGGGTATGTCATTTGCCAAAGTCAGCGTTATCTTAGCAGGTACTAGCCCCAATCACCCGCCCTCCCTCTCTTTTCTTAGAGGATATCTCATTTGCCAAAATCAATTTTATCATAGCAGGTATTAGCCCCGCCCACCCACCCTCTCTTTTCTTAGAGGGTATATTATTTGCCAAAGTCAGTGTTATCTTAGCAAGTTTTAACCCCGCCCACCCGCCCTCTCTTTTCTTAGCGGATATCTCATTTGCCAAAATCAGTCTTATCTTAGCAGCTACTAGCCCCGCCCACCCACCCTCTCTTTTCTTAGAAGGTATGTCCTTTGCCAAAATCAGTTTTATCTTAGCTAGTACTTGCTCAGATAAGACTAACTGTGGCAAGTTACATATCCGCCAAGGGGGGCGGGGCTAGTACTTGTTAACGTAAGACTGATTTTGATAAATGACATACTCTTTAAAAAAAATAAAGGGTGGGTTTGGCTAACATTCGCTAAGATAAGACTGATTGTGCCAAATTATATACCTACTAAGAAAATAGAGGTCGGGTGGGCGGGGCTAAAACTTGCTAATATAGAACTGAACAATATTAAGAGTAGTCACTGGAATGACGAAGGGGTGGGTGGGCGGGGCTAAAACTTGCAAACATAGGACTGAACAATATTAAGAATAGTCACTGGAAAGACGAAGGGGTGGGTGGGCGGGGCTAAAACTTGCTAACATGGAATTGAACAATATTAAGAGTAGTCACTGGAATGACGAAGGGGTGGGTGGGCGGGGCTAAAAGTTGCTAACATAGAACTCTACACTATTAAGAGTAGTCACTGGAATGACGAAGGGGTGGGTGGGCGGGGCTATTGTTTGCTCATAAAACTAGAAAAAAGCTAAACTTAGCTTACTTTTATAAAAAACGATCAAAATTTGGAAACATTACGAGCTTACTTATATGCACAAGGCAGGAATTTTGAACATCTTTTCTAGTGTTTAGTTGGATTTTACTTTTATAAAATTACGTTTTTTCCAGACATTCGGTATAATAATAATAATAAACTTTAATACAACATACATAGTAACATGTTTTTTTTCTGCATATAGTCTGAGCTTTACTATGACTTACCAAATTTTTCTCATCTTGAAACACTTTCAGTAGCTCGGGATGATTATATCCGAGGGCAAGGGTTGATATTTGGGCGTACATATCCAAAAGGACGTTATCATCGGCATCTACTAGATAATTTCCAATTGATTTTTGGTAATTGCCGAAGACTTTTACTGCTCCGGCATACTAAAATTTGACTTCGATAATTTTGAGTCCAGAGAAATAATTTTTGAAAATTGTTGGAACCTGCATTTTGCCCAAGTCTTTTTTTAATTTTTTGGAACAGGGACCTGGAACGTCTGTTAGTACGCAGGGGCCTTCAGGTTCGTCCGGTACGAGAGACGACCAAAATCGTACTTCAAAAAATATTATCTAACAATTGTTAAATGATTAAAGTACTTACTGGACACTCTATTTTTGACTATTTTTGACCACATCGTTGTGATTATGAGTGTAATATGGCTCAAAATTGGTGACTAATGACAATGATGACAGTAAAAGTCAAAATTCATATCTAGACAATTTATTATGGTACTTTCAAACATAAAATACAAAACTATAACCGAGGTTTGTTACTTGCATTGTTTTAGAACTTGTCTAAGTATGTCCAAAAAAATATCGGCGTGATGCTCTTGAAAGATTAAGGCTGGTCTAAGCCGAAGTCCCGATTCGCCACAACGACCTAACACAACACCTGGAACAATCATTTTGGAACTAAGAATGGTTGCAAATTTACTAACCTTTGCGAAGCAATTTGTGCAACACAGTGTCCCTCAATTCCTCATTGGCAATATTAAACGCCAAAAAAGTGCCAACTCCTCGAACCGAATCCATGATCTCGCAAAATTCCTCTTCTAACTCAACAAGCCCGCACTTCAGTCGGGCACCAACTTTCAGCACATTGTCTAGAAGATCTTGCTCTCGCATGACTTTAATAATAGCTTCGAGGATTATGACTTTTCCGGGGTCACCCATCCAGGTGTTAAACACCCGAAATGGCTTATCAGGTCTGTAATACCGAATTTAGTGACGTACAATTACAACAAAACTATTAAAATTACGTTAATTCGTCGCTGTGGAAGTACCCCGCTACAGCGAATTTCTTACTAAAGGTAACAGCGTCCGGTGGTACCGGTAAATCGAAGTATTCGTGACACCAAAACTTCCCAGTACTACCTCCTCCAGTTTGAATTTCGTTAAACACCAAATATGCGTTATTCCTCTTTATGATTTTTTGCAACTCTTGAAAATATAGCGCCGAGGCTTCATTATTACCACCTTCACCCTGTATAGGTTCTACTATAACCCCAGCCACCGGAGTTTCCTTTTTCTTGTAAGTAGCAAACAACTCTTCGACGTGTGCCAGAGATTTTTTATCTTCTTCTATATTTTCGCGTTCGTTTTCGTCTAGAGGATATCTATACCGAGGGAAGTACGCTATTGGCCAGTCGAGAGACGGGTAGTCTATTTTGTAGATGTACTTAGTGTGCGTTGATGCTAAAGCACCCAAGGCACGACCATGTAGCCCTCCACAGAATGATAGTATACACAGGTTTGGAGCTCCCGGTGGCTGGTTGATAACAGCCGTGGTTTTTTCCTCGTCTGTGAAACCTTCTTGTCCTCGCTTCTTCCGCTGGTAGGCTATGAAGACGTTTTTGAAAACTTGTTCATTTGCGCAGGCGCCGCACATCATTAGGTTGATTTTTGGCAAACAAGGGGCGATCTAGACTACCACTATTGTTGCAACGAACGAGAAATAAGTACTTACCTGACTGACTAAACTATGAATTCGTTTTGGTTGATCTTCTCCAGGGAAGACTCCAAGTGCAGGTCTATTAATCATGGTTTTCAGTTTTTTGTCGTCTTGGAACAGTTTTAATAGCTGGGGGTGATTATACCCGAGAGGAAGAGTTGCTATTTGAGAGAACATATCCAAAAGTACGTTATCATCTGCATCGACTAGATAATTTCCGATTGACTTTTGGTAATTACCGAATAGTGTTACTTCCCCGGTGTACTAAAAATAATAACAATAGTAATCATATTTCGAAAAAATAAGGACTCAACCTGATCTTTCCCTAAGTCTTTCTTTAATTTTCTGGAACAGGGGCCTGGAACGTCTGTTAGGACGCAAGGACCTTCAGGTTCCTCCGGCACAAGAGACGAGCAAAAACGCACTTTAAAAAATACTCTTCTTGTTACAATTTTTGACCACATTGGGAGTCAAAGTTTGTAGAGTCAAAAGTATAAAATGACAAGGGTGAGTGACAACAAAAGTCAAATTCATATCTAAATATTTAATTTATTATTTTAAACATAAAACACTCACTGGAATAATTAATTAATACAAAACTAAAATCTTTTGAACAAAATACAGCTGCATCGGTGGAAACACCATCTGGAAGACTTTTGGAAGATTTTCGGTATCACCAGAACGATTACGACTGTTTTAGAACTTGTCTAAATATGTCCAAAAATATGTCGGCGTGATGCTCTTGGAAGATTAAAGCTGGTCGTAGACGAATAGTTTGTGCCCCACAACCCCCGGACTGAACCCCTTTAGCCTTCAGTCGTTTCAAAATGTCATCCCTTAGTTTCTCATTGGTGGCATTAATGGCTAGAAAGGTCCCCCGTCCTCTGGTCGAGTTAATTAAATGAGGAAATTCATTTTCTAACTGTAAAAGTCCGCTCTTCAGTCTGTGTCCCGTTGTTACGACATTGTCCAAAAGCTTCTGTTCCTTAATAATTCTGATTATGCTTTCCAGAACTATTAACTTTCCAGGGTCGCCCATCCAGGTGTTGAAAACGCGAAAAGGTTGTCTAGGTCTGCAAAATTAATAGTACAAAACGATTTAAATATGTAATTAAATAAAAATCACCACTTACGTCATTTCTGAACTATGGAAATAACCCCCAAGTTGCATCTTTTTGCTAAAAGTGACAACATCCGGTGGCGTTTCCAGATTAAAATACTCGTGACACCAAAACTTCCCCGTCGGGCCTCCCCCAGTCTGCACTTCATCAATCAAAAAATACGCGTTATATTTCTTGGCAATTTTCTGCAACCCCTGGAAGAAATAATTCGACGCTTCGTTGTCCCCTCCTTCGGACTGGATAGGTTCTACGATAATTCCAGCCACTGGCGCACCCTTCTTTTCGTATTGTACCACCAAATCCTCCACTTCCTCCAAGCACTTGTTGTCTTCGTCGCTATTTTCGCGTTCGTGCTCGTCTAGGGGGTATTTGTATTGGGGGAAGTGGGCCACCGGCCAATCGAAAGCTGGCACGTCGATTTTGTGGATGTACTTGGAGTGGGTTGTCGACAAGGAGCCTAGAGTGCGTCCGTGGAAGCCGTTGAGGAAGGAGAGGATGGAGAGTTTTGGGCACCCGGGGGGTTGGTTCATGAGACAGGAGGTTTTTTCTTCAAGAGTGAAGTCGACGTCGCCTCGTAGTCTGCGCTGGTAGGCTATGAAGATGTTTTTGAAGGCGTTTTCGTTGGAGCAGGAGCCGCACATCATGGTGGTGATGTTGGGCAAGTTGGGGGAGATCTGGAAGTTAAGAATTTTTTTTCAAGTGAATTTTGTCAGGTCAGGTCAGGTCTAGTCAGGTCAGGTCAGGTCTAGTCAGGTCAGGTCAGGTCTAGTCAGGTCTTCAATTATCTGTCAACCGGGCTTGGATGACAGGAAAATATCAAGAGGTGTTTTAGAGGGTAGAAGACCCAACCTTGTCCTCCGAAGGAAAAGAAGGTCAGGTCGGATCACGTCAGGCTAGATCATGTTAGAACAGGTCAAATTTGGTCAGGTCAGATCTGGTCTGGCCTGGGCAAGTCAGGTCATGTCAAGTCAGGCCAAAAAAGCAAATATCTAAGATATGTTACAGGTAAGACTGTTAAATAGAAATTTTCTAATAAGCTTTTCCAACATAATACTCAAAAATATGAATAAGAATATGTATGTAATTCCATTAATGCTTTGATTATTCAGTCCTGAACTTCATTTTTTTGGCAAATGACATACTCTCTGAAAAAATACAAGGTAACACCGATTTTGGCAAAGAACGTACTCTTTGAAAAAACACAGGGTGGGTGGGCGGGGCTAGTACTTGCCAAGATAAGACTGATTTTGGCAAATCACCTACTCTCTAAGAAAATAAAGGGCGGGTGGGCGGGGCTAGGATTTGCCAAGATAAGTCTGATTTTGGCAAGGATCTACTCTCTAAGAAAATAAAAGGTGAGTAGACGGAGCTAAGATAAGACTGATTTGGCAAAGGACCTACTCTCTAAGAAAATAAAGGGCGGGTGGGCGGGGCTAGGACTTGCCAAGATAAGACTGAATTTGGCAAAGGATCTACTCTCTAAAAAAGTAAAAGATGAGTAGACGGAGCTAAGATAAGACTGATTTGGCAAAGAACCTACTCTCTAAGAAAATAAAGGGCGGGTGGGCGGGGCTAGGACTTGCCAAGATAAGACTGATTTTGGCAAAGGAACTACTTTCTAAGAAAGTAAAAGATGAGTAGACGGAGCTAAGATAAGACTGATTTGGCAAAGGACCTACTCTCTAAGAAAATAAAGGGCGGGTGGGCGGGGCTAGGACTTGTCAAGGTAAGAGGAATTTTGCCAAATGACGAACCCTCTAAGAAAATAAAGGGTGGGTGGGCGGGGCTAGGACTTGTCAAGATAAGAGGAATTTTGCCAAATGACGAACCCTCTAAGAAAATAAAGGGTGGGTGGGCGGGGCTAGATCTTGCCAAGATAAGACTGATTTTGGCAAAGGATCTACTTTCTAAGAAAGTGAAAGATGAGTAGACGGAGCTAAGATAAGACTGATCTGGCAAAGGACCTACTCTCTAAGAAAATAAAGGGCGAGTGGGCGGGGCTAGAACTTGCCAAGATAAGACTGATTTTGGCAAAGGATCTACTTTCTAAGAAAGTGAAAGATGAGTAGACGGAGCTAAGATAAGACTGATCTGGCAAAGGACCTACTCTCTAAGAAAATAAAGGGCGAGTGGGCGGGGCTAGAACTTGCCAAGATAAGACTGATTTTGGCAAAGGATCTACTTTCTAAGAAAGTGAAAGATGAGTAGACGGAGCTATGATAAGACTGATTTGGCAAAGGACCTACTCTCTAAGAAAGTAAAGGGCGGGTGGGCGGGGCTAGGACTTGCCAAGACAAGACGAATTTTGCCAAATGACAAACCCTCTAAGAAAATAAAGGGCGGGTGGGCGGGGCTAGGACTTGTCAAGATAAGAGGAATTTTGCCAAATGACGAACCCTCTAAGAAAATAAAGGGTGGGTGGGCGGGGCTAGGACTTGTCAAGATAAGAGGAATTTTGCCAAATGACGAACCCTCTAAGAAAATAAAGGGTGGGTGGGCGGGGCTAGGACTTGCCAAAATAAGACTAAATTTGGCAAAGGATCTACTCTCTAAAAAAGTAAAAGATGAGTAGACGGAGCTAAGATAAGACTGATTTGGCAAAGGACCTACTCTCTAAGAAAATAAAGGGCGAGTGGGCGGGGCTAGATCTTGCCAAGATAAGACTGATTTTAGCAAAGGATCTACTTTCTAAGAAAGTGAAAGATGAGTAGACGGAGCTAAGATAAGACTGATCTGGCAAAGGACCTACTCTCTAAGAAAATAAAGGGCGAGTGGGCGGGGCTAGAACTTGCCAAGATAAGACTGATTTTGGCAAAGGATCTACTTTCTAAGAAAGTGAAAGATGAGTAGACGGAGCTATGATAAGACTGATTTGGCAAAGGACCTACTCTCTAAGAAAGTAAAGGGCGGGTGGGCGGGGCTAGGACTTGCCAAGACAAGACGAATTTTGCCAAATGACGAACCCTCTAAGAAAATAAAGGGCGGGTGGGCGGGGCTAGGACTTGTCAAGATAAGAGGAATTTTGCCAAATGACGAACCCTCTAAGAAAATAAAGGGTGGGGCTAGGACTTGTCAAGATAAGATTGAATTTGGCAAAGGATCTACTCTCTAAAAAAGTAAAAGATGAGTAGACGGAGCTAAGATAAGAGTGATTTGGCAAAGTACCTACTCTCTAAGAAAATAAAGGGCGAGTGGGCGCTGCTAGAACTTGCCAAGATAAGACTGATTTTGGCAAAGGATCTACTTTCTAAGAAAGTGAAAGATGAGTAGACGGAGCTAAGATAAGACTGATCTGGCAAAGGACCTACTCTCTAAGAAAATAAAGGACGAGTGGGCGGGGCTAGAACTTGCCAAGATAAGACTGATTTTGGCAAAGGATCTACTTTCTAAGAAAGTGAAAGATGAGTAGACGGAGCTAAGATAAGACTGATTTGGCAAAGGACCTACTCTCTAAGAAAGTAAAGGGCGGGTGGGCGGGGCTAGGACTTGCCAAGACAAGACGAATTTTGCCAAATGACGAACCCTCTAAGAAAATAAAGGATGGGTGGGCGGGGCTAGGACTTGTTAAGATAAGACTGAATTTGGCAAAGGATCTACTCTCTAAAAAAGTAAAAGATGAGTAGACGGAGCTAAGATAAGACTGATTTGGCAAAGAACCTACTCTCTAAGAAAATAAAGGGCGGGTGGGCGGGGCTAGAACTTCCCAAGATAAGACTGATTTTGGCAAAGGATCTACTTTCTAAGAAAGTGAAAGATGAGTAGACGGAGCTAAGATAAGACTGATTTGGCAAAGGACCTACTCTCTAAGAAAGTAAAGGGCGGGTGGGCGGGGCTAGGACTTGCCAAGACAAGACGAATTTTGGCAAATGACGAACCCTCTAAGAAAATAAAGGGTGGGTGGGCGGGGCTACGACTTGCCAAGACAAGACGAATTTTTCCAAATGACGAACCCTCTAAGAAAATAAAGGGCGGGTGGGCGGAGCTAATACTTGCTAAGATAACAGTGATTTTCCCAAATCGGAATATATTTAACTCTTACCTCATTGATAATGTTTTGAAGTCTTCTGGGCCAATCTTCTCCAGGAAACACCCCAAGTGCAGGCCTGTTGATTAGACGTTTCTATAAATAATAAAAGATTTTCGTCACAAGGGAAAAATTAATTTGATATTATTTACTTTTTGTTAACGTATTTTCGTTTAACAATTTTTTCGAGAAGCTTAAATCTTAAACTTGAATATTTGAAAATTCATTTTTTTCCAGGAATCTTTAAATAAAAAAAATAATAGATAAATATTTGGAGTTCAAAAATTAAAATATAGACTTAAATATGTAAATAAAAATATTGTGGAAATATAACTTCAAATTGGACCAGAGTACAAAAATTTACTATTTTAATTATGTTTCAAGTTTCTTGTTATGAAAAGAAGACTGCGCATATTAAGATATAAAAAATATATATAATCAGCGCCCACCCGCCCTATCTCAATTGTGATGAATTTTTCATTTGTTGTCATACCGAAGGGCGGAGCATAGTTGCAACATCCATATTTCGCTACAAAAAATTACTATTTCAAACATATTTTAACTTTCTTGTTATGAAAAGCTGAATGCACATATTAAGAAAATAATAATATACATTATAAGCCCCGGCCACCCGCCCTATCTCAATTGTGATGATTTTTTTATTCGTCGTGAGCATGGGGGTGGAGCTTAATGGCAATCTTCATTTTTTCCCAAGAAATTTCCATGTGAGACATGTTCTTAAGTAATCATGTTATTAAAAAAAAAACTACATGTATTGAGTAACAAAAGTAAAATATTAAGCCCCACCTATAGTCGCCCCGATGTCAATTGTAATAAATTTTTCATTTGTTGTCATAGGGAGGGGCGGAGCATAATTGCAACATTCATATACTGCTCCAAAAATTTACTATTTTAAACATATTTTAAGTTTCTTGTTATGAAAAGCAGAATGCACATAGTAAGAAAATAATAATATACATTATAAGCCCCGCCCACCCGCCCTATCTCAATTGTGATGATTTTTTTTATTCCTCATTGGCATGGGGGTGGAACTTAATGGCAATCTTCATTTTTCTCCAAGAAATTTCCATGAGAAACATGTTCTTAAATAATCGTGTTGTAAAAAAAATAACATGTACTAAGTAAAAAGAGCCAAAGATTAAGCCCCACCAATAGCCGCCCCTATCTAAATTGATTTGAATTTCTCATTCGTTGTCATAACGAAGGGCGGAGCATAACTGCAACATCCATATATCACTACAAAAATTTACTACTTTAACATATTTGAAGGTTATGAAAAGCAGATTGCGCATATTAAGAAAATAAATATACTTATATAATGATGATTTTTGTTATACCGCGGGGCGGCGCATAGTTGCAACATTCGTATTTCGCTACAAATATTTACTATTTTAAACATGATTTAAGTGTCTTGTTATGAAAATGAGACTGCGCATATTAAGAAAAATATATTTAAGCCCCGCCCACCAGCCCTACCTCAATTGCGATTTTTTTTTTATTCGTCATGACCATGAGCTTAGTGGCAATCCTCATTTTTTTCCAAAGAATTATCATGTGAAACATGTTCTTAAGTAATCGTGCTGTCTAAACAAAACTACGTGTATTAAGTAAAAAGAGCCAAAGATTATGCCCCTCCTATACGCGCCTCGATTTCAATTGTGATGCATTTTTCATTTGTTGTCATATCGAGGGGCGGAGCATAGTTGCAACATCCATATTTCGCTACAAAAATTTACACTATTTTATACATTTGTTAAGTTTCTTATTATGAAGAATGAATAATGGAGACTGCATATATTAAACAAATGTAAGTATATATATTTTTCCTTTTTGTTTAATATACGCAGGATTCTTTTCACAACAAGAAACTTAGAACCTCTTAGAAATCGATATTTCCTTATACAAATTTTCCATTTTAAACATGTCTTAAGTTTCTTGTTGTGAAAAGAGGTCTACACATATTAAAACAAAAAGGCTAAATGTAAAACCCGCCCACCCGCCCTATCTCAATTGTAATGATTTTTTTCATTCGCCGTTAAGCAAGAGGGCGGAGCTTAACTGCAAAATACTTATTTCTTTACAAGAAATTAAAAACATGTTTTTGCGTATCGTGAAAGAATACTATGTATATTAAGAAAAAAAGGCAAAATATTAAACCCCGCCCACCCGCCCTATCCCAATTGTGATGATTTTTTTTATTCGCCGTTAACCAAGGGGGTGGAGCTTAACTGCAAAATACTTATTTCTGTACAAGAAATTAAAAACATGTTTTTGAGTATCGTGAAAAAATACTATGTATATTAAGAAAAAGGGCAAAATATTAAACCCCGCCCACCCGCCCTATCCCAATTGTGATGATTTTTTTATTCGTAAACTCTTAAAACACGTTTAAAGATGAAGAAGATCAGGGCAGGTATGGGTGGGGTTTAATCTTTGGCTTTAATTTTTTCTTAATATACCTACATAGTATTCTTTGAATAACACCATAATGAAAAACATGTCTTATATGGTAATTTCTTGTAGAGAAATAATAAGGATTGTCCTATGAAATTCTGCTCCTTTGGATTTCGACGATTAAAAAGAATATCATCACACTTGAGACAGGGTGGGTGGGCGGGGCTTATATTTTCCCTTTTTTCTTAATATACGTAGTCGTCTTTTCAGAATAAGAAACTTAATACATGTTTAAAATAGTAAATTCTTGTAGATAAATATGGATCTTGCAATTAAGCCCCGCCCCTCGATCTAACAACGAATGAAAAATTTGTCACAATTGAGAATTGAGATCGGCGTGGTTATGGGTGGGGCCTAATCTTTGGCTTTATTTTTTCTTAAGGTACATAGTATTCTTTGAACAACCCAATACTCAAAAACATGTTCAAAATGCTAAATTTTAGTTGCCCTTTGGTCTAACAACCAATAAAAAATTCATCACAATTGAAATAGGGTGGGTGGGTGGGGCTCATATTTTATTTTATTTTTTTTAATATACGTAGCCTTCTTTTCACAACAAGAAACTTCAAACATGTTCAAAATGGTAAATTTTTGTTGGGAAACATGGATTTTGAAAATAAGCTCCACCCTCTTGACTCACGACGAATAAAATAATCATCACAATTGAGACAGGGCGGGTGGGTGGGGCTTATATTTTGCAAGTATATCTGAAAATAATTTTAAATTTCCAAAATATGTAATCGTCAAATAAAAACTCTACTATCCTATGAACTGTATTAAAAATACGTACCATGTTCTTTTGGTCATCGAACACTTTTAACAACTCTGGGTGATTATAGCCTAACGGTACGGATGAAATTTGCGTGAAAGTGTCCAGAAGAACATTATCATCAGCATCGACTAAATAATTTCCGAACGATTTATCATAATTAACAAACATCTGTACAGATTCTGATTGCTAAAAAAAATATGACAATAATGTTATTAAGAACGTGAAATTGTATACCTGTATGGACTTTAATTCGTCAAGTAATTTTTTTGACTTCGGTCCTGGAATTTCCGTCGTGACAGAAGGCCCATTGGGTTCCCCTTGTACCAAAGTAACAGCCCCACGAACATTATCTAGAAATTGAATTTCAAACATGTTGGAACAACAAAAACGACAACACTCACTCAATTTTGCACAGTTTTTTATCGTTCTGGACCACATTTTACACTTTAAGCTAACTACCCTGTAGCAATTTCGCCGGGTTTCTGAATTATTGAGCGACGAAGTGGAATCGTCGAGCGCAGGCGTAAAAGCTCCCACTCATTCCTCAATTAAACAACAAATAATCCAAAAGTGAACTTTATTAACTAAGCAATGTAAATATAATTTGATTTATTTTCTTTATCCCGTTCCATGTATTCCCGCTCTATCAACAACTCAATTCTTTTCTTTAAGTCAGTCTGGTTGACCGGGATATCCAAAACCTTGTACAACTCCCGCACCAGCATATAGTGTTTAATACTTTTTTTATTTTTCATTATCCGCACTATAGCAGCATCGATCTGAAATTGCCTATCGACTAGAACGTTCTTCTCAGTTTCCTTTTCCTCTTCGGGTGAGTCCTGCAACTGAATTTGATTAATCTTGACTCGGAACAACTTATCTGTGAACTTGTTGTTGAAACTAAAGACATCTTCGTCTTCAATGTCGCGACTTTTTGGACTTTTTAGGAGAATTTTTGCTTTTCCGTAGACCAGTGACAACAAAGTGCGTTTAAGCTCGAATTCCTCCAAGTTAGTAGATTCTTGGATTTCTTTAAAACCCATTTCTGTCGCTGCGTTGAATAGTAAAAGTACTATCGTCTGGAAGAGTGACACTTGGAGTTCCTTGCACCCGCACTCGAAGAACGCTTTAATCAAACAGTGACCCAAACTGGGTTGCCATAGAAGCTTCCTTCCACTGTGGTTACTCAAGTAGAATTTTTGAAAATTCTGCTGATACGTAACCAGTTCACATGGTAAATTCACGTTGTAGTTGGGGTAGTTCGGCCAGTAACTACTAGTCAACACGTTAACGGAAAAATCCGACCCAAATCCACTCTCCTGATTCTTCAACTTCTGTTTAAACGAAGTGTTAATACTCTTACTTAGATTGATATCCTGAAACATCCCCTCAATGTTCGAAGTGAAAGCACTCCCGCACTCGTCTTTCAGCTTCGAAATCATGCTATTTTCAGCATCTTGGTTGGCCGATTTTCCAAGAAGCAGTCGTTTCGCTAGCAACTTCTTGTAAAACGCTTCGAAAATATCCTTGCCTTGCACGTGCTTGAACAACTTGATGACTTTCGTCAAAATGACTTCTAGATCGTCGTCGCTGATGTCTTTTCCACGTAGCTTGACGTCGAGGTACTTAGCCAGTAGCTGCGCACTTTTGGCATGACAACCGTTGATAAAGTTCTTAAAAGCCACTCGAACGCATTCATGAAACTCTTTCTTGTTGTCGAACGACAACACGATAATCTTATCAAGATCGTCCTTAAAGTTGAGTAGATCTTGAATCATGTTTTTCTCGTTTTTGACGTCGGTGATTGTGGTGCCTTTTTTGATGATGTACTCTTTGAAGTAGGTGATTAGGTGTTTCGTACCGTTGGAGATTTTCTGGAAGAGTTTATACACCAAGACTAACTCTTGATACATGTTTTTGTCAATCAATTCGTCGAAGCCTTTGTTTAGGATTTCAGAAATGTGGTTTTCGATTAGTTGTTTGTAAACTATGTCTAGAAGTGGAATTTCTGACGATTTGTTCAAACAATTTCTAACTCGTTCTTGTTCTTGCGCTATTCTTTGATTCACGTGCGATAGGTACTGTGGAACGTCCATGATTTGAATGATTTTTGCACCTTCGTCTTCATAGAAGTCTTCTGTTGACTTTAAGAAATCCCCGACGAAGATTTCGTCGTAGATTTGGAGGGCGTTGAACATCTCTGTGACTGATTTCAACAGTAATCGTTGATCGAAAGATCGGAAGCACCTTTCAGCTTCAATAGCGTCAAGCATTTCTTTGATTATCTTCTTCTTGACGATAGAACTGAGCACGATGACGCTTGTAAACAACCCGAGACTGATGCTCTGGACGGTGTTGTATTTGAAGAACTTGGGGGAGCGGTCGTAGTACAAAAAAATATTCTTGACGGTTTTAATATGGCGACAGAACTCTTTCCAGAAGTCGTCTATGATTTCTAGAATATTGTCGTCTTCGGAAGCTATCACTTCCAGTTGTTGGTTGAGATACGTTTCTATCAGAGTTTGAAGATTGTAGAGTAGGGGAGAGTACCTCTGGGTGTACAAGTCTTCAGCTATCCTGTATAACTCCTCAAGCGAATTGTTGTAATCTGTGGAACTGAAGATGGCAGTAATTTCTGATTCTAGTTTCAACCATTTCTGCTCGTTGTTCTCCGACGGGATTTGGGGAAATCCGCGGAAATTGCGAATCGTGAGAAGATTTTTCTTCGATGACATTTTGAAAGGTTACCTACTAGATAATAGTAAGTGGTGACAACTAACAATTTATTAAAAAATATATATTTGCTTAGAAACAATAAGGTTAGTTGGTGGTTGGAAATTGCACGTTCTTGAGAGATTTCATCACTTCTAGCTTAAAATTCAACTTCTGTAAAGGGTCGAGTTTTCTGATTGACGGTAAAAGTGACAAGAGGAACATTTCGTCTTCGTCGATTTCTGTTCTCTTCGTTGTGAACGTGGAATGACACAGTTGTTCTAGTTCTGGTTCGGGTTCGGGTTCTGAAAGATCATGTTCTTCGAATTCTTCTTGCTTTATAAAGTCTTCTTTGCCTTCTTGCGATAGTTCTAAGCTGTCTTCTTGACTTAGTTCGTCGGGTTTGATAGAACTACCTGGTAAGTCGGATCTATCGCTACCAAAAAATTATCATAAAACAAAATAAACAACGAATAATACAAAAATTACCTGATAGGTTTCAAACCTGAACTACTTTCCAAAAAACGAAGCATATCAAAATAAATATACTTTTTCCGTTTCGAAAACCCAGCCCCATCCACCTCTTTCCGCTGCTTTATGTAGTAGTCCCTCACCGATTTCCACTTCTTTTGCATAAAAACAACTAAAAGTTAAGCGCATTCTCACTAAGACTCGACAATTTAAAAAAATCATCACTTACTTTTACTAGTTTCATCTACCGAGTCTTTTCCCGTGTCTGGAAAAAACTCCCGACATATTTTCTGCCACACTTTCGTTTTTAGCTGTTTGTCGAAATAGCTAGTGTGATGGATATTCCAAATGCAGGGCTGTTTTTCCACTTCTGTTATCAACTTTTCCATACTTAGCAACAAAGGAGCCATTTCTGTGCGTCTTAAAATAAAACTGATCGCATCGGCGGCGGAAATGTGGGCCGAAACGCCCCGAACACGACCGAATTCCGTCGAGGTTGTCGCTGCGTGAACGGACGGAATGTGTTCAAGGACGTCTCGGTCGAGATCAGCTGGGAGAATCTGCGATCAATACCGCCGGCGGGACGGAACGGGGAGAGGAGAATTCCGTTCGGTCGCCAGTTCGTCGGTTGACCAGGAACCCATAATTTAATTTTACTGGATTTATGTTTACGATATATTTTCAAATAATGAAGAAAACGCGCTCATTCTCTACAATGAATTCAATTTATTTGTGATTTTATGAAAATTAAAATACAGTAACCTACAATACCAACTTAGAGATCACGTGCTGGAAATGGATACTCATTTTACCAGCAATAATACAGCACTGCATATTTTGCAATATTTTATTTATTCAAGTTCTATTATTTTTATTTCAGAAACTTGTTTTCATGTTGGATATAGGCAACCAGTAATACAATTTTGCTTTACCGTTCATAAAATAATTTCTTTACACCAGCACAACACAAATATATATTATTTAAAATTTATATATAGACTATAGACTTCTCATAATTATACTAATATTAAGATAGAGAATTGGAAATTATAACCAAGAAGTTAAAAAATATATAAAATAATTATTAAATAAAAAATGTTCATTATGGTTATTGACTATATTGACAATTTCAAGTTTTCTCCAGGCTCCCAAAATATGAAATAGTAGGTCTTCACAATAAATATAGTTTATGAACCCGCCTTCATTTTTTATTTTGGATATTCGAAAGAAATTAAATTCGAAAGAATCTGAGAGAATTTAAGGGAATGTGAGAGAATCCGAGAGAATCTGGAAGATTCCAAAAGAATCTGGAAGTATCTGAGAAAGTTTGAAGAAGTTTGTAAGAATCTGAGGGAATTTTCAAGAATCTAGCAAAACCTAAAAGAATCTAGAAAAATCTGGAAGAATTCGGAAGAGTCTGCAGGGATCTGCAAAGCTTTGTAAGGATCTCAAACAATCTGAACAGAACTGAAAAAGTTTAATGAATCGTGAGGATTTCGATTAGAAAGGTGAAGAAAATAAAAGAATTTTAAATAATTTGGAGGAATCTGAGGGAATCTGGAAGAATCTGAACGAGTTTGCAGGAATATGAAACGATGTGATGAAAGGTGAAAAATTCTTGAGAATCTTAGAGAATCGGAAACAATCTGAAGGAATCTCTGGGAGAATCTAAGAAAATATGAAAAAAATCGAGAGAATCTGAGGGAATCTAAGAGAGTCCGAAGGAATCTGAGGAAATCTGGGAGAATATGCGAAAAGCTGAAGGAATTTGAAAGTACTTGTGAGAATCAAAGAATTTTGAGGAATTTGGAATAATTTATAAAAATCCAAGAAAATCTAAGAAAAACTGGAAGAATATGGAAGAATTTTGAAGAATCTGAAACGATCTGAATAGAATTGAAAAATTTGAAAGAATCTTGAAGATTCCTGAGAATCTCTTTGAAAGAATCTGAAAAAATTCGAAAGAATGTGAAACAAACCGGAAGCATCGAAAAACATCCGGAATAATACGAAAGAATAAAAAAAAAATTGAAAGAATCTTAAACAAAGCATCTGAAAAAATTTGGAGGAATTTGAGGGCATCTGGCAGAATCTGAAAAAGTTTGCAGGAATCTGAAACGATGTGATGAAAGGTGGCAAATTCTTAAGAATCTTAGAGAATCGGAAAAAATCTGAAGGAATCTGAAAGACTCTGGGAGAATCTAAGAGAATGTGAGAAAATTGTGAGAATCTGAAGGTATCTGAGAGAATCTGGAAGAATCTACGAGAATCTGAACATTGTAACATTGAAAAAGAATCTGAAGAAATCTGAAACAATCGGAACAAACTTGTGAGAATCGGACAGAATTTATTTTGAGGAATTTCGAGGAATTTAAAAAAATCTAACAGAATCTAAAAAAAAACTGGAAGAATGTGGAAGAATTTTGTACAATCTACAGGGATCTGAAAGGATCTGAAACGATCTGAATAGAACTGAAAAATTAGAAAAAATCTTGACGATCTGGAATAAGCTGAAAGAATAAAGAAAAATCAAAATAATTTCAAAGAAAGCATCTGAAAGAAGTCGGGGGAATTTGAGGGAATCTGGAAGAATCTGATCGAGTTTGCAGAATTCTGAAACGATGTGATGAATGTGAAAAATTCTTGAGAATCTTAGTGAATCAGAAAAAATCTGAAGGTATCCAAAAAACTTTGGGAGAATCTAAGAGAATGTGAGAAATTCGGGAGAATTTGAGGGAATCTAAGAGAGTTTGAAGGAATCTGAGAGAATCTGGGAGAATCTGCGAGAATCTGAACATTGGAACATTGGAACATTCGAAAAGAATCTGAAGGAATCTAAAAGAACCGGAGGGAACTTGTGAGAATCTGAAAGAATTTTGAGGAATTTCGAAGAATTTATAAAAATGTAAGAAAATCTAAAAAAAAAAAATGGAAAAATGTGGAAGAATTTTGAATAATTTACAGGGATCTGAGAGGATCTGAATAGAAATAAAAAATTTGAAAAATCTTGAGGATTCCTGGCGGTGTCTTTAGAAGAATCTGAAAAAATTGGAAAGAATCTGAAACAATCCGAAAGCATTGAAAAGCATTCAGAGTAATCCGAAAGAATAAAAAAAAATTGAAAGAATCTCAAAGAAAGCAAAAATTTGGAGGAATTTGAGGGAATCTGGAAGAATTTGAACATGTTTGCAGGGATCTGAAACGATGTGATGAAAAGTGAAAAATTCTTAAGAATCTTAGAGAATCGGAAAAAATCTGAAGGAATCTTAAAGACTCTGGGAGAATCTAAGAGAATGTGAGAAAATTGTGAGAATCTGAAGGAATCTTAGAAAGTCTGAAGGAATCTGAGAGAATCTGGGAGAATCTGCGAGAATCTGAACATTGTAACATTGAAAAAGAATCTGAAGAAATCTGAAACAATCGGAGCGAACTTGTGAGAATCGGACAGAATTTTGAGGAATTTCGAGGAATTTAAAAAATCTAAGAGAATCAACAAAAAAAAATGGAAGAATATGGAAGAGTTTTGAAAAATCTACAAGGGTCTGAAAGGATATGCAATGTTCTGAATAGAACTGAAAAATTTGAGAGTATCTTGAAGATTCTTGACGCTGTATTTGCAAGAATCTGAAAAAATTCTAAAGAATCTGAAACAACCCGAAATGAAAGGTGAAAAATTTTGAATATGAACGAGTTTGCAGCAATCTGAAACGCTGTTATGAAATGTGAAAAATTCTTGAGAATCTTGGAGAATCGGAAAAAATCTGAATCATCTCAGACTCCGGGAGAATCAAAGAGAATGTGAGAAAATCGAGAGAATCTGGGGGAATGTGGGACAGCTTGAAAGAGTCTGAAGAAATCTCGCAGAATGTGGGAGAATCTGAACATTGGAACATTCGAAAAGAATCTGAAAGGATCTAAAAGAATCGGAGGGAACTTGTGAGAATCTCAGAAAATTTTGAGGAATTTCCAAGAATTTATAAAAATCTAAGAGAATCTAAAAAAAACCTGACAGAATATGGAAAAATTTTGAAGAATCTGCAGGGATCTGAAAGCGTCTGTAAGGTTCTGAAACGATCTGAATAGAACTGAAAAATTTGAAAGAATCTTGAGGATTCCTGATGCTATCTTTGAAAAAATCTGAAAAAATTCGAAATAATCTGAAACAATCTGGAAGCATAGAGAGCGGATAAAACCAATCACCGAAATGGAGACAGGGTGGGTGGGCGGGGCTAATTTTGTTCTTCTGTCAAGTAGGAGGGGCAACTAATAGAATCTAGGACGTAAAAACATTAATAAAAGAGCTAATCGTGACATTTTTGTGTGAACGAATGTCAAAAATCTACAAATCAGTCTTATCTTGTCAAATGCTAGCCCCGCCCACCCACCCTCTATTTTCTTGTAGGATTGTCATCTCCCAAAATCTGTCTTATCTTGTCAAATATTAGCCCCACTCACCCACCCCCACTTCTCATTTAACGACTAATTTTATTTCTGTTCAGTATAAGATCATTCCATCCATTCAGAGCGGATAAAACCAATCACCGAAATGGAGACAGGGTGGGTGGGCGGAGCTAATTTTGTTCTTCCGAAATTATCCGAAAGAATAAAAAAAAAATCGAAAGAATCTCAAAGAAAACATCTGAAAGAGAAGGTATTTGAGGGAATCTGGAAGAATCTGAACGAGTTTGCAGCAATCTGAAACGATGTGATAAAAGGTGAAAAATTCTTGAGAATCTTAGAGAATCGGAAAAAATCTGAAAAACTCTGAAAAACTCTGGGAGAATCTAAGAGAATGTCAGAAAATCGAAAGAATCTGAGGGAATCTAAGAGAGTCTGTAGGAATCTGAGGGAATCTGGGAGAATCCGCGAGAATCTGAAGATTGGAACATTGAAACATTCGAAAAAACCTGAAGGAATCTGAAAGAATCGGAGGGAACTTGTGAAAATCTGATAGAATTTTGAGGAATTTCAAAAAAATTATAAAAATCTAAGAGAATCTAAAAAAACTGGAATAATATGGAAGATTTTGAAGAATCTACAGAGATCTAAAAGGATCTGTAAGAATATGAAACGATCTGAATAGAACTGAAAAATTTGAAAGGATTTTGAGAATTCCTGACGGTGCCTTTGAAAGAATCTTAAAAAATTCGAAAGAAATCTGAAACGATCCGGAAGCCTCGAAAAGCATGCGGAATAATCCAAAAAAATAAAAAATGAAAGAATCTCAAAAATGGCATTTGAAAGAATTTGGATAAATTTGAAACGATGTGATGAAGGAATCTCAAAGATTCTGGGAGAATCTCTATAAGAATGTGAGAAAATCGAGAGAATCTGAGAGAATCTAAGAGAATCTGAAAGATTCTGAGGGAATCTGGGAGAATCTGCGAAAATCTGAACATTCGAACATTGGAACATTCGAAAAAATCTGAAGAAAACTGAAAGAATCGGAGGGCACTTGTGAGAATCTGAGAGAATTTTGAGGAATTTAAAAAAAATATATAAAAATCTAAGAAAATTAAAAAAAAAAACCTAGAAGAATATGGAAGATTTTGAAGAATCTACAGGGATCTAAAAGGATACCTGTAAGAATATGAAACGATCTGAATAGAACTGAAAAATTTGAAAGAATTTTGAGGATTCCTGACGGTGCCTTTGAAAGGATCTCAAAAAATTCGGAAGAAAATGAAACAATCCGAAAGCATCAAAAAGCTTTCGGAATAATCCAAAAGAGAATAAAAAAAATAGAATCTCAAAGAAGGCATCTGAAAGAATTTGGCGAAATTTGAAACGATGTGATGAACGAATCTCAAAGATTCTGGGAGAATCTTTATAAGAATGTGAGAAAATAGAGAGAATCTAAGAGAATCTGAAAGAAT